GACGGAAACTGCTGCAGGGCATACGCTGCGGCGCGTCTTCCAGGCTCTCCGGGCTGGCGCTCGCTTCTGGATGAAGCTGTGCTCACAGTCAGACATTGAAGTCGACAGGGGTGAAAGAAGATTCGGTACTTTCTTGAGGAGATCCTCCACTTTCGACAGGCGATCTTCGAGTGCTTCCACGTATCTGTGACTATGCCTAGATCAATTCAATCTGGGGCTGGGAAACCTCTACATTGTGCTTGACTGGACAAGGCTTACTCACTTCTTCGTCGGACGCTTCATCTAGCGACATATTAGGACTGCATGAGTGGCAGCCATTACAGCGTGAGAAGGAATTACCTTGGCTGCAGGATCGTACTGACATTGAATGCCATGGGCAATGCATCTTGAGCAACGATTGTCGGGTTTGTCAGCAGCGTCGCCTAGAAGGATTTTGTTGGCGAGCGTCCTACCATTGAGCAAGCTGAAGAGTGGGAACTTACAACCAACTGATGCCGTTCTCAGTATAGTTGGAGTATGGAGTGGCTGTGAGTAGGCGTACCTTTCCTCCGCCTGCAGAACTCGCAAGCTCTGGTATGCTTCTGTCTCTTGTACTGAGGTCGAGCAACCTCCTCGTCTTCGCTAGACATTACTGCGTTCTATGTACTAGATACCCTGTAGGGAGTCCTTCAGCCGGGTTGTTGAACTGCACTTAGTACGTAGTAGTACTAGAATAGGAGCATTCGCATTTGTAAATGCTATTCCCAGCCGCTTGCAGCTCGTCCGCAGGCGCGGACACCGCCGGCCGGCCGGCACTGCGCTCGTCCTCTGCCGGGGTGCCGTGACTTCAGTTGATACTCCGCCTGAGAGGAACGCCTTGTGCATTTGACTCTCCGCTCCTCCGCAGGCAGGTCACGTGTGTCTCAATCGGCAGAGTCTTAGCAGGACGACGATGCAAACAGGGCGTGGCGAAGCGGTATATCCGACAAGATGATTCTTTTACTCATTCACACAGGGACTACAATACAGCATGTCGTACTTCGGAGTAGCTGGGGTCGCTATCACACTCTGAACTCGAAGAACGGGGGCCAGGCATGTATACACGATTTTATACGTTCAATGCCAGTAACAGCACGTGTCGTCATCTGCGAACGCCTGTGTGAGATGTCGAACGGGAACGGGACGCGACTTACGCACTATATGCTTCTACAATATAGTATGGACAAATATGTCGTTTTCTGCTGAGAAGTGAAGACGTGGAGTCCCGGGGAATACAGTGCGATCGAACGTACATATTTGGAATTCTGCTTCCTGCACTTGCACCCTTGCACTTGAAGACAGACAGCTGGATAACACGCGAAACCGGAAACCTAGACGATGAGGGCGAGAGCCCTCGGCGAAACCTGCAAAAGAACCGTAACACAAGCACATGCCCTACATGTGCGCAAGGCGATTCGAACCAGGCCATTCACTGCCGCGTCATGCGGATCATGTCATGGATGTCGGATAGCACGTCGTTCGCCCTTCTCGGAGGCGACGTCGCCCCAAGGTCGACGCGCGTCCGCAGCAGCGGCTGTCGCGAGCCCTGCAACATCCGCCCGATGTCCTCCAGGACATCCATCCCGCCCGTGATGAGCTGCAGCGGCCGGAGCGGGCGCATGGGGGCAGCCGGTGGCCTGGCGTCGGGGGCAGTGGGCGGATTCTGTTCTTGGGCGTGTGCGTTCGCGGGCGACGTCGGATTGGACGTCCGCGCGCGTCGCTCGCGCTCTCGGTCGCGGTGGCGCCGGCGGCTGGAGTGGGGGTGATGAGGAAGGTGCCGATGGTGCCGCCTTTCGAGACGTTCTCGCTGCTCCTGCGCTACTGCGTCTGGGTTGACTAAGACGGGCGGTGGACAGTCCGACGTGCTCGACTGTCCGTGAGACTGGGGGGAGGGACGATGGACCGCTCGACGGACAGGCGGCGAGGACGACGGGGATAAGTCGGGATCTAGAGCTGACGAAGGATCAGGCAGGTGGAGAGGGGATGCCGAGCCCCCGCTCTCGATATCCGCGATGTTGCCAGAGCTCTCATGGCCGAGGGAGTTGCTAGAACTGTGTCTGCTACCGCCGCTGTCCTCATCGTCTCCAGAGCTTGAGCCTGAACCCGACGCCGTGCCTAAGCCGATATTCTTGCCACTCACGGAGTGAGTTAAACTTTGACGATCGATATGATGGTCAGAACTGGAATGTCCAAGCTCAGCGGAACCGGAAGGGGATGGGGTATTCCGGGGCGGGCCAGCGGGTGTGGCTTTGGCCCATTTGCGGATACTCGCGCGGGTAGGAGCGCCAGGCTCTTCAACCTCGCCATACTGCGACGAGTCAGGTGTGTCGGCGCTGCGGGGTTTCACTGCGGCTTCTACTTGCACTGGACCCTGTAGACATGTCGCTGCAGAAAGATGCTCATGCTTGGCGTCCTGATTACCGAAGAGGGGACTCAGGGACTCGACGGGTGTAGGTGTGATGGAGGTGTCGGGAGTCAGAACGTGAGACTCGATCGATAGTGTAGTGCCTTCCACAGAGACGGGGGGTAGCTGGTGACAGACAATCAGACGAACTCGAAAGGAAACCGGACGTTTACTCACCTTGCTCGACGAGGAACCCGACCCTGAGCCACTCGTTGGCAAAGTCACATGGGCACTGGCCTGCTGGTGTACGGCGATTGCATGCTTGTCGTCAGGTGTAGACGGGGGAAGTGGCACTGGAGATTGTATAGCTGAGGGGGCGGAGCCAATGGGATTGTTCGACATGGCGTGTGAGATCTCTTGCGATTGCATGATGTGTGGGTGCGATCAGAAACCAGCAGGTCTAACGAGGATTATTAGTAAATCGACCAGACGGAGAGGACCAATTGCAGAAAGAGGTCGGGACACCAGAGCAGAGCAGCAGCCACAATGCACAGCTCTGCCATCACCGCTAATCGATTGCGGGGCAGGGCGCACCGACGACCACGCCAGCATCACGTGCTCAATCCGGCAAAGATGCCACGCGTCTGAGAGTTTGCTCGGGGGCGGTATTGAAGGTCCTGCACTCGCTGAGGTTGAAGCGAGGACCCTGGACACTCTGGGTGCACACTGAGGTCCGAGTACATCCGCTGGATTAGCTAGCCATCAAACTCGCCCTGAGAAACTTATTATATACTCACACGAGGGAAAACAGGATGGACGGGGAGATGGACGGCGGGACTCACGGTAGGACGGAGCACCGGGATCATGCACTAATGACGTATGTTGCCTTAGATGACGAGCGCTGGCTGGCTGAGGAACGAGGAGGCGGGTTTGTGAGCGCCGCGCAATAGTAGTTGCAATGTATGTAGCTTGGTAGAGATATCTTGAGAGCAACAAACGGCGATGTCATGAGAGCACGACAGGAAGAGGGAAGGAAGAACGAGAGCTGAAAACGACAGCGGCGAGAGCCAGAACCTCATGGAGCGACAGCCGCCCGGGAGCTGGAGGTTCCGAACACCAGATCTCCAACCACCACTTGAACATACTTCGCCGCAAAAAACATGAGGAGTTCCCGGGCCTATTCGTCTGTTTTATGGCAGGAAGAGAGGGGGAGGGAAGCGGGAGGTGAAAGTGGAGCTGCAAGAGGCGTCTTACTCCGTCCCTTGCAAGTCACGTCACGGGACTTCCTCGGCTCAGGGCAGGCCTGCTCCCAATCGGGACATCCTAGCGCCCACCGCAAGTTGTCGTACACACACCGCCCGCCGTGCTCGACGTTCGACACATCCTCAAGACGTGAGTACTTTTCATTATGTCTCCGTTATGCTCGAAATGTGCGGAAATGGAGGCTATGGGTGTCCAAGCCAAGACTCGTAGTGTCAGGAGGCTGGGAGCAAGCTGGATGGATCCTATGACATTCGGATGAGGGCGCTAGCAGGTCCATCCCTCTCCCTTCTCGTCTGCCCTTCGATCCTTCTTTGCGCGAGCCTCCTAACGTGTCTCGAATTCCTTAGTAATCTTCCAGCAAGAACACAATGGCCGACTCCGGACGCGGACGTGGTGGATTTGGACGCGGGCGTGGTGACCGTGGACGGGGCCGTCGGGGCCCCCGTCGCGGTGGCCGCAAGGACGAGGAGAAGGAGTGGTCAGTACCTGCTATAATTCCCCATCTTCATCTCACCCTAATGCGCGCACGTCTGTCAGGGTCCCCGTTACCAAGCTTGGTCGTCTCGTAAAGGACGGCAAAATCCGCTCCATGGAGGAGATTTACCTCTTCTCGCTTCCCGTCAAGGAGTACCAGATCATCGATTTCTTCCTCCCTAAGCTCAAGGATGAGGTCATGAAGATCATGCCCGTCCAGAAGCAGACCCGCGCCGGTCAACGCACCCGCTTCAAGGCGTTCGTCGCCATCGGTGACTCGGACGGCCATGTCGGTCTCGGTGTCAAGTGCGCGAAGGAAGTCGCGACTGCCATCCGCGGCGCCATCATCCTCGCGAAGCTCTCCGTCGTTCCCGTTCGGAGGGGTTACTGGGGTGCCAACCTCGGTGAGCCCCACACCGTGCCTTCGAAGGTGTCTGGCAAGGTCGGATCCGTCATGTGCCGTCTCATCCCTGCTCCCCGTGGTACCGGTCTCGTCGCTGCTCCCGCGTCGAAGCGTATGCTCCAGCTTGCGGGCATCGAGGACTGCTACACACAGTCGAAGGGTTCGACTGCGACGATGGGTAATTTCTTGAAGGCGACCTTCGCTGCCGTGCGTGCTCCGTCCGAATGCGTTGGTGGAGCTACTGCTGACGAAATGTGCGTGTGCAGATCACGAAAACGTACGCGTTCCTCACGCCCGACCTTTGGCGCGAGATCTCTCTCTCCCAGTACCCATACGACGAGCACAGCGCGCACCTACAGCTTGCACAGGGCAAGAAGGCGTATTAGACGCTTTCTTTCTCCGACGGAGGTCTGGGCGGTTAGACTGTTGATTCGATCATTGTATTCCTGCTGTGTTTCTAGCATTTGCTCCGCCAACAAAACGCTCTAGTATGTCATTATTAGCATGATGCACTATGGCAATGACCCTTCGCAAAATTCTATGCACGAAACTCCTTCGGCACTCCTTACGTCGCGAGCCTGGACGCGCTCCATGTAGTTGCAGGATATTGATACTTGCGCTTCAATCAGGAGCATTCGCACCTCAAGATTTAGCTCCCGCAAAACGTTTCGCAATGTAACCAGTGCATGTCCAGATGCCGATAGCCGTCCCTCAGCATGAACGTACCTCGAATTCGAATCCCGATGACAATGCAATCATTGGTCGTTCTCACACCAGCGCAGCCCAGCGCAGTCTTCAGCAGGTGATCGAGTAGACCCAGGAAGTACTCGAGACAGAGTCTCGTCCGACCCCTCATAATCGGAGTCCCCGCATGGGTCCATACCGCTTGGCTTCACCAGAGTTCACACATTCTCTCGCTGAGGCGGTCACCGCATTCAATCACCGGACATCTGAGCCTCTTCCAGAGGCAAGGACTCGTTCGCCTAATATTGACACCCTCCAGGCAAGTCCGCTGTGGCGACAGCCTTGCAGAGATCAGCGATCACTAACGATAGGCATCGTAGCGTCGAACTTCTCTTCCCCTTCTACCTCGCATAACACCCGCCCCTCCTCTCAACGGCGACGTATTGCACAACGTCTTACAATACTTCACTACGGCTCGCAGCCTCTGTCGCGCTACTCTCGTCGCTCGCGCGTGGACCATCCCGGCTCAGACGTTCCTCTATAAGTATGTCTGTTTCAGCGGATGGAGCGGGCCCGCAGAGAGAAGCCGCGACCGATGCTTTGCGCGCACCATGCGTTCGTGCCCTCATCTCCGCCCTATCGTCCGATATCTATCCATAGATATGGACAGCGATGACGATAAGGGCCAGCTCGATTGGCTGCACCTCCTTCCGGAAGACGGCCTCAGCAGGTTCAGATACCTGTGGCACCCCAAGCAGACATTCGATCCGTCCGTGCTCGAGGCACCCGCAGTCCGGGCCGTCACCCACCTCATAGTGCACGGCCCGCAGAGCGCCGCGATACTGCCCGCGTGTCTGTCGCTTCCTCGCCTGGAGACGCTCGAGGTCTCGCTCGACGACTGCGACGAAGCTGCGGACTGGGACGTCGGCGCGGGCCTCGCGCCGCACCTGCGGAGGTTCGTCCTGCGGGTCTACTTCTGCCGCTGCCCCGTCGCCATCGCGCTGTTCACCGCGTTCGCGCCCCAGCTGGTCTCCTTCCACTTGCACGCCCTCTTCCACGTGCTCGTCCCATACCACGAGTGGGAACAGGCGCTCATGGCGCACGGCACGCACCTGCAGCACCTGATCCTGAGTGGCGACACGTCGTGGCAGAACATCGGCTCGCCGTTCCTCGACGGCTTCGTCGAGAGGGCCCCGTCGCTCGAGCACATCCGCTGCATGCAGGGCACTCTCACGGGCGCGTTCTTCGGCCGCCTGCCCTCGAGCCTGAAGACGTTCGAATACGCCACCAATGAGGGCGTGTCGGGTGCGGCTGAGGAGATGATCCTCAGCTTTCTGCCCGGACTGCGGAGTCGGCAATATTATGGCTCGGTGCAGACCATCAGGATCATCGTCCCGGCTGGGAGCCCCTATCGGGAACACCGGGAACTGGAGGAAGCGTGCGATGAGGTCGGGATCAGATTTGAGCACGTGCAGGATGAGTTGTACGCTCCGGCGCAGTACCTGTCGGCGGAGGCGGTGATCAGGTCTTGTAAGCATGGATAGGCTCACCCGCACCACCCAGCCGCCAATCAACACGGCCTTCGTACAGGTTTCAAGTCGGATTTCGTCCGATTTGATCATTCCCATATTAGTTCTCATAAAAGTGCTAGCAGAGTCCTGACGAATCCTCCTCCTCCCCCTCCACCACCACCACTACCACCACCATTGCCGCCCTCCTGATTCTCCTCCCAGTGTTCTTCGATCCCGTTTCGCTGGGTGAAAGGTTCAGCTTGATAGATGGCCCTCGTCTTCGTCTACAGGGCAGTCATAGAATCAACCGATGTTTTCGGTCCCGAACACCCGCTGATTTATCGGTGTTCGCATGGGAGACCAGTCTCGTACCGCGAAGGCTCCAAAACTCCATCTGACATTTTGTAGCACCATCCGTTACCGCTCTACAGTACCTACGTGTCTTTACTCTCTTGAACACTGCCCACTGCCGTCTCATCTGTCAATGCGTCGGACTCCCTCTTGGCACTCGCCGTAGATCTGGCATCCTCCGTCGCGGGCGCCCTCTGAGACGTCTGCATCGATGCGCCTGGCTGAGGTTGGATGGCGATCGTACCTGCCTTCGAGGGATTCTCATCATGGTCTGAAGTCGAGGACTGCGACAGGGCTGGTCTGAGTTTGACGCAGCCTCCCCTTCCGTAGCGCATGCGATTGTAGAAGCTGTGAGAGGTGCGTCGTTCAGCCTTCTACACAAGCCGCCGAGAAGTACTATATGGATCATGAGCATCTTCATGACAGGGAGGCAGTAGCATGAGACAAACCTCCACAGCAGGCATTACGCTCGGAGGACGTACAATACGCCTATGACGCAACGAGCTGATGATACGAGACTAGTACAGCATCACCATCGGGGCTTGGAGACACACATATTCCGCAAGAGATACACGGAAACAAGAGGATCATACACAGGCATAACTTGGTCCCTTCCGAGCAGAGCCGGTCGAGACATGTGCTTGGAATATGCTCGTCTGAGTCTACGAGTGACGCTTTCAGCACTTGAATTGATAGGAGACGAAGAACTGTCAAAGACTGACCGGCAGAACAGGGCGCAGAAGAGGATACCAACGGAGAAGGGTAGGGTCTCCGGAGGGGAGCAACGGGAAGCATGGAGCCAGTGCAGTCCAAAGACGGGAGGGGAAGAGGATTCCTTGCGTCGTAAAGTGACCCACCCTGCGGCCTGCGGCTGCGCAGAAGCAGAAGACAAGGAACCGTGATTGTGCAGCCGATTCCGTACTACATCCAATGCACTCGCCATCAGTGTCATCGCCCTCTTCGTTAGCATCTTCCTCCCCATCAGAGCACCGCGCCCGTCCAGTCCAGGCTCGAAGGTACAGGTGAAGGCTCAAAACGGTAAAAACTAGGCCTCCCATTTCCTGGGAAGGAAGGAGATTGGAATCAAGAAAGGCTTTCCGGCGCTCCGCGAGAGGTTGAACAAGAGATTCAGTTGGCATGGCTGAGCCATGTCCACTGGAACGTACCACTGACTGATTGCCAATAACCCCTCTTATAACCTCAAACATCTGTACTGAATACATATACAGATCCCTGGAAGTCTGAAACATTTCGACCTGCTATCACGATTCATCTCTGCTAATACGATGTGTACGCGTTAGTTGAAAAACGTCGTACACAGGGGACGATAAGACGCTACCTTCTGGACTCATAACTAATAGTACATTGCGTTTGAACATCTGCAAGCAAAGAACCTTTACGGAGTCGGCGCAAAAAGGGCTACAGTCGCACAAGCGGCGGAGCAGGTCCCCAAGGCGGCATTACAAGCGACAATGGCGGCCGGCACGCCCAGACCCGCAGTGACAGTGCCAAAGGTGAAGCCCGCGCCTGCGTAGCAGGCAACGACAACGGCGTTGCATCCTATAACGAAGGGGTGAGTGTGGACCGGCTATCGCGCATGTTCGAGATCATACCTGTCTGGCAGATACCATAGGCAACGGGACCAGCGTTGACTATCGGGGAGGCGGCCAAGAGGCCGGTAGCGACGATGACGAGGGTAGAGAGGCGGAGGTTCATGGTAGGCTCAAAGGCAGATGAGTGGCGACCCCTCGATGAAGAGGATTGGTTTTATACCTTCGGGGAACAATGCCTTCACATGAGAGCCGGGAATAGACCTCGAGCTTGAGGCACGGGATCTTGCCTGTCGCCGTGTCATTTGCGGCCTGTCACAGAAGCACTGCGTAATCCCATCCTAGGAAGACGTGCCACCTGTCAGTGCGGGTTCAGTGACATTGCCACATGCCAAAAACGCTCAGAAGATCCCAAGAGGTAATCAAGCCATACCAACTTGTCTCATTGCAAGCCCTAGCATATTAGACGCATATCTCAGGCAGAGATTCTAACCACCAGTACAATGAGATCAAGAGCTTGAATGTAGAAGTTTCAGGGAGACATACATGCATATATCCAGTATCTTGACTTGGATCGTAAAGTCTGAGCCGGATCCACAACCCAGGAGACCAGACCGACGGCGGTTGGAACCCCCGGAGACATTGTCCAATGGAGGCTACCGCAGCCCACCGCCCATTGACCTCGCCCAGTCAGATGCTACCGCAGCACGTTCCGCCCGAGGAGCTCTCAACTACATAGTCACAGCTAGAAACCTGTCGATCACGATCGTGGTCAGAGCGCCACTATACGGTGAATGATTTTTCTCGACAAAGTGAGCATCACAACTGCACTTTCAGTATTGGTGGTGGAGAAGACTGCGAGATTAGTAGAGCGACATCAGGGAAACAGATCGCTCCACTGTGCACCTTCTTCAACGGCTTCTGATAGGATGTCTCTAGCAAGGTAGAGTCGGTATAAAACTGTTGGAGGTCGATGATGAAAGAACATGATCTACATTGGCGACGTACCTCAACGAGCGGCAGATCAACGGATAAGCCGACGGTGCACACACGGTGACGGTACTAGTGCACTTAGGGAGGGTTGGCGCATCGCAAGTACTGACCTGGCCTCCTATATACTTTATATCTCAACGAATGCAGAGGCGGGCGGGGAGGAGGCAGCACCGCCGGGAAGTTGGTGGTTCACCTTGGAAATCGACGATATTACTGATGTATCACATGTCAACCCCAGTGAGAACCTTCCCTGTTGCTCACGATTCTCATCTTTTTCGGCCCGTTTCAGTCCGCCCAAAAGGCAGAAGTAGTCAGATATCCACATGTATGTAGGTGAATGCATATATATCTGTCCATATGCACACAAAAAGCTATTTGCCGTTCGTCGTCTTTTCCCGTCTGTCTCCGTCTATTTGCATATTTTTCGCCCGATATCTGTATGTTCCACTCTATTGAACACCTGGCAAAAATATAGGAACAGAGTGCAACAGTCCTATACAGTTGGGGCTCGTTGCGCTAGGGCACCAGATCGAGCATGAACGGATATATATATTTATGGGTGGTTACTCTACGATACAAATTTCGCATTACATAATAATACGCTACTCCCCGCGCCCGCGCATTGTGCCAAGCCCGCGTACAGTGACCTACCACGACGTGCTCTAACCTACTGCGTTGCTGCACCCGCACGACTTACCTGTATGCTGTGTGACAGCGAGTAACCCACTCACCTGTGTTGACGTGTACAGACAGCGATACCCTACCTGTTAGCGAGGCTCACGGTGAATGAGAGTACCGAGGACAGAAAGGGATGGTGAAAGGAGGGAAGAAAGGGCGCAGAGATGGGAGGACGGCTTTCGCCCACTATATATAGAGCATTGCGAACACCGATGGCGTCATGGACGAAGGAGCTGGGGACGAGATCGTAAGAATGGATATGGTAGGATAACCGTCGGTCGGCACACAGGGAGGCATATATGTAATAGATGTGGGTGGAACAGTATATATACATCGGACACCGGTTTAATACTATCGATCGACGTCAAACGGCCCATTGTACATATAGAACGGCCCATTGTATATATAAAACGAGCCAATCGATGTATGAAACGAGCCATTTTAGACGCCGAGCTGTCATCCAAATCGCTCCGAAAAGACGGCATCAGACGGCAATAGCCAGCAATCTTTGGCAATAGGCGGGGTTTTCACTGGGGGTGACCCTTATATAGTGTCATACTGTCATTGTCACTGTTGCCACCGCTATCACTGCAATCGAAGAATCCTGGAATCACCTCAATCCAGAGCCTTACCACACATCTTTCCTATCTGGTCGGCAGTGGGTCCAGGACCTCCTCAATGACCATCGCAACCGGATGAAAGACAGTCTAGGAACCCCAGCTGCTGTGTTTCGGAGGCTAGAAGAGGAACTCGTCCATGCTGGCGGCCTTCGGTGATGGAGGCTCGAGAGGAGTTACGACGCGACCTGATAACAGCCGCCCAGAGTTACGAGGCATCCGAACGCATGCACTCGCCCGGGTAACTCGAGTTTCCCGGACATTGGAAACCGAGATATTATTACTATATATGGGCATGAAATGCCGGTAACTCTAACTCCAACTCTTTGCCGAACAGGCCCTAAGTAATCGCCCGGCAGATTGCCTGCCAGGCCTTTTGAACTCCGCTGTGGCTGAGGCACTCTGGCGTCCGGGCGCTTCGGACTGTCCTCGTTCGTGCTCGTCGCGACCGCTTCTACAGACTCTGGAAGTTGAACTGCCTGTTTCACTTGGGCCGTTGTCACGAATCACGACGATCGGCCATGATCGATGATCAATGGCAGCTGGCGTTTGGGTGCGACTCCTCGCTTGGTAGTAAGAGGCGCTTAACTTTCCTATATCGGTCACATTTTAGCGCACAACATTGTACTTCTCGCAAGTCTTATGCTGCGAACCGCCTCCTAATCCTTGGTTTCCTCGCTCTCGCATGAACGCAGCACTTCTGGCTTACACGATCAATGGTAGCTGCTATGCGCGACTTCGCCCACCAAATAGATGCGACGCTAGTCGGGAAGCCCCCACCCCAGCTACAGCGCAGCACGCGCATCTCGCTTAACAGCGCAGTACACTTTGTCTCGTACTGTTGATGACGAAGAAACCAAATCTCTCCGCTGCTACGCCCGGACCGATGATGCTGCCGCGTTATATGGAGCTCCCTCGATCGGAGTGCAGCCATCTCCGGTACGTTATGCCACACTCAAGGGCATGTTGCTGTAGGTAGCATTGACGACCATTGTCGAAGCTATGCGGATCAGCGCTGATTGCAGTAGAGCTATTAACACAGTATGTACCCCTTTTGATGCGTACCGGTCATCATCGTCTTAGCGCTCCCGTCGAGCACAGGTATGTGATTCCCCAAGCCACATCAATTTTCGAGCACATGTCCGAGATCCACTCACTCATGGTACGAGTAGGCAGCTGGCTGTCTTGTGGTCATGCCTTTGTCCGCGACTGGACTTCATCCGCGATGCGAATTCGTAATCCATTTCGAGCGCCGGTGACACTGACGAAGTAATGCTCAAGATAGGGTACATGGCCCACGTTACTGAGGGGTGCGCCATCACAGGCTCAAACGCTTTGCTGACGCGCAGTGATTGCGCTGACCTCAACGCTCTGTAGAGAAGGACTTCGCTGCGTCACGTCATCAAATGGACTAGTCGTACGCATCTCTTTGGCATCACGCGCATACTACGCTTGCACTCCACTCCGAACAGCTTGTCCGACGATTCTCGAGCCCGCTTGACAACACATTATCTCGCATCCAGCTCGGCATGTCGTGACGTCCGACGCGACGCGTCGATGATGCCCTTCACGGTACCCGTGCAAGACGCTGTCATCTCCAAGTCCTTGTGCTGCGCCATGCGTTCGCTCGCTTCGCACCATGTTGAGGTGGGGTCACTGAAGCCACCCTCGCCTCCGATTGCAATGTCAATCGCATTCGCACATACCGCCTGGTGCTGTATAAAAGGCTCACGCAAACACCCTCATCCGGCATCAGGTTCACTCCTGCATCCACAGGCATCAGCCCCTCAGGTCCTCCGACTTGTTCTCCCGCTCCCCTTCCTCACCACTCAGACCAGCCACCATGTTCTGCAAGGCCGCCCTCATCACTGTTGCCCTCGCGCTCATCGCTTCTGCCTCCCCGATTGTGAAGCCTAGTTCTGGCATTCGCATCCCCATTCAGAAGCGCGGCTCTCTGACAAACGAGGACGGCACCTTCAACGCCGAGAAGGTGGCCCGTGAGCTCGTTCGCGTTCAGAAGTGCGTCTACTCTAGTGTAGATTCTTCTGCATATCGATGCTGACTGCGCATGGTTTCCCGCTTACACAGCAAGCACCGCCAGAACCTCATCAACCTGAAGAACAACGTCGGCGTCAAGGCGTTCAACAAGGGTGCTTCGATCAAGCCTCTCGCGACGATCCCCACGCACGTCAAGCGTGATGGAGTCGACCTCACCGACCAGGAGAACGACCTTCTTTGGACCGGCGAGATCACCATCGGCACGGACGACCAGAAGTTTGTCATCGACTTCGATACCGGCTCGTCCGACCTCTGGGTTCCGTCCACCTCGTGCGACTCGTGCGGCTCGCACAACAAGTACGATCCGTCGACCTCCGGCAAGAAGGAGAGCGGTTCGTTCTCGATCAGCTACGGCGACGGCTCTACCGCCTCTGGCGATCCCTACACCGACACCGGTATGCCCCCTGCCATCGAGCACGTCAAGTTTGTGCCATTCTCATGTTCATCCCACAGTCACCGTCGGTGGCGTTAAGGTCAATGGCCAATACCTCGCTGCCGTGACTCAGGAGTCCTCCGAGTTCCAGTCGGACCCCTCGGACGGTCTCCTCGGCCTCGCATTCCCGGCAATTTCCAGCCTCAACCACGACCCCTTCTTCTTCACCGCCGTCTCGCAGGGGACGGCCAAGGAGGGCCGTTTCGGCTTCAAGCTCGCCTCCTCCGGCTCCGAGCTCTACATTGGCGGCACGAACTCGGACCTCTACAAGGGCGACATCGAGTACCACGACATCTCGTCCGACAACGGCTTCTGGCAGATCGGCGGCGCGTCCGTGTCCGTGGGCGGCAAGTCGGTCGCGGACTCGTTCGACACGATCATCGACTCGGGCTCGACGATCATCACCGCGCCGACTGACGCCGCGAAGAGCTTCTGGGACGCGGTCGACGGCTCGGACGTCTACGACAGCAGCCAGGGCCTGTACTCTTACCCCTGCGACTCGGCGCCCGAGGTCTCGTTCAACTGGGGCGGCAAGGATTGGGCGATCTCGAGCGAGAACCTCTCGCTCGGTGAGACGGAGAGCGGCTCCGGCTCTTGTGTTGGCGCTATCTCAGGTGGCGACCTCGGCCTCGGCGACAATGTCTGGCTCCTCGGTGACACGTGAGTGTCCTCACATGTTCTGTCTTAGGTTTTTCGGATGCTAAAGTGTCGATGCCTTGCCTTTCTAGCCTCTTGAAGAACACTTACACCGTGTTCTCTGTCGACGACAACGGCGTCGGTTTCGCCGAGCTCGCCTGAAAACGGGCCTCCTAAATGCTCCTCGCGGTGGTGCCCATCTACGCAGATTTTCATGCACGTTGTCTTCACTGTATTGTTATTAGCACCAGACCCCAATCGCTATCCTTATTCGCTTCAAGCAGATCACTCCTCTGGGTGCTGTGCATGACATACGTGTTTAACAGTCAGCGGTTGGCGTCCGGCTCGCGCCACAGGTTGCCTCAAAGCTTCCGCGCGCTGTACTAGCTACACGCTGCCACTACCAGCGGTGCTAAATGTGGCACTGTAGCCGTCCTGCACTTCAAGTTCTCAACGGTAGCTACCGGCAAGGCGCTCGTTATTTATTTTAGGGGCGGAGGAAGACATCTCACGTAAGACCCGGAATCGCCGAAGGTCTTCAGAGGCTTGTTTTCGAGTCCTCGACATTCACAGTAGCCATGGCCCATAGTCGTGAGACCGACGGTGGTGGTCACGGTGGTGTGTTCGTTGTTCGGCATCCATTCGACAGTCCTTCCCACGGTCGCTGGTGATGATGATAACGATGACGATGATATCCCACTTGGAGTAGCGTTCAGACCGGCATGTGGCTATATACTTAGGGTCTGCGACACTATATACGTACAGCAATATACTACATTCAAGCCACCTCGTCGGGGTCGATAAGCTGACGCAACTGGTCAATAGCCCTATTTCTCGCCCCTTTTCTCCCGCTTCGACGTCTGCCCCCCACTATGCTGGACGAACCTCTTGCCTGGCTGGACTGTCTTATACAGGAGTCATCTGTGAATGGCTCGCCTTTCGATCACACAACGCCGAACACACCGTTACCCGGCGTCAGTGGATCTTCCTCGGCGCCCAGTGAAGGGCAGCACAGCCCCCACTTTGTGGTACCTCCTTCATCTTCATCTTTGACTTCACCCTCCGCATCCAGTCACACGTCTCGGACCACCGACGGGTACAACGCGTCCTCTCCGACACAAGTCTTGGATCCCCATGTCCCTCGCAAAAGAATCAGGCCCACAATTGCTCTTGACGCTAACCAGCCTCTGACTGCGCGCGGTCAACCTCGAGCCCGCGTCTACGTTGCGTGCAATCAATGGTAAGTGAGGACACCAGTCGAATGCGTCAGTTATCTTGTACGGACCTCGCAGCACCCACTCACAATTTTGCGGTATTAGTCGTGTTCGTAAAACGCGGTGCGACGGCGCAAAGCCGATTTGCTCTAACTGCCACAAACGCCCCCCGGAGTTTCCGGGAGAGTGCTCTTACGATGCGCAACCGATCCGTCGGGGACAAGATAAAGGCCCTGGGATACGGTTCCGTCCAGCCGCATCACGCCGGTCCAAACGAAGGAGATGCTCAAGCGATGTCGACGACGGCAGGGATTCAGGTAGTTCTAGTCCTGATCACGACTCTGGTGGCGCGAGTGGCGAAGACGCGGCCGCTACCCATTTGAATATTTCCTACGAAAGCTCCATCTGGCCGTCATCAGAACCTGGGGTATGTGCCACTTGCGATACACTCAGAGCGCGCGCTTACCAAACCCGCTTACGTAGGATCCAGAAGACTACGACCCGTTCCCTCTGGTAGACTTAGATGACCCAAACGCAGGGACGGTGTTCGAGCTTGAGCGGTATGCCCAGGAGATCGAGCAGAACATCCCCGCTCGTCCAAGTCTTCAATTCACGCGCGACACCTGGTGGGACGTGCTGCTCACCTTTTACTCAACCGACTTCGAGTCAACAGATGCTATGCCCTTTGTCCCTGAGCAACGTCCAGCCACCGTCTTGCGCGTTCTTTCAGATCTTCGGGCGCTGTTCCATGCGTCCATCGACTGGGTTAGCTTCATCCATATACCTCGGTTCTTCGAGACGCTCTTGAACCCAACAACCCGAGGGACCATGCAGCCCAGTCTCGTCATCAGCGCCTTGGCTATTGGCATCTTCTCCCAGAGCTCCGAGGCAGAGAGGGGCTCCGCGGGCCGCGCTAAAGCTCTCAAGCTCATCGAAACTGCGCATAGTCTGCTCCAGGCCAGTATGGCGTCGGGTTGGGTCAATGTGGAGCTGATTCAAGCAGCATGGGTAAGCACTCTGAACGCTTAGGAGGATCTTCCTCGTAATCTCACCAGTTCCGCTCGTAGCTTATCGTCTACTTCGAACTCCAGTGTCATCCAATGCGGTCGGCTACACGGCACCGTTCATCGCTGCTTCTCCTGGACTCCTTGATACGCTTGTTCTCTCTCACGACTCTAGATGCTGACATCAAAGGTACTCATACCTCAGAACGACCGTCTGTGGCCTCTCTCAACGCAACTGGGCTCACGGCATCTATCAACAAGATAGCTCCCAACGACAAAATGCAATTCCACACAGGCGCCCACACCCCTGAATTCTTTGCGCAGCTCAGCGGTGCCTCCCCTCTCCAGTCGGGATTTCACCACGATGCACAGCCTATCGTACCCCCTCCACATCTTGTGCAGTCCATCGTCCCAGGTAACATGACACCCGGTCTCTCAAGTACGCCACTTCTCCCTAATTGCAACTGCGCGTCCTTGACGCTCGAAATGAGCTGGCCAGGCGTGAGCGGGATCGCGCCGGCGTGGGGTGGGACGCTCATCTGGCCGGAGAACATATCCGAAGGAGAGTTCAGGAAGGAGGAGTGCCGTCGCCTCGTCTGGGCTACTGTCATGGTCACCGCGAGCCTCAACGCGTACAACTCTGTGGATAACATCGCGGCGGACATCGACAAGCAGAAGTTGTGGATCAAGGACCCTGACAACGTAAGTGACAACTTGCGCTCGTGCGCATCCGAGCGCCATCCGCTAATTCGTAGTTGCAGTACGCGCTGCTGTTCCCTGGGGAGTCCCTTGCCATGCACGGCGCGCCTGTGTATGCAAACAACGTTTGGACTCTCTACCTGCGCTCGATGGTCCTCCTGCACAGCTGCGCGCGGAAGCGAGCGGACCTCACGATGAGCGATGCGGAGCGCGCGCATTTCGCGATGCAGGCGTGGCTGGAAATCGACGCTATCGATACCGCGCTCGGGCAGCATACGTGCGAGCTGGAGCGAAAATTTGGCTTCCAGGCGCGCGAGCTGCTGTTTAGCTGTCGGATGTGCATTTCGCACGAGTTCCAGAGATATATCCCACGAATCACAACGTGAGTACCAATGTCGCGCTCCTTCCCTGCTACCGAAACCCGAAATGCTGAATGTAAGAATGTAGAAATAGCAGCCAATTGTTCTATAGGGACAAAGCTGAAGCTTGGCGTGAGAGGTGTTCAGTATGACCTTGTTCATGGATTCTCATCATCTGCACGATGAGTAGTGCGTCACCGAATATGCATGGCAGAGTACGTGTGGAAGAGCTTGACTGAAGGAATCCAGTCGCCGGCTCTCGATTATCGGAAGCCCCTGATGATATACTGGTTTATGTCACATGTTATCAAGTACATTTCTTTTCCTGCATTATCGTCACGAACATTTGCTCACAAATCCAGGGCGCTGGTGCTATGGGAGTCTGACCCGACGCTCATCGTGGCTCTGGAGGCGTCAAAGATCTTCTGCAAGCGTACGGAGTACTTGATGTTGTTCTGGCCAAGCGCAGGTATGTTCATCCTACAACAGAGGTTGTCATAACTCACTCCAGGTCCGCCACATACTTTAGATCAACGGAGGGAGTGGGCGGATATTCGCATGACTCTCGTGACCGCATGCTTGCAGGTCGGCATATCGCCTCCGGATGCCGCACTTCCTGGCCCCATACCGCACATGTTCCAGCAGGCGAGGCAAGCGCAGAGCAAACAAACACCGTGATTGTACGTGCATAAAACCGATAATTTCCTGTACTATATCCCTTTCACATTATGCCTTCCTGTGTTACCCACCTAATACTAAGCCTCGTCGTTCTCGACTGCGCTCGCTCGTCCAATGAGTTTGACGATGGACACGCTTCAGACATATAGTCTCCGAACTTTCTACTAATGGCGATCTTGACGAAGTCTTGATTCATGCGCCCGAACCCCCAAACGAGGCTCATTATGTCATCAGACTTTCATCCACCACGTTTGATCAGCAAGTTTTTCAGTCGTCTGAACACAGATCATGACATGACGGGCGCCCCGTCCCCGGAGGTGGTGGAACCTGGCATCTTTTGGCTGGGATATAAGACGCACAGACCCCATTGCTGTAAGACTGCATATCGCTCACCCTTTGTACCCCATAGGAAATATTGGCGGCGGTTGTCCAGCCGTCCATTGCTACCTGATTGGATGCCATCATCGAGGACATCACGAAAGGTAATCGGGCACTGAGGTGTGTCCTTATTTGCCACGCTTCTCGCCAGCATTGAGCTCTCTAGAGTCGAGATTGGCTCCTACCCTTATCGACACAAATACTTGACATCTTATCGCCGCATTTCCAGCTCACCGTCCTTCCAAGCTGATGAACTCCCACAGCCTGATGACTAGGCTCCTCCCCTCGATCCTCGTCGGGCCTCTGATGCTATAGAATACCATGGACCATCTGTCGTCAGGTGAACGTACGGCTTCCTACCTGTCATCAACGTGTGCCGACGCTGACGTGATGGTGCCCTTGATACTCCCTCGCTTTGGCTCACAATGTGCTAAGACAGCTTCCACCACGCCTCTGCGTACCTTCCACAAGCCGCTCGCCAGGAGACCGCTCTAACTGTATATGTTGACAGAAGCCGTCTTACGTCCGCGCTCGTTTGAATTCTTGGGTTGGCTTGCGCAAGGGCAAGAGTATCCGATCTGTTCATGCCAAAGCTCCATGAACGTGCTCCATGGCAGCTCCGAGGTCCTTGTTCTCCCAGAGGTTCAGCTTGACTATGTGATCGTACCGTCAGGCGGGAGACTGATAACGCAGCCTCGGGCACGGCGACAAGATCAGTGGTCGCGGTGTCCGATGGTGCCACCTCGAGGCTGATGTTCCTCATGACATCCCATTCCTATTGTCGAACTATTTCGAGCCGCTCGCACAGTCAAGCTGACATTTGTCATTATCTGGACTTCGCATCTTGTCCCAATGCCCTTCGCTCGATATTCGCAACCTTTCTTGTACTCCACCCACTTGCATTTGGGGCGCATAACTGGTATTTACAATTGACGGTGTGAGGAGATCACAGGGCGCGGACGCATCAACGGAAGCTAGCGTGATCAGCGAAAGAGGGAGGCGGAGATGGCGACCCCATCACTCTAGAAGAACTCGGACAGTGACGATATTATGTGAGTACTCGAAACGAAGCTTCAGAGGACTACCTGCCCGTGCGAATGCGTCCAGAGTGGCCATTATGCCGGAGAATTAGGATGGACCCCAAATATGCACTGCAGAAAGAAGCAGTCGAGGGATATTGCGCAAACATCTCGTTTTATTAGGTATAGATAGCTAGGATACCTATCGGACATAGCCCTTGACGCGTGAACATGGCTCTGTATCATAATCACTTAGGCCCGCAGGCTTTCCGGACCCGACATGATGGAGTACTTCATTCCGGGATCCGTCAACGACATTACTGACCCAGGTGGCTGATTTATGTCCTCATTTGGGCCTTTATGCAGATATATACATCGCTTACGTGTCCTTGGAAGGAAGCGTCGGATGACGGCATATTGATACTGGCGACCACATTTCACCACAGCGTAGCAGCAAACGGGCCTACCTTGCAGCACTGCGTCCTATTCAGGAAACCCATGCCGAGGTCCGGGCGTTGGAATGAACTTTAAGCAGGCTGCCGAGTGCGTCCGTGGCAGACCCAGTCCAGATTCGTCACCCGCAGCTCTGAAGCTGAGGGGGAGAGACTGACTGCCTAACAGTGAAGACAAAACCGTACAAGGCGGCGAAGCCTCGAGTTCCCTAGGCCGACAGTGAGGAGCAAGGTTAGCGCCGGAAGTACGGTAGGTCCGGGCAGAGAGACGCCCGAGGATGCCTAGTGCGTGCTGGCCGCTGTCTCCTTATAAGCGAAGCCGAAGCACATTCTGCCTCACCCCCTCTCCTACTCCGCCCTCCCAGGCTCCCTCAGTACGATGGACTCCCTCGACGTCTCACACCTGAACGACTTTGACTTCATCAATGCCGTTCTCAATTCGGCATCGTCCTTCAAGCATGCCATTTCCATCACCCCAGGAAGAGTACGATTCCTTTCCCCCATCTCTCAACCTCCGCGTCCCGCGTTGTCTATTCCAGATCCCGTTTTGTCGTGCCCGTCTCTCGAGTATAATAGCAGGCCCCCGCTCGACTGAACGCTCCAGTGCCAATGAACTGTATCAGGAAATGATTATTTTCGTCGTCTGGGCCTCGCGGGGTGGAGGTGCGCAGCTTAGCAGGTTCTGCACCTGGCGTAGTGCGCCGACTCAGACCAACTCCTGGTCTATCCCCCGTCATTGCCAATCTTCCGAGATAATTCGTTGGCACCAGCTGTTCTATGCCATTGAAACGGTATCCTCTTTCATGGCCTCTCCTCTTGATCTGCTCTTCGCTCATGCAGCTTTCTTGTTACACCGCCTTTAGGCATTCTTGACGATGACTATCGCGATCAAAGACTCGGCGCCGAAGGTCCCGACGCAAAGTCCTTTCGGACCTTCACACGAGGCCGCAGGAACCCTTCCTGATTTGGTCCTCATTACCGCAGATAAGGTAGCGTTCTATACCCACCGCCGTCGTCTATCCCATGCATCTAGCAACTCGTTTGGCGGCCTTCTATTCGACACATCTGACGCCATCCACGTGCCAGAGTCAGGAACATGCATCGACCTTGCCCTACGCATCATGTACGGCTTTCCTTGCGCCCAGCTCGTTCCCGCTCTCGAGGACATAGTGGATGCAGTCGCCGCGCTCACCAAGTATGGCATCTCCGTTCAGAAGCTCGCTGCGCCCTTTCTTTCACTGTATCAACTCATTCTCGCTTATGCCCCGCACCGTTCGATCGAGGTATACGCACTCGCGGGTCATTATGGGCTTGAGGAGCTTGCTGTTGCAGTTTCCTCGCATCTGCTCGCATATGACACCTCGATGCTCTCCGACGAGCTCTCTATCGAGATGGGCCCTATTTACATTCGCCGACTGTTCGAATTGCACGCGCATCGCAGGAATGCGCTGAGGAACATCGTCTTGAGGCTCCCGACTATGCATCCCAGGACGAACGAGTGCACGGAAGACACGCAATGGCAGCTGACGCAGGCCTGGGCATATGCTGCTGCGGAGATCGTGTGGGAGGCGTTACCAAGTGATTCCCGTTTCCCCCTTGGTTTGGCATGGCGCAGATCGCTGAACACTGTATTGTTTCTCACAGGCATGTCACCATGCGCGTTGCAGTCGGCATTCGAGAAGAATGGAACGTTGATCAAGTGCCGCGACTGCCGAGAGATGCTTCACAACGGGATACAGGAAGCGATGTACGAGTGGTCTTCCGTGAGGGTCCGTGCTTTCCACCCGGTAGCTGTTATATTCGTGCTCAGCTCACGGCATCATTTGCTTCTTACAGAGCACTATCTAAGTTCGTCATCGTCTTGCTTCTTCCAGGCAGGCCCGTCCGGCGACCATCGGACTCCATTCGCGCATTCATCATCCTACATTCACGACAGCCGGCTTGTCGCGGGGTCATGCATGTTGCATACCGGCTCTGGCGACTCCCGGAATGAAACCTCTGCTGTATCAGTATGTGTGTCTATTTTCCTCTGATTTTGGGGACCCTGCCGTACTATGTTCACTACACTCTATACCTGTATCATATTGACTACGTTCCCATGTGCCTAAAGCGGCGAGTCAGATCTATGTGGGTGGTAAACATGTCGAAGATGGCCAGAGCGCGTTGTGATCTCGCATTGGCTTTAGGGGCGAAGTGTCTTCTCCTGGGAAACACGCATCGTACAACGTGTATCTCCGAGCAGTGGACGGCAGTGCGGGCCGAGCCCAACCGCTCACCTAGCGCCCGTTTAATAACAAAACGTCCCACCTTCTAACCCCATTGACTACGGGTGAAAGCCTGCTCAATTCGGCTCGCAACCGCGTATCGCTTAAGTGTCGATTATTTCGCTATGAACTTCATGCATCGCGACCATGACTGTGCAGCTCTCGCTGACCGAGCTCGATCTTACAGCATGATACCACCTCGGTGTTCATTACTCAAGCTGATCCATGTCGGTGTACTGCCAGTGTTCGTTGGTCTCAGGGTCTCCGCATCGCAGCCACGCTGCGGATTAATACATGCATTATATTGTCGATCACGAAGTCCACGATGAACAAAGATTGGTGTTGCCAGTGCACCGGGAGGAACATGATATCATCACCTCACGGGCAGGGCGTTGGCCAAAGCACTGAAAAGCGGGCACTTTCTGGAGCATTGCGAGATGTCGGAGACTCCGGCGAGCAGGAGAGCAAGGAGGGAGAAGAAACGTCCGGCGGCAGATACCTGCATCGGGAACGAGAGGCAGATCGCGGTCCGTAGAGGCGAGCGCGAGCACAATATTACAGGCTTCGTCAGCAGTCAGAAATTCATGAACATTGATGTTCATTCACCTTACTCGGCCATTACCTGTCTTGCGATTAACGATGACCCATCATCCATTTCATAGCCTGCAAGATACTAGAGGACTCTCAGGTACTGTCTGAAGACGCCAGAACGGATGGGAAAGAGACTAGACTGTTGCGGCGCCTAGGCTCCCCCGAGACCGGATGGGATTAGCATGGATGAGAGGGATTCCATGTGCACAAAGATAGGGCCGGATCGGAGTGCGAGTCGTTGCAGGAGCAGCCTTCGCAAAGCATAAATGACACGTGGTAGCGCCAATTCGAGATCCAACGGCGACCCGAACTTGACACACGTCGCATGCATCTAATGATCGTCACTGCTTGCAGCTAGAGACCCAAGAGACCTCCGATTTTACGATCTTTTGACGAACAGTCCCCAATACACCTATGCTGGCATATACACGTCATATAACAGTGTAAATTGAGTTTGCCTCTCATTCGAAGGTTGTATACTGGGTGTAGTCTATCGCTATCAACGACGCGTGAATGCCATGACGCACTACGCCGAATCCCGGGCTCCGCTCCTTATAATGGCGTCTTGTATGAGCCTTCCTGACGTTCGTAATCGTCGGCATAGTCTAACACAGACAGGGACGCTTAGCTCGCACGAGAACGAGTTATGTCTGACCCGAACGGAATGCAGATGGCCCACTGCTGCTATTGCACTGATCCAATGATATCACTGGTATATCGCGTGGTATATCTAAACGTAGGTGAAGAACCTCGGTATAGAATGAGGGGTAGGGAGTCGAGACGGAATCTAGCAGTTGCCCTGGAAAGTATTTGCGAGAGCGGTCGACTTGATGTCAGGATCATGGACAAGCAGTGATCGTCAACGTGGAAACCAGATCCCAGCCGATCATCCAGTGCATCCGCTCAGATTGTCCTCTGAGGGTAGCGTGGAGTCCTGCGGATTACCCATTAGCCGTCGGGGTTGAACGGGAGAAAGACGGACCTTTACCGCAAACCACTGCTGGCAGACCTCCCGGATTCGTGCGTGCAGTAACGCCTGGCACTCCAAACAGGTAATCTGGGTCGCCGCCTTCTCGAACGTTGTTTGCAGCGTATTAGTAGATAGGCCTGTCGATCAGCAGTAAGCACCCCCGACGCTCCACTACCTCGCGCAGCAGCACGAAGGACCAAACTCTCACCTGGTAGCGTGTCCCATGCCAACTCCGCGGCAGCATACGCCCATGCCTGTGTCAGCTGTGCCTGTGAAGCCTCACCACACATGAGAGTCGGTGTGTGGTGTTCGAGAGGCCTCAGGACGATGGCCTTCAGGGCGTTCGTTCGGTCGCGGTGGAGGCCCATAAGACGACGGAGGTAGACCGGACCTATTTTGATGGCCAGATCGTCGGAGAGGGTGGAAAGGTCGTACGCGAGGAGATGCGCCGAGATCGCGACTGCCGGTTCCTCAAGACTGTACTTCCCTGCGAGCGCGTATGCCTCAATAGGTCGATATGGTGCGTGGAGCAGGAGAAGCTCGTATAGAGGAAGGAGGGGGGAAGCGTAGAAATAGGGGTTGACTCCGTACCTCACGAGGGCGTCGAGCGCAGCTTCGATCTCAACTAGCGGAGGGCTGTAATGAGCGCATGGCATACCGTACATGATGTGAAAGGCGATGTTGAGCACAGATGCACGTTCTTCCAGGAACAACGAAGTTGCAAGGCTGGATAGCAAGCCAGCGAAGCCATTGGTAGAGACGCGAGAGAGATGTTGACGATGGACATAGAAGATAACCTGGTCGGAAGACATGACGCCCATGTCTGGGAACATTCTATCGACCACGCGACTCGGTCCGAATGCGGTCGCCACATTCGCCGCCCCCTGCACTGGTTGCGCGTTGGAGTCGCTCGTCGACTGTGATATGCACATATTTAGTAATCGTATGAAACCAGAGAAGTTCCCGTACTGTGCCAATGTCTTGAGAGCCATGATCGCCCTGGGGTTGGGAATGTTGAGACGGCTGGTGATCTGGATTCATACTGGTGAAGGCGGAAGCGCGAGGGGGGGAGACGTCGAGGAAGTAAGCGGTGCCCGCGGAGAATACTGGTCTTTAGTAGGTCCCCTTACGGGCGCTTCCTCCTCGCTCGAATGGGAGCACTTATGACGACTCTACCGAAACAACACCGTCTCCGACCTCGGGTCGAAGACCACGAAATCGAAAAAAGTCACGGATACTAATTCATTGGTACCGTCCTATGTCAAAGCATGGAAGCAACCATGGCGCGGGCTGGTGCAGTCTACTCGAGTCTTGTCGCAAACAGTTCAGAGCCCAAGATCTTAGCTGGTCCTGGCCCCATATTGATGGGACCGTTTACAAAGCCGGTTCTGAACCAATTGTGAAACGAATCTATTGGATGATACACTGACACACACCGACGATACGGGTTTGGCAGAGCATTACTGGGCCAAGTGGACGTATGAGCGTAAACTTGTCGTACAAGGTACGGAGACAGCATTGGCTGGTGCGTATGATGCGGGTCTGCGGAAGATGGGTAATGACAGCGAAGCAATGGTAGGATAGAGTGTGTGATACGGGCAGGGGAGCCGCACCTGGACCGACCGACGGGAAACATCCTGTGTAATCCGTGCGTCGCAGCTCAAAGCGGCTGACGCCGCCCGCTGAGACTTTGGACGTTCCAATGATGCCCGCGCGTCGTAGAGGAGGGGAGATAGGATTGCGCTACAGAGGTAATGCAAGGGGCACTTACCAGGTGGACAACAGTAACGGGGATGCCTGCATCTCGGCGAAAGCTTGACCGAAGGAAAAGCTTTTGAGGGCACCTTCCTGACGGCGTCCTTGGAGCAGCTTCCTTACACATTCAATGAGCGCAAAGCAACAGAGGAGATTGCTGCGTACCTATCAGCTCCTGTCTAGTATGAGCCGATCCGCGACTTGTCAGCTGCTAGCCATCAATAGAACTTTACGAACCGAAACATGCTTGTATTCCCGTTCCGGAGCCCTTTGCATGGCGCAAACAATATTGAACTACTGCGTTGGTGGTCACTTTGTGGCTATAGCATAGCTCTGTCCCCAGGATAGCACCAGATATTCGTGGTAGTTACCTGGCGAACAATGGGTATCAGATAGTAGTTGCGAAGTAGGGCGGAGTGAAACGAGCTCCATTGCGATTTCGGCCTAGCGCTGCTTTCCGAATGGCTTCTACAGGCACGGACGGGTCATTGTCGCGAGTGGGAGACCGGAAGGAGCTGGATGGTGCAAGAACATAGGCCGAGATGAGGATTGTGGCCGTGCGGTGGCAGTCTGCGCAGTCTGCAGACCCGGCTCGGCAGCCATCAGATCCGAGCCCGATTGCAGATCTCCCAGACGAGATCGGACACAGTCAGCTCATGTGCTTTCCTACTCAGCCTTGCCTGGCACGCATTCTTCCTCTCGCGATATCCTTTGACAAGGACATTACTCCATGATACTGCGACTCAAAATTACTCTTTCTATCCTCACCTTGCTCCAGCTGTGCCCAGGCAACCCCAAGACCTCGTTACGGATGAGTCGGGTCCTACGGCGAGTTCGAGCAGGCCTCCGTACACCACAATTGCCGCATTTCTCAGTGCGCTGTAACGACCGTCCTTCGCCGCTCGGCCCTAACGTCGGTTTAGATGTGTGCCCTCGCTGTAAGTACACGCCGCACTCGAAAAGCTCTCTATATGAACCGTTCTGATCTTCGGGGTCTACGATCATCCGATGCTCTCTGTATCTAAAGTTTCGGCCGACCTCACCTGACCTGGAAAGATGTCCTTGGACGAAACGATGTACCACCTTTTGAGCCCGTAGCCGAAGGCCAAGGTCTGCAGTGAGAATTTGCAACGGCAGCTGACGCAGCCTCGAGGGCAAGACTCATGTGCTACGCCATCCATCGAATGGGGCAGGGAGCGAGTTGGGGGACTTCGTGCGTGCCAAAATTCAAATGCTTCTCGTCTACCATCCCTTCACGCTATCTTCGATGCAGTCAGCGCTGCCTACTTCGTTGCACCCGCAATCAACAGTCGTCATGTAGCAACTGACGAGGACGAATGCTTAGCGGAAGCTCAGAGGATTCAACGGCGTTGCCCCCATAGAAAGCGAGCATAGGTCCAGATGGCCGTCCTGGTGGCTGGGTGATTACTTGGTTGGTCGGCAGATGTAAGCCTCGGGATTATGGATGACTGCTTCTCATGACACATATCAGGGAAGACAGAGAACGAACCGTCAGCATGTGGCGTACACGCTTCCGAGTCGAAGCAGGTCAGCAGATTTCTGCGGGAGACGGAGACGTTGGTAAGGAGGAAGCTCAATAGCCTCGGAGAAGCGCAGTCATCACATATCCGTCGTACGCTATTCCTCATCATTCTCTGGCCGGTTGAATTGCTACAGTGCAGACGTAAACATGCACAGCGAACCATCGTCCGCCCCGGCTTCCTTGGGCGCATTTCAGATCTCACTCTCACCAGGCTTGAACGGATGTTCGATCAGGTCTGCGAGCAGCACCCTCAGGGCTGTGTCGTCCGCCTTCGCGGGGCCTCCATACATTGTCGCCACGGTCTCGTTGCGCTTCTTGCACGCCTCGACGCCACTAATGACGCGTATCTCGCCTTGCTGCCGCGCGCGCTTGACGAGGTCGGATGTCCGTGCAATGCGCAGCGTCTCAAACTCTGTGAAGACAGTCGAGAGGAGCTCGGTGGAGGGAGATGCTCCTGTTGGGTTGTGTACGAGGAGCAGCCGCGTCAGGTGGTAGCAGTCTTCGAGGGCTTGGTTCGCTCCCTGGCCGAGGTGCTGTTTGTTGCAAAACACTTTGTGAGCACGTGATACAGGAAACGGGACTGCTGAGACGGACCGGACTAGTGGGATGCGCAGCGTCACCGATCAGGACCACGCGGCCCTTGTGCCAAGTAGAGAGTTCAGGACGATCGTACAATCCATACTAGAAGCTCGCGAGTTTAAGTAACGAGATGTGACAAGGAGGAGGGTACATATATCTGCTGCTGACCTTGACAATACGTCCCGCAGTTCGGACCAATTCTCCACCTCCAAAAGGCAAGCTGGAATGTGGTCCCTGCTTGAACTCTTTCTGCTGTTCTTCGTCCATGTGACGCCAGTTCTCTTTCGCCTCGGCTTCACGCTGTGTTATACTGTAGAATTGGATTAGACTTAGATGAAGGGCGCAGAGAGTTTCGAAAATACATACGCCCAAGAAATCTCATTCTCGTTTACGGGGTATCCGATCATGTGCACACCGTTGCCGTAAATGTTGAACATAGGGGCCATGCCTTTCGTCCTGAATGCCTCCGGGAAAGGCGAGATACCTCCCGTCTAGAGAGAAGCACGGTCAGTAGGCCTTTTCTCTGTAACACATATGTGACATGGGAAGACTGACCTGAGTCAAGCCAGTAAATGAAACGGGCTCTTTGCCAAACAATGTCACCCTGGTATCGCTATGCAGTCCATCGCAGCCCACGACGAAGCTCGCGGTGTCCGTCGTCCCGTTCGCGAATTGCACGGTAACGCTGTCCTCATGCTGCTCGAAGCTTTCGAGCTGATGTCCAAATTTGACAGGGACACCCTGTGCCTGCGCCTCCTCGATGAGAGTACGGAGCAGGGCCGGGCGACGGGCGCCGTTCACGCCGTATCCCGCGAGCCCTTTGATAGGCATTTCGTAGTGCGCAAGTTGGCGCTCATCCTCGGGGAGAGAGGACCAAAGAAGGGTCTCGGATATCTCCCGTTTCGGGATTTTCTCAATGAGGTCGGGGATGAGGCTGAGGACCTTGAGTCCGTTGGGCTGCAGGCTGTGCAAGCAAGAACAATCGTGATCAGCAAATTGCTGGCGACAATACAAGAAGAGCAATCGGTTGTGGGACCGGGCGCGAATTTACGAAGGAACATCTGTACTCACGCTAGAGACAGGCCCATATCCGTAGGCGCGTCGAGGCGCTCGTAGATGATAGGGTCGTACCCCTTGCGCTTGAGAAGTATTCCGAGAACGGGCCCCGCAACGCCGCCACCGGCGATGATGACCTTAGTTCCAGTCATTTGACTAGGGACTCGATGTTGCGTGCAGACCTACTGAAGACTCCAGTTAGACCGCAATGGATGTGAATCGTCGCCAGGAACGTACAGTGAATTCGAAGTCGGAGGGCGTATTGGCAAGAAATGCTACTTGCAGGGCATCGGCGATCTGACGTAGATGGGGATGGGGGATAAATTCGGGCCTCTCTTAAGGCAAGCCATGCTGCGACCAGCGCTATTATGTCAATCTGTGAACATCCGCCCAGTTGACGGAACTCAAAGCCTGGCTCCAATCTGGCCAGCGCGAGGAGTCAGTGTTTGGCTCACAGGATGCAGAGGACAATTTGACCTCGGAGCCAATGTCGGGAGTCACTACCGGGGCTCCGGATATGTGAACACTTCCGTTCGCTATCGTTGCCAGCTGGGTGATTCGCCATGATCATGCTGAGGGACCGGAAGCTGAGAGGGGTCGAGGACGCTCAAGAAGATGGTGACGTGCACGGACGGTTGCACTCGCGCCGAACAGATCTTGTATCTGTGGGCGTCATGACTACAGAAGACGCTGCAAGAAAGCGGATTGCTCTCTCAGCCGATTACTGCCTCAACACAGACGGCTGCAATGCTGCAGTACATCGATAAGCTGCGAATGCGGCCACGATCGACCGCAACACCTTCCGTGTCGACTACGAGGAAAACGTATGAGTGCCATAACGATACATTGTGCAATATTGGATGATCCAGTACAATATACAGCACAGCAACGTGCAAATTAGTCGAGATCAACGTGTAACATACCCGCCTCGCTCTCGCTCTCGTCGTCTGCCTGCGTCTTCGGCGCCGGCACGTTGTCATCAATGTGAAAAGCCGCCCAGATTGACTCGAGCTCGGGGCCGTCGACGACTAGCTCCAGGACATCCTTGGCAAGGTCTGCAGAGAGATTAGGGATGTCAGCATTTCGGAGATAGCGTTCAGAGGAGTCAAGACGAGGTTCAGAGGAGTCAAGACGAGTCAGACGGGAGAGAGAACGCACCGCATATCTGCTCTATTCTGACCTGATTCTCGGGCGAGATAGAGTCTGGAGGAGGTGCGTAACTAATTCGTCCGAGCGTGACGACGAACATATGCCAGATGCCGTTAAAGCTGCGCTTCGGCGAGGCCATGAGCTTCTGCCTCAGGTTCGTGGCTGAACTATCCACCCCCGTGAACAAATGATAGAGCAAAACCACTATGCGCATCATGGTTTGCACGGTCCTGTACAAATATGAGGCATGCACGTGAAATGATTAAGTCTTCGATGCGTACCAAGAGACCAGCTCAGGAGACGCTATGAACTCCTCGTGTTCTTCCCAAAGCGGATCTGTAATGGTCATGAGGAAGAGAATTATAGAATGGAGTAATGTGTGTGATCTGAGCAGGATGTTCGTGCAGTCTGTATGTGCGACAGCAATAGTTGTGATAAGATGAAGGATAGTCTGTCTGAGAGGTCGGCTCTCGGCTTCGTCGCGCTTGCGGTCAACCAGTAGCGATGCCATTCGCTCGATATGGGGTATCTGGGAGTAGTCCTTCTCCTCCTCATCATCCGAGTCTTCGGGCCAAGGAAAAGACAGGAACTGTTTCGGAAGGGATGAATCTGCGAGATACATATTCAAGACGACCGTTTGAGACCAATGTCAAATGGGCTTACATGATACAATGAGGGCGAGGACACGCATCGTTCGATGGAGAAGCCAGGTGGGTTGCGCGGAGTTCACGAGAGCGGCCAGGACGCCGGCTTTGCGCACAAACACCGACAGACTTTGGAACGTAAGTTTCGATCATTTTGTCCTGGCAGCGGCGTAGAAGCATACTCACCGCATGCCGAACTCCGAAGGGGTATTCCAGCAGATAGCTTCGAGCAAGCCCAGCACCTCCGCCGCTAGGGCTGATTGGCGCTGATCTAAGCCATTCTCATCCGGCGTGAGCAGTTCTCGGACCGTGTCACATAGCACGGAAAGAATTTCAGGAGGGGCATCTCCGCTCCCAGCTGCCCCTGTAGGAGACAACAAGAGAGGTACGAAAGTTGGTACAAAGAGCGCGATGATCTTCATCATATCCAGCAACACAGTCATCTGAAGGATCTACGAGGGCGATCAGAGCCTAGCAAACAGCCGAAGCAGCTGGAAAGACGTACAGAACCGACACTACATAAAACCCGGCCCATTCCCGTGAGCGCTTCCCCAACAATGTCAATTGTTTCATCAGCATTGGCTAACTTCATGGTCGCAGCACCGAGGCTCTGGAATAGTCTCGTGCAATAGGATGTGTAGAGCTGTGCGCGCTCCGGAGGTGCCGTAGAGGGAATGGCGTGGTTGATAAGCAACTGCACACTAAGCTCCTTGGCTGAATGGTGCTGGTGTGTCAGGACAATTCGTTGTAACTTAGCGTTTTGAACGTCAGTTCGCCGTAACGTCCCAGCAGAACTGATATCAGAAGCACGCACCTCAATTGTCCAATCTGGCTCCGTGAGCGGCGCAACATACTCGTTCAGGTTGGGCTGCTTAGGCTCCTCCTTCATCTCCACATCCTCGTTCGGGGAAGAGCCCAGCGGCCTTGCACTACTGCTGGCTGCAGAGCCTGATGACCGAGGCTGCGAGTCCTCGGCTGGAGGAACCAGGGCCTCCTCCGTGACCTCCTCCATCGGTGAGCTGCTAGGTTGCGAGACTGGTCGAGGAGCATAGTCATCCACGGGGGGATTGAAGAAGAGATCTTCTCCTTGAGGTCCACTGTAGTCGTACGCGGGCGCTCGCTCCTTGTCCTTGCCCTTACCAGGAGACGTCTGACTGGCCTGAGATAACGCGAAACGTACGTTCATCTTGGGCATAGCCACCTGCGGCGTAGTGGGCTCGAACGCATTCACGAAACCAGGAAGCTTTGCCGTCCGCTTGGGAGGGCTCTCCGGGATGTTGACGATCTTCCTTCGGCGCTGGCGACGCGGGCTGTCTGGCAGCTCCTTGCTGAACCTGGGGCGCGACGGTGTCTGCAGGTGGCTATCACCCAGTGTGCTAGGTCCCGCCTGCTGACGACGCTGCGTCGAAGTCGAAACGGGTGTAAGGGGACCTGAGTGGTCGCGCTTGATTCGGATGGACCACGGGGTCTTACGGCCAGACGTCTCGAGCTCATGTTGCTGTGACGAAGGGGAATAAGTGATATATAAAGTGAAGCTAGGACACGGCAGAGATATGTTACCTTAAAGACGTACTGGGTCCTCATCCGCTCCAGCTCCGCGTGCATCTCCTCCCGAAGCTGCGCCTGGGCTGCTTCCGCCTGCTCTTTCGCCGCTTTGATACGCTCAAGCTCTGAGACGTGATCTTTCGCAGCCTGAGATCTTGAGCGACCTTGCGGAGATATAGGAGAGCGCGACCTACCTTCTCGATGCTTTTCCTCAGAATGCTTACTTCTCCCTCCTTGGCATAACGCGCATTCTGAGCTTCCTCAAGAGCCTTCGCTGTCTGTTGTTGGTTTTTCAAGAGCTGCACCACTGTCAACACATTGTTCTCTGGCACAGCTTGTTTCACTACGCACTTCCTCCATCTGCGCCTTCAGCGTCTCTAGCTCTATTTGGAGAACGCGGTCGTTGGTGCCTTGGGTTGCGGGCAGACGTTGCTGCTGCTGCTGCTGTTGTTGCGGTCCCTGTGGTGGAGGCTGTCGCTGCTGTGGAGGTTGTCGCTGCTGTGGAGGCTGTCGCTGCTGCGAGGAACCTTGAGAGGGAGCTGAGGGAGACGAAGTCCCATGCCGCGAAGGAGCAGCGCTGCTATGTCGTCGATAGACAGGAGAAACGGACGCAGAGTTTGGTCGCGAGGGACGCGCACTATTTGCTCTTGAAGTTTGATGTCGGGCCGAAGACGAAGACGCGACCGGAGCTTTAGAAGGCTGCGGTCCCAAGGACGGAACGCGAACTAGACCAGGTGCAGGAGAGGCTCGAGACGTAGGTGCGTTCCGAATTGGAGCAGATGCGGGCGGGAGTGCTTGCGAGGCATACTCTGCAAGGGCAGCTTCTATCTCGGCAAGCGCGGATCCGCGCGAAGCTTTGTTCCTCTGGTTGGGAGGACGTGACAATCCGGTACGAGCTGGCGACTGCCTGGATCCCGATGCGACGGGAGCGTTTGGAGCTTGTACATGCGACAAGTCTCTCGCTTGACGCGGTGGAGCATGGCGGGTTGGCGGATTCACAGGAGGAGGAGCAGCAGGAGCAGCAGGAACAGGAGCAGGACGAACGTGAGGAGGATGTCGACCGGAAGTACTCGCACCGTTCATATGCGGAGACTGACCGCGTATCTGCGCAGCCAAAGCGTTCGCCGACGCTCTTTGTGCTGCAGGGAAGTTGTAATAGCCATTTCCTATGACCGAGATGTCGGGCAGGTCCTCGTCGTAGTCTCCAGCAACTCCGGACGGAGCGAATGTAGCTACGGTGTCATCTGTGGGGTCATGAGTGGTCTTCTGTCTCTTAGGGTCCGGCAAAAGGGCTTCAGAGGATATAGGTCGTCGCCGGCCTTGTGTGGGCTGCGCCTGTGGTGGCTGGATCTTTTGCTTTCCTTGCGCGGCTTGCCACTGTTGCTCTTGCTTCTCAATAGACGCGAGAGTCTGCTCGTCCAGGACAAAATCGTCGTCAAAGTAGTCGTCAGAGTCGTCCATGAGCAACAACAGCCGTATCACAGTCAATGGGGGAGAAGCATCGAGGGGGAACACGGGCAGTGGGAGGAATGAACAAAGTACCGCTCATCGGAGGCGCGCGTCACGCCGCCCTCCGCCTATGATCTTCGTACATCACAAACAGCATGATATTGCAAGATTCACAAGGTTGGATTGCATGTGGGAAGAATGAGAATAGCTGAGATACATCGGCGTAGTGTACAGAGGACACGGGTCCTAGAACAGGTCCGGACGATTCATACAGACCAAACGCGTGCCATGACTAAAAGCATGAGCGCCGAAACACGCAGCAACGCGAAAGCGGACGTACACAGCGCGACGCTGTGGCAGCCACACTTGTCAGTGGCTCGAGGAATACGTCTGGCGCAGGCACGGACGTATCCTAACCTGCCCAACATTGTACCACGCCGAGCGAGGACGAGCGATCTCAGTCAGCAGTCAATCGGATATCCTACCGTCGGCGGCCCACACTAGGCTGTGGAGAGGATAGAAAGGGCGATGCCCACGAAGCTGGGCGGATGGACGAGCACAAGCCAGAAGAGTCGGTCTTCTGTATGTCCTAGCTGCAAAGGTGTCGGCGGAGTACGGGCTAGCCTGCAAGGCGTATCTTGATTGGTCCTTGACGACTGCGGGACTCGAGAGCTGATACCGCAAGACCAAAAGTCAGGCGGAGACTTGGACCGGAGCTGCAGAGGCAACCTACCCTTGAGCTCCTCAGCCTCTTCACGCTGCTCGTAGTTGAGCACCAGCCTTTTGAGATGTTGCTGCTCGACCTTGTCTTGCATTTGAGCAGTCCGCGTTTGGACAGCAAGCGCAGACTCTGCCGGGATGGCGATCTGGCGCGTCTGCTCCTCAGGGTAAGCGGTCATTTTGAGCACAGCGCAAAACTAGAACATACCTGTTGCTTGTTGCCACGCTTTGTGAACAGCGTGAAGTTCATAACACTAGGATCCCGAGCGCTCTCGGCACCAGCTTCATCTTCGTCAATGTCCTCGTTACGCTTCTTGCGCACCACTGGCGGCGGCAAGGCGGTGTCCAGTAGCGCTAATGCTGTCTTCTTGTCCACCTTCCTGGAATCCGCGGACGTGTCCGTGACGAGCTTGGCAAGCTCCTTCGCGAACTCGGCGTCGTCTTCCTCGGTGGGACCAAGATGCTCCAAGGTGGATGAAGATTTCAAGAGCACTGCCTCCGGAGATGGCGCACGCTCGTCGATCTGAGAAGCAGCCTCGATGAGTAGGCTGAGACGACAGACAAATCAGGCAAGCTTTCCGTACCGGAGAGTCAGGTTGCGTTTGATCATCTTCCTCCTCTTCCTCCCCGCCGCGTCGTTCTTTATCTTCGTCGTCGTCTTCGCCTCCGCTCTCCTCGCCACTGTCGTTATCGGCGTCTCCGATATCTCTTGCAACTACAACTTGAGTGAGCATACTTTTGATGCTCGACTGTCAGGCCAAAACTCACTGCCAGCATTCTGGAGCGCGACGTTGAACATCTCATCCACAGCCGAGGATGCCTCCTCAAAGTTCCTGAACTGCACCAGCTTCGGCCGGACAGCCTCGAGCGAATCGTTCAACATGAACTCGACGTCCATCGGCAACGGGTTCTTGCAGTGAACATAGAGCTGGAAGAACGTCAGGAAGTTGTCGAGCTTCTTCTGCTGGGACCCTCGGTCAAAGCACATGCCGCACGTGTCAAGGAGGACACAGACGAGGCGGATACGGAAGAAGTCGTCCGGCATATCGACAGGGGAGGGCTGCCCAGGCAGGGGGCGCCCGTCAGCTACGAAGTATGACTTAGTGTCTTGCTGAACACTGCATCAAGGTGGGAGGGTACTAACGATGACCGAACGTGACCAATGTCCACAGCGTGTCGAAAATGATGCCGCTGGAGATCAGCCGGTAGATGTACAACTCTCCGAGGAATTTGACAGACGCGATACGCCTCTGGTTCATGTTGTACAAGTTCGACTCTAGACCCCTCCTGATATCTTCTAGGACCTGGTCGACGACCCCAATCGAAAATGCAGGGTGGTACCGTTGCAAGTCATACGTGAGCATCGCAAGCAGGGAGATATGGCTATACTTGATCTTCCACGGCTTTGTGAACACCTTGTGCAGCGTGCGTTGGACCACCGCGTCGGCCCAGTCGAGCTTGCGGAGCAGCTTCAAGACTTTGTCGATCGTCTTCTTCGCCAGGACGTCATAGATGAGGTGACGGATGAAGAGCTCCATTGGAGTGCGCTCCTTCACTTGACGAGCGGCGCGCTCTGGGGGGTTGCACTGGTAGTAGGCGTTCTCGAGCAAAAGGAGTTGGCGCTGATCGAAGTGCTGCATGCTCTGCTTCCTCCGCATGAGCTCGATCATCTTGCTGAACGGCTCTCTAGTGTCCTCGCTCCTCAGCAGGAAACGCCCGCAACCCTCCAGCAACATCGCGAGGTTCTCGACATTCGTCCCAGAGAAGTCGTCCAGGCACACCTTGAACATGTGCAAGATGACGTGGGGTGGCACGACACGGAACTTCGTGAGATTTGATAGGAAGGTGATGTTGCGCATGCGGACTTCCACGAGCTCTTTCACGACATTCTTCTTCCGCTGGAGATATCGAAACTCTTCATCCAGCTGATAATGTATATAAGTCAGCTACTGATTCGAACCAACAAAGTGGATATATGCGCACCGAGGCAACAATTTCGGTGCCAATGTCCGGCATATAGCGATTGAGGATAGCGATAAGCCGAGAGTAATGGGGCAAGAGATCTGTACGGTTCCTCGGTATTTGGCTCATGAATCTGATGAGCCTCTTCCTCGCTGCCTTTGAGTTCAGGAACGCGAAGTCCACAGCAGCCTGATCGATGAGCGACCGGTTCGTTGCATCTGGAAGCCTAGCGAGAAGTGCCGTAAGAAGCTGGGACGGTCCCTGAGGCGCCAACTGTGGGGTCGTGCTCGGGGACTCCTTGGGGGTGCCAGGCGTCGGAGTAGGCACACTTGAACAGCTATTAGCAATCCAAATTTGCGTGCACGGCAGCTGGGAAACACCAACTCGTCTGCATCCTCCTCTTCTACCTCCTTCTCCGCCTTCCCATTGGGCAGGGCAGTCCCGTCCTCGCCCACCTTCATCTCTGCAAGCTCCTCCTCAAGCCTCCGTACCTCCTCCTGGACACGCTCTTTCTCCTTCCTCTCCTTCTCCCTGCCATCTTCGTTGTCACCGTCACCATCTCCCTCAAGCCCAAGCACGCTCCATGGAACGTAATCTTTGAGGTCCGGAATTTCCTCGAAGAAGCGACGCTCCTCTTCATCTTCCCACTTGCCTCCTCCACTGCTCAGCTCCTCAGAGTCTCCACCAAGGAGGCTGGATCCAGTGTTCATGCCAATCTGGATAGACTCGGACTTCTGCGATGCGCTCTTAAGCGTCGGCATAGGGAGGTACAATTGCTCCGAGAGGCTAGTGAGCGCACTTATGCTCAGGAACATGGACTAGGCACTATCACAGTAGACGCACCTCTGGCAGCTCCCAATGAGCTTCTCATAGCTCTTCGTCATCTTCTCGTACGCCTGCTGGCGATCCTCGAAGATCTCCCCCGAGCGGATATATGCTTCGTGGTTTTTTCTATCTTGATCTTGCAAGCGCTGCATCCGGACTGAGTAAGCGTTCGCATTTACTGAACGCCAAGGACTCACGTTGTGTTCGATGACAAGCTTTTTCGCAACGTTGTCGAAGTATCCCTCGCACATCTTCTTGAATCTATCCCGGATCTCTTTCTCCACCAACTCCTCGCTTTCATTGATGAGCGTAGGGGACGAGCCATTCGTCTGGGCTTCTTCACTGGCAGCTTCGGAGAGTGTCCCCGGTTCAGAGGAGGCAGAGATTTGCTTCGACGCCTGTGGAGGCACGATACCAAGGTAGGGTCGAGAGTATGACTTGAGGAAAGCAAGTAGTAACGGCAAAGAAGAGAGCGAAGGGTCGTTGGATAGCTGAAGGAACCTTAGGAAGCGAAGAGCATCAGAATGTAACAAGCAACGTACTAGATCTCGGACCGCCTTCATGATCCATTCTCCACCGCTTCTCTCGGGCCCATCCCTGATGATACCTACCAGTGCAAGTTCAGCACAAACGCGTAGGACGGGACGTTGACGTGCGACACGAGCCGAGTCTTCCTTCTCGCGTTGTTCCGGAGTCAGTGTGGCGAGGAGCGCGCGAGACGGCGGTGCAATCGCGGTGGTCACGGAAGAGATGATTCCGGGAGTGAAAGTCTTGGGGAAACGGCGGTGTAATGCAGATATGATCTGTATTCAAGCGCATAAATACTGTCAATCGGGCGATATAGAATTTTTGAGGAGAGCGGGCACGCACCTCGACCGCACTCCAGACGTCCTTCTCCGTCTTGCACCTCAAAATGCCCTCTGCAACTGCTCCAACTATCTCATCCACGTACTTCTCCAGAGACAATGACTCGATGTCCTTGAGAATGTGCTCGCGGTTCTCGAGACCGACGGACTGCCGCATACGCTTGATCAGAGCGGTATGCCTCTTGAGCGAGGAATCCAACGCCTTGGCTGGCTCTGCGATCGGTGAACAGCTTTCATGAATGGACACCCCCCAAATCACATATATGCGGCATACCTAGCCCTGCATGATGGACGTTGAGTTCCTTAAGAGCGGCACGCTTTGCGCGGCGTGCCTGTTCCTCATCCACCTTGGTTTGGGTGGTTCCATTCGTAGCAGGCTCCATCTCGTCGGGCTACGGGGTCGTCCTTGAAGGCAAGACCGTGGCGTGATAGCGTCGTGATATGAAAGCAATGGATTGGATTGCGGGCGATGATGAGTTTACATGGGAGTTTGGAGTCGGGATGGACGCCGAGAGCGGCTTGTCGCGCCTGTCCCCGGAGCGCCCTTCTTCTACATACAACCGCGACGTCTACGAAGCCTTTACACCACCGGGTGTCCCACCGCTAAGTGTTGCCAGCTCACTTCCAGGTTCATTATCACGCCATACACACAGCAGTGGTATCAATAGGAGAGTCGATATGGTTTTAAGAGTTGGAAGTTGCGAAGAGGCGTTTTGGGCAAGAAAACGGGAAGGGCTCAGTCTCGCGTCTGGCATATACGTCGCTGGAACATGACGAAGCGTGCTGCGTGGGTGTCCGCCCTTTGCGCTTGCGTAGCCTATTGTAATCGGCCAGTCCTTGATCCTCCTTATATTTCAGATCTCCAGCGACGCATTTCCCAAATGCCTTGAAGAAACGCCTGGGCTACTGTAACGAAGAATCCCTTCATCCGCCTAGCAATGGATTTCTATATATAATCAAGTAGCTTTCTGCGAGTTCAAGAGTCGTGTGCCGTCAAGTGATGCCGCCGCGCTCTCAGAAGAGGATTCCGCCCTTAGAAACCCCGACAAGTGTTCGTAGCAATTCGGGGCTTCTTCTGACCGGGTGTGTCTCTGGGTTTACATTTCCGTCGCTGAATTCTATGTTCCAGTTTACAGTGGTCTTCGGTCTGGCGCGGCGATCAGTACTCATCGTGTCCTCGTAACCCATGCTGAAAAGCGACATCGGAACAGCTTATGACAAAGCTATATTCCACGAGGAATAAATGGGAAACTCATGGTGTATGCCGCGCTGCTCCGAGAGAAGTTCTTGGTACGGGTACGCTGTGTTCGGCTCGTAACAAGCGCTGACGCCGTGTATCTCCAGGACTGACAGTGATTAAATCCTGTCTACATACTGCTCACAGCTCGTCACTGCCTCCCACACCGTTTCAGTATACTTCATATGACTTCTTGATGAGGGGAAATCAGTGTGCGCTGCCATTGGCCAGCTGAAGATAGACAAGAGACTCCGAAAGCAGCCGGCCCGCAGTACGTTAAGCCAGTCACGCCCATGAGCCCTGAACAGAGCACTGGCGGTAGTTTGAGCTGTCTGGCACCCAAGGGGCGTCTCATCACTTGCGCAGACATATATAGGGGCACTTGGAGCAACTACAGTGGTACTCAACATCATCTGCAGTCCGCTCGCTCTCCCAGTGTCTTTCGAGTTTGCCTGATCGTCTATTGATATCGTGCATCGCCGAAATCCTTTCCATGTCAGCTATTCTCGTATTCCTAACGGGCGTTGCCGTTGTCGCTATAGTGAAGATATGGCAGACGGTATTACCCAGATACCGCGCATCGCTACGTCGTCTCCCGGGTCCTCCTAGCGAAAGCTTCGTATGGGGTAATCTTATGAAGATCACTGCAGCTCACGGACGTCTTCACCAAGCATGGGTTGAGCAGTATGGACCTAACGTCAAAATCCACGGAATGTTCACGGTAAGCTCGCCATAGATCCCGGGGTTTGCAGTTTAGCTGATATGGGTAACTACCAGGCCCCTCATTTACTTACCACGGATCTGGATGCACTCCACCACGTCCTGTCGCATCCGGCGGATTACTGCAAGCCCGGAACTAATAGGCGGACTGTTGTCCATTCTCTCGGTAAAGGCGAGTATCCAATAGCTTCCATGCAAACAAGCCACATTCGAAGATCCTGTACTAAGATATCATCCAATATTGCAGGCATTCTCGCGGTAGAAGGCCAGCAACACAGGAATCAGGTAAGTGGCACTCCGTCCTGGGACCGACGCATACTAAAAATCGCCACTTCCAGCGTCGGGTCATGGTACGCTCGAGACTACTTACTTCTCGGCGCCGAAATACTCACGCTTCATTTAAGAACCCTGCTTTTGGACCAGCACAGATCCGGGATCTTACTGGCATATTTCTCGACAAAGCTAAGAATGTACATACACAGTCTCCATCCGAAATCGGCTAACTTATCTCCTTCGCCATAGCTCTGCGATTACTGGGGAGGCCAGATGTCTGAGGACGGAAGACTTTGCACATACATCGGCGATGGTCTGAGCAAGATGACCTTGGATGTCATTGGCCTCGCGGGTGAGCTTCGGTCCAAGCTTCAATCGATTGACAACTCCAGCAATTGATACGGCAACAACTTCTGCAGGATTCAACTATGAGTTCGACGCACTTCAGAGGAACGGGAAACCCAATGAGTTGAACCTGGCGTTCAAGGAGCTTGCCTCATCACCCCCGCAAGCCGCGACCATGAACGAGTGGCTGAGAAGGATGATTCCTTTCACCAACAAATTCTACGTATGTGCATCTTCCCACTAGGGATCCCCATACTCATGGGTGTCTCGCTCTCGGACACAGCCGGATGAGCGTGCGGTGAAACTCGATAAAGCCGAGGCAGTGATCAAGCGCATTGGACACCAGCTCATCAAGGAGAAGAGGGAGCAGATTTTGAGCGAGTCAAGCGAGAAGGGCTCCCAGTCCGTCGAGAAGAGGGACGTCCGCGGCCGCGACCTGCTTACTCTCCTCATGAAGGCGAACATGGCGACCGACATACAGGACAGTCAACGCCTGACCGACGACGAAGTCCTGGCCCGTGCGTCCCCCATCCGCGTCATTTGTACTTTCACTCACTGATATCATTGGTGCGCAGAGATCCCCGCCTTCCTGGTCGCTGGTCACGAGACCACGAGCACCGCAGCCAGCTGGACCTTATTCGCCCTCACCAAGCAACCTGCGCTCCAACGCAAACTTCGCTATGAGCTCCTCACAATTGAAACGGATACTCCGACGATGGAAGAACTCAATGCACTCCCCTACCTCGATCAGGTCATTCATGAGACCCTGCGTCTGCACGCTCCCGTCGTGATGACGATCCGCGAAGCCCAGCACGACGACGTCATTCCGGTCAGCCAACCATACACGGACGAACGAGGAAAGGTCCAGCATAATATTGGGGTCGCCGCAAAGAATAGGATCTTCATTCCCATTCTTGCTCTCCAAACTTCGAAGCAAATCTGGGGAGATGATGCACTCGAGTTCAAGTAGGGTTATCTTCGGACGTCGTGCATTGCTCGTACTTGTTAACCTCTGACGTTCGTAGGCCGGAAAGGTGGGACAATCCGCCCGAGGCGATCGCGAACATGCCTGGTATCTGGGGCCATCTGCTCACCTTCCTTGCTGGTCCGCACGCGTGCATCGGCTATCGGTTCTCTCTCGTCGAGTGAGTGCTCCCCTACCTCTGTTTGTCGATGCGAATATTGACACGTAGCGTAAGACTGAAGGCGTTGATCTTCACACTCATCCGTAACTTCGAGTTCGAGCTTGGTGTGCCGGTGGAGGACGTCGTGCCTGTTGGGGGCTTCATTGTACAGCGCCCGGGATTGCGCGGTCAGAAGGTAGCGGCCCTTCCTCTTATCTTGCGCCCTTACAAGCGAACGTAGTACTCTCCAGAACGCTATGACTCCGTCTATGGTCTACAGATATCGAATGTCATTTGATCGACGACGATACATATCTTCATCACTGTGACGCTGCGCGGGATCACGGACCTGTTCTTCCGACACCTTCATAACCCAATCGCCAGCATAGCCATAGCTATGAATGGTCCTGTGACTCGGTCGGACATGCTGTTCAGGACACGCAAACGCCTAGGACGAATATATATGTGTAAATGTCTATCATACAAGAATCTGTTGCGCTGAACGATCAGGGTATTGGTACGAGTATCGTCTCGATCCACCTGCGCGTGGGCGGTTACCCCCGAGGATCACGTGTGACATATGCGGAGATACGGCAGTGTCTTCTACTATTCCCACCGCCCGTCCTTCAAAATCTCACCGTTTCGGGAAGGTGTGCTTTAAAAAAAAAGACAGACGCCTGGTTCGGTCCCTCCTTCAGGCTTCCGGTGTCAGGTCCAAAGACATTCAGACTCACTTTTTTGACCAGGCAACTGGAGACGCAGCACCCCAGCACCCCAGCCTCCAGATATTGTACGTGCTGCATTGTTAGAGGGCGGGCTCGCTGGGCGAGAAGTCGGCAAAGTGGAAACTGGTGCAGCCGCGGTACTCATGTTCGCGGAAAGATGCGGTTGAGATAACAGAGTGGTCAGGGACCGAAGGCTACCCATGACCTCGTCGTGATGGCGTATTGCGAGAATGCGCATGCTGATACCATCAACGATCTGTATGGAGAGGACGTGAGTATGCGCACGAAGCTTGACCAGTCATCCAGCCTTGCCTGGAAGGTCACAAGAGCTTGATGAAGAGCCTGCCGATGCCTCGCAATCGCTTGCGAATGAGAGTCCTTCTGTAGCACCCGTTTCCAGACAGTGGTGTCCGTTAGGTGCTCCATTGTCGTAATGATATCTAACAGCCGTCTACAGGGAGTCGGCATTCGCCAGGACTCTTAATAATAGCGACCTACTCGTGGAAGTTGTGTATATCTTCCTTGAATCGCTCGTCCATTTCGTGTTCAGCCACGTCGCGTGTGGCCTTCAACAGCGCTTCCACAATCTTTGCGGTAGAAAGAGCTAGTTCCAGGGAATCGTGGCGGTTCCGCTTCACCTCCTAAAATCGTATCTTGAATGAGTGCTTCTAGCAAGCACGTTGGGATGTAGACTCGAACCTCGGCGTAGTGTATGATCTGCAGGGCCGTGTCCACTGTTGCTTGCAGGAACGGCGCTGTCGAACCGAACTTGCCCAAGACTTCAAGGGAGGTCTTCAACACAGCCAGAGTAGATATCGAGGGAAGTAATTCTCTCTTGTGGAGAGCTACGCGGCGCATATCGCAGTAGATGTTGTCGTGGGGGATGATGGGGGATGGTGGGGAAGTGTGGGCGAGGCTAGGATACGAGCGCCTGGCGCTCGAGCCGAGGAGCTTCTACGACGGTAGGTCAAGCAGAGCCTTCGGTGGCCCGGGTCGGACATAAGTGAGCCACAGGAAGTACGGCACATATGCCGTACATCATCATGTGTCATTTCTTCCCTATGACGTGAGGAGCGCGATACACTGGCGGGTGATATATGTGATACCTGGCTATAGTACACTGACGATCGATACACGAGGTTTGCATGCCGGCCTGTACGGCCTTCACTGTGAAAAATCAGTGTTCCACTAGGCAAGTGGGCAGCTGTGAAGAGAACATCGCACTGTTTGACGCACTAGTGATCGGTGTGCCCGACAATTGTGGAACCTGTTACGGACGCAGAGGTTTATCAATAACGTTCATCACCAGCCTGCCACAACTCGCCCGCCTACTTGTAACGTGGGCCCCATGAAAGGGGTTGCATACCTCTACTGGGCACTGCTGTGAACGCGCCTACATGGAGATTGCAGCTGACCTTCGCACTGATCGAGTCGCAGCACGCGGTTTCAACTTTCTAGCCCACTGTGGGCGCCGAAACAACGAATTTAGGGCCGGCGCCAGTTACGTCTCCCGCAACAATTGCCTTCCTTAGGCTACTGCTCTCTGTGCGGTGAGTATCATTCCCTGCTTGGGCCATAGTCTGAGCAATCTGAACACATCTCACATAGCAGGAATTATATGACATGTCTTCCTGATGGCTTTTCCGAGAGATCGGCCCCTCACAAACCTTCAAGCGATCACCGTTCAACATCTACGACTATGCAACGCTTGGTAGCTGTGCGCTAAGTCTCAATCGTCTACGTATAAGCAAGTATGGCCTGTTTTGAGACTTTTACATCCTTTCTGGGCCCCAACGGCAATACGACCTCTTTGTGAGCCTTCTGCTTCGTGCAATCATAGTGCATTACCGATGGGGATCTGTCTTCCGACGATATCTGACATCAACCATAATAAACAATATGCATAGTTTGAGTGCGCACATCGTTTCATTCCTGAATTTGCGCTGCTTCTGCCTAGTATAGCAGTCTTAGGAGCAGATATTGGAGTTGCTCGCCCGCGCCCAAGTCGCGAGCGTTCGCGCGTCGACGATGTTGTCCACATCTCCCAATCCGGCCCGCCTTCGGTCATACGAGGTCACCCTTCCTTCAGCTCCTCCCGCCAGATGGTTCTTGCGGGCTCTTTTCTCGTGGACCTGCTCCTCAATTTCATACTTACATTGGCCAATATGATCACACGAGGGGAGGTCAACCATGCCCCAAGGCCCATAGCAGCGGCCGAGGTCGCAGATACTAATCATCGAGTCATATGACGAAGCGTCTGCGCTACATCTCTACCACTATTCTTGAAGATACTTTCGGCCCAATCCTGACTTCCTGCCTCACACAGGAGAGCTCAGGACGCCGAATTTAATTTATAAAGCTGCGTGAGTCCGCATATCATGACATTCCACATCTGTGGCGCAGGTTGGATGTACTCATTGCCATGGATAATCGGTGCTCATGACAATACAATTGCGCAAACAGCTTCCCCACGTCAAGCTGTAACAATTGGAGGACATATCTGTGTAAGATTCGAAGACGACTATCAGGAGGTCGTGTCGGTCGTTCCTAACCATTACTGACGTCAGACAGAGCACCGGATTATCGTACGTATAGATCGTGAGTATGCCTATTACTTTTTATCGGATCATGGATGACACTAAATTGCCTCGCAGATGCCCACTTTGTACACCGTGAAGCGTGTTAATGTGTCAAGCGGAATCGCAATGCTGCCTTATTGCACTGCCGATCCAGAGAGCCACTGATGGCACAAAAGAAAGCGATGCGTATCCGTGTTAAGGGGCTATTCGGGTAAGTGGTCACTTGGGCCTCCAGCACTATTTTTTGCTGCGGAGCAAAGCACAAAGCGAAAGCGTGTCACGGAGAATGCGGCACACGCATTGGACAGTAGGGCCATTCTCTGATGGGAGGGCCGCGAATGCGCACCGCCACTAGGCCAAAGCGACTTCTTCCAGACATATATAAGGGCACCCAGCTCCTGCCATTCCGACGAACAACTCAACACACCCAACCGTGATTCCCATGGACAGCGCTCGACCACCGGGAGTGTATCCTACCTACGCCCTCACAGACAAACTTCTCAGCTTCTTTTGGAGGCAGTGAGTTGTCTCCTCTGTGTGGTGTCCGATTCAGTGCCTCATCTGTTTCATCTGTAGGCTTGCGCTCGATAGCGCTGCACTGCATGCGACTACGACGACAGTCGTGGCAGTGGCCAGCGTCGCCTTACCGGTTCCGACTATCGTACGTCGATCTGCTTCTCATCCGTCGTGGTCATCCGCTCACCGTCACAGCAGCTTCGTCGCGGTCCACTGGCTTCCCAACCACGGCATCGAGCACGACGATCTCCGCCCGGCCAAATCATGGTCCGATCGGGAAGGGGTGGCAGACATTGCGTACTGGGCGATTACCGGAGTTGGTGAGGGGGTCACGCCATAGCATCGCAAGATGGCACCGAGTGAGTGGATGTTTCCTTTGAGCACGGCGCACGGTGTACTCAAGGCATATGACCTCAGGGGTTCTACTGCGACCTATGCGAGAAGACTGCTGGTCATCCACTCTCAACCACGACCACAGCGTCCTGTCACCCTACATGGTCGCCGCCGCACTGCACGCAAACTTAGACTCCCTGCCTAATCCCCATACATTTGACGCACTATCGCGACAATATCCCCTATTCCTAGATCCGCAGCGATAGCCAAAGCCACTTCTACTGTACCCCGACATACACCTACCGATTCGACCCACTACGCTTCTGTCCTCGCCTCCAGACCTGCCGCCTGCACGCCTCGACTCACAACGCGTATCGCATCCCGCCGGGGTTGTGCTAGATTGAGGACGACGGCACGATCTCCGCGAACCACCCACTTATTCAAGAACTCATCAACCACACACCCGCCACAGGGGGCTGACATCTGTCCATTAGGTATCGATTGCTTTGTCTGTCGCGACGAGCTGCAATGGCGAGCCGGATGCAAGAAGTCAAAAGGGCCATCTCCAGACTCAGTTGCGGCGGCGGAATATGCCCGACGATCTAGAGGATCTAGTCATGGACGTGAGTAACAAGCCATTCCTGTATACCCGGGCGTGTGCTCATGCCTTCATACACAGTACCTCCCGCTCTTGGCAACAGCAACGACTCTCGTTCTTCCCGCGACGGCACTTCCACTTCCCGACCTGGGCGTTGGATGGGGGTTTTCACGGCATGCCTGGCACTATTACCCACGATGCCGCTCGTACAGGAACCCCGATGTCGAATGGTCCTGGCCTCAACCTTACCAACAAGGTCGGAGTCCCTCAATACTTATACGACGTACGTGAGGGACCGTACGACCATGGTGCTCATCACTTCACGAATGGCCAGCTCCCACCGTATAAGCCAGGCTTCCAGGCCAGCCGTTCGCCTCCCCTCCACAGGATCAAGACTCCATCCGGGACACCAAAGCGGCAGAGACATTGTACACCCTTTCATTTCCAACACATTATGGCGCCTGCAGGAGGTGGCTGGATTGTATTTGTGGACGAGATGTCGCCAGCTGCATTTGCGTCCCTCAGCTGTCTAGAGTACTCATTACAACATGTACTAACATTGATTAAGACTGGCTATAAAATTGCCAACTTAATTTAAGTGTAGATCACATTTCGATGCCTTGAGATGTGAACCCAACGTTACAGTGCATCCTTGTGCCGAGTGAGAGGACCCATCCGGCATAATATGCCAGGAGCGTCTCTTGAAACAGACTCCGTACTACAACTTGCAATGAAGAAGGGCGAGTGAGAGCTGCTGGGGAACATCGACCAGATGACGCGCTTGAGATGTGCCCCAATACTACGTAGATAGAGGTTGAAGTCAGTTCATTGTCGGTCTGCACCATAGCCAACGTCCTGGGCTAGACCACGGCATCCTTGCCATCCGCGTGGGATATTGTGTGGGTTACCAATCTAGAGCACGACATGACTAGAGGCAATGGATGAGAGGCTGCCAGGTCCAAGGGGCCAGTGAAAAATCAGCGTTCGAGACGACCGAACGTGCGTGAAGCATGATACAGCGACGGTTCTCAGTACAAGACGAGACGAACCCCGTTCTGACAACGAAGTTCAAGAAGCCCCGGTGCACAGAGTGCTCTTCTGTGTCCGATCCCAACGGAAGGGCTCTAGATCGTGCACCGCAGCATGATAGATGCATACAGAACAATCTCCGGTGGGCGTCGGACACTGGTGACTTCGACGACATTCTCTTGAACTGGACGTTCGACTGCCGACGAGAAGTTTAATCCGCTCGAATGGGCGTGGCCATGGGTGAGACACGCGGAGATACGATACACAGACATTCACGCGGTGTCGAGATAGACCTAGCTGGGACGAGGACGATCATGAGAGGAGACAAGAAAGCCGCTGCCAAACGCGGATGTCTGCGCACCCGTCGGGGACGACGCGCACAGTCGCGAGCGTCACGCCACCGCCCTCGGCGAGACCCGGTGCCCCGGTTGATAAGCCGCCCCAGCACCACCCGCCACTCTCTCTCCCCAACCACCATCTACCCTCATCCATCTCACATCCAACTCTTCAACACTCGTGTATGTCGCCTGTTGACTCGGCTGGCCCTCTCGTATGCTCAATCGTTACCCTTAGCATGCAGATCTTCGTTAAGACTCTTACTGGCAAGACCATCACCCTCGAGGTGGAGTCCTCGGATACCATCGACAACGTCAAGGCCAAGATCCAGGACAAGGAGGGGTTAGTCACAGTGGACGGTACCGTTCACCTACTCCAGTCCTGACCCTACCGTACCTTCCAGTATCCCTCCCGACCAGCAGCGCCTCATCTTCGCCGGCAAGCAGCTCGAGGATGGCAGGCCCCTGTCTGACTACAACATTCAGAAGGAGTCCACTCTTCACCTCGGTATGTGTTACGTGCTTGTTCAAAGCTCCAAACCTCATAGTCATCTGTCTCTAGTCCTCCGTCTTCGTGGAGGCATGCAGATCTTTGTGAAGACCTTGACCGGCAAGACCATAACGCTTGAAGTCGAGTCGTCGGACACCATCGACAACGTGAAGGCCAAGATTCAGGACAAGGAGGGCATCCCGCCCGATCAGCAGCGCCTTATCTTCGCTGGTAAGCAGCTCGAGGACGGCCGCACTCTTTCGGATTACAACATCCAGAAGGAGTCCACTCTTCACCTTGGTGCGTTCCTACCGTTTCGAAGTCTGTGGCTGTCTGCTCACACGCGTTACACAGTGCTCCGTCTCCGCGGAGGTATGCAGATTTTCGTCAAGACATTGACGGGCAAGACTATCACCCTCGAGGTGGAGTCTTCCGACACCATCGACAACGTCAAGGCGAAGATCCAGGACAAGGAGGGCATCCCTCCTGACCAGCAGCGCTTGATCTTCGCTGGCAAGCAGTTGGAGGATGGCCGTACCCTTTCCGACTACAACATCCAGAAGGAGAGCACTCTTCACCTGGGTACGTCGCATTGGCTTATACTTTCTGGTCGAGAGTAGTGACTAATCAATAGTTTTATAGTCCTCCGTCTCCGTGGTGGGATGCAGATCTTCGTCAAGACCCTCACGGGTAAGACGATCACCTTGGAGGTTGAGTCGTCGGACACCATCGACAACGTGAAGGCTAAGATCCAGGACAAGGAGGGCATTCCTCCCGATCAGCAGCGTCTCATCTTTGCGGGCAAGCAGCTTGAGGATGGGCGTACGCTCTCGGATTACAACATTCAGAAGGAGAGCACCCTCCATCTTGTCCTCCGTCTCCGTGGTGGCCTCTGAGCGCTGTGCTGCGCCGCCGCTCTGCCGGTCGTTGTCGGGTTGTTAAGTCGTTACGATCATGGATGTATCATTGTATCAGTAATGTTAGCTCGTTTGGATGGTGAACTGCATTGAGGAGGCATCTCCCAGCGTCGCCTCACTGGGGGTACTTGTAAGGCGGGCAGGCCAGCTCCTCAAATCGCGCTGGAAGGTCGCAAGTTGGATGGTTGTATATACAACCTGCTGCCCGGCGGCATCGAACACACGTCTCTGCTGGTGCGTGACTGGCTGTTTGCCATCGCGTTGACAATCTCTGACCTCTTGCACAACTTTCGGGTGGACCATGGAGCAGTATACAGGCACGTCCAATAGTCATGGAAGCCCAAGACGGAGCGTTTGTCTATGCAGGCGATATTATTGCACGAATCCGTGGAGCCGTACCTTTCTCGCCGAACAGCTGTCTCGATGCGGCGTGCCCAAGACACATGATGTATACATACACGACTCTGAATGCAGCTCCAAGCTGCTGTCGACGATCCAAGCCACGCTTTTCACGAAAACAGAGCGCCACACCTGATGCCGTGTGCCTCGGGCATTGGGTTGAGCGCTGACGGTCGTAGCCATGTGGTGTGGTAAGTATGTCCTCGTCTCCTAGACTAGCGCAAGGTTCTAATTTTATCACACATATCAGTCAGCTTGGCATCGATGAAGTCCTTGTACGGGTCGAACATCGTCTATGCCGGCTGTAGACGCGAGAGACCGAGGGTACTGAGGGGCACGGCTCGTGGGGCCGTTCCTAGTACATCGGCGCGATTAAGACCGAGCGAAACGGCCCCGTTGTGCTCTATGCGTTCGGATCTGAGGACACAGGCCAAGCGAGCGAGATGTTCTCCGGGCCTTCGCAAAGTCCCCACTTGGACAGACAGCGCACGTCTTAGGCTTGAACCTTACAATTACGCTACATCTCGCCTCCCGTATATAGGCAGAGAGAGCTCGCGGCGTAGCGAGCACATTGCTCTCGCACTTCACTCGGACAGCACTCGATTTGTCGACCGCGCTCACCATGACGTTTGCTACGCTCAAAGCTTTGCACGGCGTCATAGGCGATGCGCTCGCTGAGATGGAGCGGGTGTATGCTGAACGGTCGCAGGGGACGACCCCCTTGGACTATCCGTCGCTGGACGTGCCGTACTACCAGAACGCGGCGAACCACAGCCCCGAGGCAGAGCCCGCAGAGAAGCTGGCCTCGGATCCTGCAGTAGTTACCGCGGCGAACCAGATTGTCGCAGCGTGCGGCCAGCTCGCAGCGTCGGTGCATAGACCGTTCTTCTCACTCATGGAGGGTTTGATGAGCGTATGTGGTCCTTTGGCCGTCCCGCACGTCCATAGCTCACGGCGGACTGCGCATATAGGGGCATATTGTCGCGTCTATCCAGTTCCTCGAGGCTACGAATACGGTGGAGATACTCCGGGAGGCCGGTCCGGAAGGTGTGCATGTCAACGAGCTAGCGCGGCGCATCGACGTGCTAGCTTCCGGCCAGGACGGGACCGCGCCTGCTGAACCAGTAGATCCGGACAAGCTAGGTGAGCGTCTCGACCTCATTGAGGCATGGGCTGCAGCATTTGGGTTTGGAGCTAAGCTGATGTGTCTGCGTGTTATATAGGTCACATATTGAGGCTTCTTGCGACGTTCCATTGGATACGCGAGGTCCGGCCGGACGTATTTGCGAATAACCGTTTATCGTCTATCATAGACTCGGGGAAGACACCTGAGCAGCTTCGTATCGCGTGAGTGGTGGTTACTGCTTGCCCTATAATGTATGCATGCCACTGACAGATTCCTTCCAGTCCCTCGAAGAAATATGATGGCACTGACTGCGTGGCCGCTCTCGTCCCAATGAAGTAAGGGACTATAGCATGGACACCTTCCCTGTCAATGTCAATCAAGTTCTTCTATCTAGATCGGACGACTTCTTCAAGTCCATTGCGCACATGACGGATGCCCTCCTTCCTGATAGAGAACGCGCCATCTCTCTGCGGAAGCTGCTTTACCAACGTGGCCAGTCCGACTCGGCCACGAATGTCAAGTACAAAACTCCCTTCAACCTCGCCTTCCGGACAGAGCTGGGTTACTTCGAATGGCTGGAGCTTCCCGAGAACAAGACGCGCCTCAGGGACTTTGGTGTCGGAATGACCGGGACACGTCCCTGGGAGATCGTGGAGAACATCATTGGCAGTGCGTGAAGCTCTTCCTGAGAGCAGGTGTCATTCAGCCGACTTTCTCATCTGACAAACAGCCTTCGCCTGGAAGGACCTTTCCAAGGACTCGGTTGTAGTGGACGTCGGCGGTGGAGTTGGGTCGACGTCCGTAGTCCTAGCACACGCATACCCACACCTACGGTTCGTCGTCGAGGACAGGAAACAGGTCGTCGAGATTGCGCCCTCCGTAAGCATTCCACGTATTTGTGCTCTTCCATCACGAGCTTAATCGCCGTCATTGAAGGTCTGGAGTGGAGAGCACGCCGAGCTAGTGAAATCAGGGAGGGTCAGCTTCCGACCGCAAGACTTTCTCCAGCCACGACCGCCCTCTATCGAAGTCTCAGTTGTCGGCTCCGTATCATCACCTGCCGTCTTCCTTATCCGAGGATGCACGCACAATTGGCCGGACGAATCCGTCAGGACGTGAGTTCGCCGCGACGTCGGGGATCCCATGATGCTGAGCCCGGCTTCTATGTCAGGATACTTCGTCACCTCCGCAACGCCGCGGGTTCGACAACCAAGCTGCTCATCGTAGACATGGTCCTCGCACACGCGTGCTACAACGACTACGATGATAACCGAGAAGCAATTCCTGGCGCGGAGCGGACGCTTGCCCCAGAGGGCTCTCCGCTGCTCGCTAACCTTGGGCGCGCGAGTGCGAGCGGGTACTTGCTCGACCTCTCGGTGAGTGTCTCGTGCTGTCCACTGTCCACAAACGCTTGTCCTGATCGTGAACTGCGTCCTGTGTACTTGGGGTAGATGATGGCGGTGCTAGGGGCGAAGGAGCGAACCCTCCGGGAGATATCTGCGCTTGCGCGCTCCGCGGGATGGAAGGTCTCGCGGATGGCGCGTGCGAGCGGGTCGGTGTGGGCGTACATCACGGCCGAGCCTTTCTAGAAGGCTGCGGGCTCGTCGAATTCTCCTGTGGGTGGTCTCCTGTGGGTGGTCTGTTCCTGAACGCTGTGAATCGCAAGGATTGGGGTTGGGGATTGTGCTGTGCCTCGCGAATGCCCATGAGGGCAGGATATCCGCACATCTTGTCGCCGGATAGCACGTAGCCCAATGCGGCTAAACCCCAATGCAATAGTATCACTGTGCCGCAGCCAAGGTGTGAGGGTTTGACCCTTCCGAGCGTCGACTGGGTGGCCGCAGCGGGCTAAGGCACTATTATCAGCGGGAAGATGAGTGTTGCACTCATGTGTCCTCCTTGCTGACCGCGCTTCTAACGCCGGGGCCGGAGGTGTCTGGAAGGCCAGAAGTCGCTTCGGTAGGGAGGCTCTGCCCATTCGAAACAGTAGAGCGGTACGTACCTGGAAGGAAGCGCATCTCCCAAGATCCCGTTTTGTAGCCTGAGGCGGTGAAGATCTCTAGACCCGATGGCGACACAAAGGGGCGGGAAAACAGACACGGAAGACAAGCGGGTTCGGACCCCGGAGTCCAGACGCTCGCTCATGCAAGCACAATGGCGTCCCAACCTGCCCGTCGTACTGGGCACCTCCACATTGACACAAAGCAAGGGAGCGAGGGTTTTATCGCGCTCAAGAGTACAAAATCTTCAGTACGTCTTTTGTCATCATGGGTCATGAGTCGTTCGGCTAATCCGCATGTAGCTGAAGACAATGACCGTACCTGATTTGGCAATCTTAGCGCTCAAAGCGGCGTCGACCATTCCGCCAACCCAGGTACGCCGCTATGGTGACTGGGGTTGCTGCACTTGTGCAAACCACACACATGTCATATATGTCATCTTGAGGCCAGCTCATATCATATGATTGTATCTCAATGGGGTTTACTTTCTTGTATTCCTCGCATTTCTGCAAGGTAATATCATTGGTTACTCCACATAACGCTTTCCCCCAGGACATGCCACTAAGCACACGGGACATCTATGCATAAGCCGGGGAGGTGCGGGCAATATGTAGAGAAAGCCGATGACGCAATGCATTTCCGGTAGTTTTGTGTGTACACATCTCTGCCCCGCTTAGCTGTGCTATCGGCGATCTCATGACGGAGGCACACACGTCCCGCTAGGGAAATGTCGGTTTTCTACCCCTTCCGATGCACAGTACTCTAATGCATAGTAGGCACTTCTAAGGGCCCTGAGTGTACTTCCTCAAGGGCTTGATTGCTATGTTCAGGATCCGGGATATGAGAATAGTTGACGACGTCATGACATCACGAATTTCCTCGGTATGTTTCACCCCGTGCAATTGCTGGCCGGAAGTCTAGATGCCAGCTCGACCTCATAAATTTAGGAGGCAATGTCACCTCGTCACCAATTTCCCTCTCAATGCTGCACCGTATGTGGAGCTCTCCTGCTCGCAGCGAACATCTTCATCTCATCGCCGTTCATCTAGGTTCACCGCCGTGACGATGTTGTCAGACCACAACTCCCAAATAGTCCTCCACGTGACCCAATGGAGCCGAGGCACAGACTCCGAGGGCAAAACTCGACCGCTCCACTGGGCACTCACCTTCAAAACCTCCGGCTCTCACTTGCGGCCAATAGGGAATGCCTATAACGTCGCCGGCAATGTCGATACATTCTGCTACGAGGCACAGCGGGACATTCCTCTCCGCCACGATTTGTGGCGCGGTTCACTTGCCGTCGGCCGCATCCCAGTCGAGTCCATAGACCAGTTCGAAAAGATCTTGTCCGAAATCCCCATCGTCCGTCACGATCCGGAGTGGAATTCTCAAAATTGGGTCTGGACTGCGCTCCGCGAGCTCAGGCAGCAGGGCTTCGCTATCGAGTATAACCTCTCGTTTGACAAGCTCCGGTCCCACATGTACGGGCTCTCCGAGGCTTGGGAAAATGGGGACATCTAGTGCTGTCTCTTGATGTGAGACCCGTGCTGGGCGATGGGTTCATCATATCTGGGCCGACTCAGCGAGTCTTGTCGCTATCGTCAGGTCCCAGTCTCAGCGTGCTAACGGTCATGTACAGTATTTCACGCTTTCTTTGGGGGTGCTGTAGCCTATATACGTGGTTCAGCGATAGAGGTTATCTCAATTGGGTTTATTTCGCCGCTTCAGATTACATGAGAGTGACATACACGGTGTTTGTTGGCTAGATTGTGTAGAACTATATCGAGCTTGCTCGGGATAAACGGGCGATTAATCTAGTAAATGGTGGAGTGCGTGTTTCCTCCAAGTCATGAGTACGATGTGGCCATAGGGCGCATCATAGCACTTGCGAGGACGGCGGTATGAGCACCCTTTCGCAATGGGACACAGATCTGCCGGCTGTGGACTAACTAGATCAATAGGTGCAATCATATGCTTAAGCCAGAACCCTCTTGTAATAAATAGATATTACGGGAGGCCCGGAACCACACCATGAAGGCGATACAAGGGAAGCATCAGCAAAAGTGTAAAAATGTCGTCCAAGATTGTAGGTGGTGCCCTAAGCGCCGTTTACGGCGCGAGACCGCGCGAGCACCCGATATGGGATCCAAGGGGGCCTGTACGCACAATACTCACAATACCAGGCGAGACTTGTGGTAAGATTGCATGACGGCACAATATATGCTCTGGCTCCCATGATATCACACGTCCGCACAATGATGTATAATACCTCATGAGCAGATCACGGAAACTTGATGAGTTTGGTCGCGGTTTGCAACGTATCTCATTCCCTTCTCGGTGAGTGAGCGGACAATTCTTTGAAACTACGTTGTGTTAACTGTATAGCAATAGTACACACGAGCCAGTCCCAGCACGTCCTCGTCCATAGGCCCTTCCGGTCCGAGAGAGGCATCACCGTCACTCTGCGATTGTCCATTGTCGCTGTCGAAATGATGGTTGGCGGTGTAATGCGCGTTGTCAGAAGCTGTGATGAGTACGCCGAAGCATCACATGGCTTGCACTTGTCATACTTCCCCCATGATTCACAGTAAGAACCCGGTGGGCGAGAACGTACTGTAAAGACGGATGAGGTCCTATGGCCCCGAGTGAACAGGTCGTAAATGGAGCTTGCTACTCGCCCTCACCCAGCACCGTAGATCCTGTTGACAACGGAGAGCCAGCTCGTTGATCGGATGGGGGCTGGACCAGGTGCATCTACTTGACTGGATGTGCGACTGAGGGGCTTGTGTAAACGTGTACCGTTCGTGAAGGTCTTCGGGGTTAGAGGGTGCGGAGGACTAGGTCTCTGAGCGTGGCTGAGTCGCATACGGGTTGCAAGTGAGACACTGTGTAATGGACAGGGTCAGGAACGATCGCTATTTTGGATCGGTAGCAAGTCAGCAACGTACCAGTTTCTTCTTGTGAATCGAAGGACCCTGTCCAGCCTCCTCGATGACCCGATGTTCTTACTTGACGGGGGAAACCTGATGTTCGGTCTCGCTCAAACGTATCCCCTCGCGAAGTCCCATCACAACGCCGAAACCGCCAAGCAGGCTCTGAATAATGTCGAGCCGCACCTCAAAGCCCTGGATGGCGTCATACTCCGAGTGCTTCGAGATACGTCCCTCAAGATCCTGGATGATGGGGCAAGAAGACGTAAAGAACGGAAGCGGGACCACATACCTCAGGAGCGTTTCAGCGAGCTCGCCACCGAACGACGCAGGCCGTGCTGGGAAGGTGACGGGAGGCATTCAATCAACGATAGAGATGCTGCTATCTGAGGCCCAAGTCCGACCTCAGAACTAGCTGCTGTCGTCCCGGATGCTTACAGGAGGAGGATTCCGATGAGCATACAGATTTAGTCGACGGGATTGTAGCAGTGTGGCCGACGAGAGATGAGGAGGTGAAGGCGAGGACGAGGTGAATATGCTGATCACGGCGAGCGCGTCCAACGTGTAGGCGCCCACACGCTTCACAAGCTCTTCACCTTCACGCTATAAAGAGCGTCCATGTACAAAAGAACGTCATGTCCATCTTCCCTTCGCCCCACTATCATCTCCCTTCTCACAAAATTCAATGCCTCAAGAAACATAACTTGATGTTCCACCAACGCCCACGCTTGCCGCCGAGTTCAATAGGCCATCGTATAGCAATCTAGTAGGCTCTCAACGTCTTTTGGGCGCATATATGCACCCCTTCACTAACATATTGCCCATGAAAAACACCTACACTTCACTCATTGACAGTGAAGATCTCCAGTGATCCTTAGCACAAGTCGTTCTTGGTCGATGTCGCTCCTCGGAATTTTGTCCTTGTGAGTGCGTTCCTCTTCCCCGACCTCGCGTCCACCCCTCCACACGCGCACTGCGGCAGACCTCCTGCCCGCATCTGCCGCGCCTTCAGTGACTTCACTCAGACCTAGGGAAGACGCCAGCGACCTCGACGCCTCCACATCCACGCTCTCTACGCAGCACCCCGGAGCCACAGCCCTGTGCGAGCAACCAGGGATGTCCCAACGCTCCGCCCTCTTCCTCCTTCTCGCGCATCATGACAGCGAAGCTCCTTCAGGTGCAACGTCGGCATCACAGAGTCGCAGCTACTGACGCACACATTAGAGCGGCCAGGCAGGATGTGGAGGTCGCTGTCCATGGTAGGTGAACAGTTTGTTACATCCGAGGGCGCATCACATGCCCGCGAAGAACCCGACCGCGAGACCTCGGACGGGAATGAGCCCCTCCTGTCAGACCTTGAGGCCAATCACCGGACGTATCATATGAACGGCGACCCGCAACCAGAGGCTGCTGGCAAGCGGAGCGCGCGGGGTGCGGTAAAGGACTTCACCATTCAAATAGCGAGGAAGTCCGCACCCGTAGCGACGGATGCCCTGAGATCTATACCCGCCGCTATACTGGACGCTCTCCTCAACATCTTGGATGGCATTTCTTGTGAGTACCTTGTCATGTGACGCGCCCAGTCGGCCTTTCTTTGACGAGTGCATCATCAGACGGCATGATAATATCCCCACTACTGGCGTTTTCGAGCACCTTGGCGGCGTCGGCGTGTCGATGATCTTTGTGAGGTAGGCTTCAATCACTGTATCATTGGCAGCTTCTGAAGGAACCATGCGCAGCGCCATCGTCTCTCAATTGATATATTCTGCCGACGTGAGCGGTTTCGTGGGAGCTAACGAGATTATGATAATTGAAGTCATCATGAGTGACTGCGGATAACGCAGCGTTGACGCGTCTCCATCCCCACTTGCCGACTACGTTCAATCCGGCTTCCTTGCGGGCGAACATCTTGTAAGCTTCTGCGATTGTCTTGTATGTGTAGCTTGTCTGTGATTGTTTCTTCCGCAATATATTTCTCGCCCACGCATTCTCTCCGATCCCAGTGTATATATGATGTTATACGACATCTCTTTTCACCGCCTAACACTGAGAATCCGAGGCAAGGTATGGAAATATCTGGCAACATCGACAGGCTGTTGCCCTATACTGCACGGGCTTCTCAGGGTTGCCCCATCTCGCAACGAACACAATCCCGGGCAATTGAGGGAGGTACGGCGCTCGATCGCTGTCATTGCAAGCGGGTGCCATACTGACCATACCGGGCAATACCCGCGAGATCTCGCCGGTATTGCCTGGTATTTCTGTATATTGCCTGCTCTGCCAACCTATTCGGGGTTATTGGGCTAGGATGGAAACCTGACAAGGTGCGCCCAATATGCCTTACATGTTGCATGATATTTTTGCGATTGCCTGGGTGGGCCCGGGTGGGTAATATCCGGCAACATTTATACATTTTTGCTGATGAGACAAAGGATAATGTGGCAAACACTGCCCGACGCTTTCGCCCAGATCGCGAGTCTGGCTCTCAGGCTGACGCACTTCGTAAGCAGTTTGTGGCGCGAAATTTAGTTTTCACGCCGTTCTCAGCATTGAAAGCGGACATAATGGGTACCCAGTGTCGCGGCACTTCCAGTGCCTTTCAATGTGCGTAATTCGACGTTCGTGCTTCCACCGCGGTCACGTGTCCATGTTGTGACCTGACTCCCCACGCTTCGGCCGCGGGCGGTGTCGGCAGACGGTCAGTGGTTGCCTTCTCTCCTTCACCTGCCATTGGATCTGACCTGATGTGTCTCCTCGCTGTCTGCCTGAGCCGTCACGACAGTGTCGCGTCGTTGCGCTCTCCTTTCTTCCTCTTTCGTCAATCATTTTCTTGTAGATCCCTGCGGCATTTCGTATGTCTGATCACTGCTCCGCGTTTCTTGCTTCATGCTCTGGAGAGGGCTACCTTGGCCCAAGCACTTCCTAAGGAAGGAGCATGTCTGAGAGTCATATCATCTAGGTCAAGTGGAACAAGTTGACGGAGTCACAAAACAGTCCGGTCGCGTCGCAGGGCAAAGCATCTTGTCCGAGTGGGATCTCCTTGTAACTTCTCATCGCGCCGCATAGATCCTCGATGGCTTCCTGCAGCGGACGCTCCGCGTCCGCGACGTTGAATCCACAGTCTGACAGTTTGCCAGGATTATTATTGCATCGTAGAGCTTCTTCACTCTTCGACTCGTCCTGTCTTGTGTCGTAGACTTCTTCATCACCACCGAACTCTAACTTTACCTGCGTAGCAGTTGCACAGGCACCGGAAGGTACGCCGTCCCCCCGTTAATTTCATCCAGAACACTCAAACTTTACTCCCCAGGTTAAATCATATATTGGACTCAGTCGCGCTCGAGACCGGCTTGCCCACCTCGTGCGTGACGCATGCTCTCCGCGTCTATGCCCTCCGCTAACGCAATCCCTTCAAGCGTGACCACGGTCATTTCGCTGGTCTTCGTAAGTACCGAGTCTCCTATCTTAAGGGGCCACGCATGGCAGCGAGACGCGCGCTGACTGCGCCCATTGTGCTTTCCAGTGGCTGGCGAAGCCGCATGTATAGATCTATCTTGGACTGCACTTCGCTATCAGCAAGCGTGCGCGCCTCGTTTCTTCCCCCGCTCTGGTTCTGACGTTGAGATCCGGCCCATAATGCCTCCGATAGTCTACACGAGCTCATTGCTCGCTTCGTAAGTACCGAGACCCAGGTTTGTCAGCCTCTTCAAATGTGCGCATTCTGATCCGGCATTCGAACACCTTTAGAATGAACACGCGCAAGGTCTTGCGAGATCGGTCAGTCTCGCAATCTGGTAGCGGCCACAGTTCGGTATGCTACAATGTCTATCTTGCTCGCGTTCCGTCAGCTGACGTACTATCGTTCAAGCACGTCGACCCCGTCAACTTCCATACTGCAGTAAGTAGCATGGCGGGAAACTTTTGCTCACCTCGGCGCTGACGTTGCCCAATCGAGCAGGTGCAGATCACTGTGGACAAGACGGTCGACTTTGGCTTAGAAGATGACATACGGGGAGCTGTATCACAGGCGTCCGAGAGGAAGGACGCCGTGTCACCGGTTTGAGAGAATGGATGGTGAGCACTGCCGTCCGGCCGCGCTAGACACGAGAACCATACGCCCAATTAGTGTAGGACGCATTGCCCTATACCTTGCTTCATGTTCCTTTCAGTCAGCCTGCTGACTCCCTGCATTTTACTGTACTAGTATGTGTAGTCTCTGCGCTCGTAGGCGATGGCACGTCCGTCGATCTTTTTAGCGCTTCCCCTCGAGCTTTCATTCCGCGTAGTATCGGGGTATGCGGCAGGCGCCTGACGCAAGAGAGTGCGAATGCGATCATGAGCGGTCCCACGTCCGGCCACCACGCTACATGACATGCAGCTGCCTCGCGGCCAGATCGGGAAGCAACGCCCACTTCGCCGCGAGCCTTGAGGCTCGTGGGCGTGCTGCGTGACGGTCAGCACGCATCTGAGTATGAGCTACTCCTCACCCGTTTTACGAAACCGCTGCCTATTTGAAGGTTACACTTCCCCTTCGAACCCAAGGACGCTATCAGACTAATGTCAGATCTTGTACAGCTGATGCGTGGTGACGTATCGAGGAGCTGGGCTCGTAGGAAGACAAAGAACCCATACAAGGTTGGCACATTATGCTCAGGGAATAGGGCAACTGCGGTAGCGGTAACGGTAACGCCGGGACATAAAGGATTGCAGCTGAATAGATCGCACCGTTCCGAGAGCCTGAATGGGGCCCGCGGTCAAGGTCAAACTGTGCATCCTGCAGCACTGCAAGCAGCTAGAACGCGTTCATAAAGGAGCACGGAGCGGAAGAGGCGGACAGGACCGGGGAGGGGGCACAGAGATAGCAGCCCAACGCGGCAAGAATGCCATTTCGGGCACGAGGAGACAAGGAGGCGAGAGACATCGAAGAGACGCGCAGGTGCAGCACCCCTAACACGATATGTTTTGTGAGCGCACTCGTGGCTTGCGAACGCAGCGGCCGCTGCATTTCAGCCCGCGACCGGCCTTCCGGGGAGGTACATATGATCTGCTCGTAGGTGCCCACTCTCCATCACTTCTCGCTACGCGTCCCTCGCGAGCTCGAGCACTTCACACCTTCTCTGTGTCCCCGAGTCGCGCTCGCTCGTTGCACGAACTTATCTTCCTTTGTCTCGCTGATCGCTATCGAGCAGCCATCATGTTCTACACACCGACACCCGAACAAGCCTACTACCCCCGCCACTACTCTCTTTCACCCAAGCACGCTCGCGAGGCTAAACTGTCGTCGTTCCCTTCCTCCTCCTCCAACGCCTCCCCCCGCTCACAGCAGACGTACTCGTCTATGCGTCGCTCGCGGACAATGGGCAACCCCTACTCCTCGAACTACGACTACGACGACTACGACCCCTCGGACACGGACCCGTACGTGCGCATGCCGCATACATACGCCTGGGTGCTCGAGCAGCAGATCGCCAAGATGGTGGAGCAGAACGAGGACACCGTCCGGTGGGTGCACGAGCAGCAGGCGCGCGACGACGGCCGCGAGCAGGTCGCGTTCCGCATCCTCGCGGCGTCGGGCCGCCGCGGGCACCCCGCGTTCGACGAGCTGCTCCTCCACCCCGACGCGCGCGGGCGGGCGTCCGCGGCGTGGGCCGAGTCCGAGCGGCGGTGGAAGCGATGGGAGTGCGACGCTGAGGTCACGATCGAGGACGAGCTGCGGAGGCTGCAGTCGTACCGGCGCGAGTCGGAGAGGCAGCGGGCGGCATACGAGCGGCGGAAGCGCGGGGAGGAGGAGCGGGAGCGGCTGAAGCGCGAGAGGGAGCGCGAGGCGATGCGGACGAGGAGACAGGAGCTGGAGCGCGAGGCGGGGCGGAGGTACGAGGCGCGGTGGGTCGAACTCTTGAGCTCTGAAGAGACGCTCGGGTTCCGCGACGTCCCGTGGCCGATGTTCTCCCAGCCAAGATCGCTGGAGGAGCTCTCGGAGGCGAAGGTGGCGAAGTTCGTGCTGTCGCCTTTGCATGCAGGGGAGACGAGGAGAGACAAGATCCGGAACGCGCTCAAGCGATGGCACCCGGATCGCTTTGGGCGGTTATCGGGGAGAGTCAAGGAGGAGGAGAAGGAGGCGATAGAGGACGGCGTCGGCATCGTCGCGCGATGTTTGAACGACCTGCTCGAGCGCGAGAGTCAGTAGTTGCCTTTCGCTTGGTACGCACCTCTTCCTAGGCCGACATCGACGCACACACTGATACAACGATGTTCGTCACAGATATGCACATCCTCCTATTCGTGGACCGCGGCAGGGACGTGGGAGTATGCATCTACGCCTTATGCACTACTATGATGACTGCTACAGCGCAGGTGTATTTTTAGCGTAGTAATCAAATCTCTTCGTTCTGCGATAGATGCTTACCGTCGAGCACTTCTGCAGGCAAGCGGTTCGTACGAGCTGAAATCCGACTGACTGGGCCTCTAAGCTTCAATGGTTACTAAGTATGATTCTTCGATTCGTATGCGCAGATACTATAATGGCGCAACAGACATATTGGTGCGATGGTTGGTAGACAAGGGAGCGTCCGACGCGCGCACGTTGTTGTGACGTCGACTTGAATGTATGCGCGCCTATCAGATCTCTGCTGTTCAACGCATAACGTGCAATTGGCCGCAACTATGCCTGCACTGGCCACCCTCGATCCTTGCTGCCTGCTGGTTATGCCTCCTCATATCCGAATTGACGGCTGGTATGCAATGCAGCGCAGCCTATAGGACATATCTATCCGACCGGAAACCTGTGCCAGCCAATCATTTCTCCCCGCCATACCATCGCAAAGATCGCGTCTTACACGCCATTCCGAATTCATCTCCATCTCTCGCAACCTCTCTGCTTTGCCGCATCGCATGCTGCACTGCAGAGTGCAACGAGAGCGACCCCGTTGGCCGACGTGCCCAATGCTCTGTCTGCGGTAGGACGGAGAGCCGAACGCCGACAGCGCATGTCCCCTGAGATGGATCATGGCCGCCACGGTCACTTGACCAAGCATCTGAGCACGTCCGCCCGCCTATCCCGATTTCGCAGGACCCGCGTATAATGAGGGCGGCATTGCCGGCTACATTGTCTCTTGAGCTACCGCTACCACATACCGTGCCCGCCTCCGACTTCTAGTGCGGGGAGAGCTGTCCAAGGTTTTCGTCATCGAAGGGGCACCGCCGGCCATTACACATCCTATCTGTACTGACGCTCCCACAGAGGCCACGCCCCCTCGTGCAACAATGGCATCCGCGTCCACAACGATGACTGTAACTCCCCGTGAGGAGAAGGTCGCGGTGGTTGAACGTCGGGGGCAGAACACGCAATATGCGTTGAAATTCGCAGGCGCCGCATTTGCCAGTACGTATGTCTACATCGACTCATGCGAAGCATGTTATGCTAAGAGGACATGCTCCGTAGACATGGCGTCGTCTGCGATATGCAATCCTACTGACATGTAAGTAAATATCAAGTTGGTCGTACATCAGACGCTGACCGCTTACGCCGTCCAGTATCAAGGTCCGGCAACAGCTTCGGACTCAAGGTACGCATGCCCCGGCCATGTAACAGAACGCGAGCAACTAATGAAATGTGTTTCTAGCTCCGGGAGGTCGCGCGAATGCGTTCTGGTCGGTGGGCGTGGAGATGGCTCGGAAAGAGGGCATTCGCAGCCTTGGAGGCGGGATGTCAGCAAGCATGCTCCGAGAAGTCGTCTACTCCGGCATTCGCATGGGCACCTACGAGCTGTTCAAGGACAAGTCAGTCGCACGGATCGCGTGCCATGTATGCCAGCAGGGCTGATAGAATCCCTCCCAGATTGCATGACGCGAGCAGGGGCGCGCTGTCCAAGGAGGGCTTGCCGTTGAAGATCATGTCTGCGTCCATCGCAGCGACGATAGGCAGCGCCCTCGCCAACCCCGCAGACCTCGTGAAAGGCCCGTCATCTCCGTTGTTGAATACGCGTCAACGCTCACGTCTGTGCGCCCTCCAGTCCGCATGCAGGCCTACTATCCGAACGGCAGTCCCTACCGGAACATGCGACACGCGTTCGCAACCATATACCAAGACGGCGCGCAAGCAGCGGTGGCCACTAGGATATCGCCTGGTACTGGTGGTCTGCGCGCGCTGTATCGCGGGGTGTGGCCGACCACGGTGCGAGGCATCGTGCTGTCCGCGACGCAGATATGCTCGTATGACCAGATCAAGCAGTCCCTGAAGAGGCGTGGGATCATGCAAGAGGGCGTCCCGCTCCACTTCGTGGCAAGCACGTTTGCTGGGTAAGCCTGTTTGCCGTGAGCCCGTTGCTGAGGAGATGCACTGAAGCTGTCCGGGGCGCTGTGCAGCTTCTTCTGTTCGGTCACCTCGAATCCGGTCGGTGAGTATCTCCTCCGTCTCTCGGGCAGAAGGTATGTTGACGTGCTTCCCGCTGCTAGATGTTGTCAAGGTGAGGCTGATGAACGACAAGAATCACGAGTTCAAGGGCGCGTTGGACTGTGTCCGGCAAATCACGGCGAAGGAGGGCTTGTTCGGATTCTACAAGGGATTTGGCATGTGCTGGGCCAGAGTACGTCCATCGTGCCATCTCTTCCTGCTCAGATGTCTGACTGACGATGGTTACTTCTTCGTCTAGCTCGGGACGCATACTATCTTGACATTCCTGATATTTGAGCGAGTGAGATACCTATTTGGTATAGAGGCTATGTGAGGGCTTTGCCTATGATACGCTGCTATAGATGCTTTGGTCCATACGCAGTAGTGGTCCTACCCTTGCCGTACGGGTGATGTTGATCGCTCTTACGGCTAAATTCTCCGAGCTGCGTAGGATTTGAGATACTCGACCGTCGCTGCGGGGATAGGTCAGATTTCCGAGACGTCCAGACAAACGAGTGTCCTGTGATGTCATCTCGATCCAGGCGCCCGCAGTAGGCACACGTCGGTCGGTCCAATACCACCAACCTCGTAGTGCGCACAAGCATTGGGATTGACGTCTATGGTATCGAATCATATCCTACACCTATAGGCGCACCGATGCCTGTCCACGTATATCGTAGGTGAGTTCTTGCAGCCATGTCACACGTCCGCTGCAGGATGAGCGCTGATCACCTTTCCTGACCACGTCGAACTCAGCCGCAGCTGACACCACGAAGGACTGGGCACGAGATAGGCTGCGCAAACCGTGGTGCTTCTGAGGACTTCATTGCCTCCGCGTATGATGGCTCGCTATGACTCACCCTCCTGTCACAACTTCGGCTTGTGTGGCCTGCCTGTTCCGCAGTCGGTACCGATTCCTTCCAGTATAAAACGCACCCATTTCCTGGTCCCTCCTCTGATCCAGCAGAGGGATACTGACTGCATCGAAAAGCCAAAATGCTAGGACGAGGCCGCAAGTAGTTCTCGGGCCGGGAAGGGATCTTCGACCCGAACGACACACGACGCGTAAGGCATACCAAGATCGGCGTATGGGACCTATACGAGGAACGCGAGCCGAAGCTCTCCCGCATCCCGGGCTCTGTGAAGCTGGAAAGGTATCTAGAGCTGCTCGAAGGGCTGCCGTATGTCTGGCGGATGATCAAGGACGTGATAAACATCCCGACATGCGCGTTCTTGCTCTTCATCTATGCTCTTGTCGAGCTTGGACAAGCTATTTTCCCGGCAGCAGGTCTTTGGTAAGTCATCGGACGGTTCGTCGATCTGTACCACTCACGGGCTCGCCAGGTACCAAGGGCAGCTTTTGGACATTGTGCGTATCTCTGGGTTTCTTCTCAACGAGGTACGCTCTTTGAGAGCATACAGATGCAAGTTGCGATCGATACTCGCACTATCGACAAAGACCGTCTTGTCCAGATCTCCGCAGGGCGTATAGCCTGTAGCTTGGGGTTGCGTCTTATGTTGGTAATCAAGTTCCGCATCGAAGAACCTTTGATCGCTCGGATCCGCCGGTACTATGGCGTCCGCCTGTTCCACGCACGCGCGCGGCTGGATGTTCCGACTTACGAGACGACGAGCGTACAGCGCCAACTTGATGAGGTATCCTCTGAGGCCTTCGGGCGTACGGTCGCGTTCGAAACATTGCAGAAGGCAGCCACGTTCCTGCGGGCCGGCTTCCAGCTGACGGCCCAGGCGTTCGTTCTACTACAAGTCTTACGTGGACAGAGAGACGGAATACTCCTTTGTGCTCTCACGCTGTCCTCGCAGGGGGCACAATGGGTGTCCGCGATCAACGCTTTCCAGATGGCCCGAGGTAGGCATGTTCTACCGGAGCCCTTCATCTTGCGATGCTGACTTCGTCCCGTACATGGCTATAGTGTGGGCTGCGACCACAACGAATGAAGACTACGTTCGGATGGAGGGCTGGAGGCGCGTCATAGGCGACCCCTCACACAGGAAGGAAGTCGTAGCGGGAAATCTGGCCGAATATGCATCTGCAGGTAAGACACAACACGAGCTAAAAAGTGTATGTACCTACCTTCACCGTGATATTTAGAGTTCAAGAAAGCCTCGGACCAAGTAGGGGACCGAGCGGCCGATTTCAGGGAATGGCTGCGAAGGCAACCTATGCGACGGCACTTCGGCTTCTGGAGCATCCTTGAGGACCCACTGCGCCAAATTCCACAGGTGTGTATGCGTGCTCGAAATGCCCTCTTGGGACATTTTATGCTCATACGTGTCGGGATTGTAGTTCGTCTTCACGTTGCGTGCAATCCAGTACCCAGCGAATATGCCCGTTTCGCTCGCTTCTCTTCACCTGATCCAAGAGTCTACGATGAGCTTCATTAGCAACATGCATGACCTCCTGAACTCGACCTCGTCTGTGAGCGATCAGCTGGCTGCCGTGCGCAAGTTGTACGAAGTGGACAAGATCAAGAACAAGATCGCAGATGGGACCGTCCCATTTCCGGAGGACGCTTCGCAAATCAAATATGGCATCTCCTTGGAATTCAGGTACATGGCTCTATTGCCGAATGCAACACGGAGCTGAGCGGCCATGTGCGCAGGAATGTCTCTTTCAAATTTCCAGGGGCCGACAAGCATGCATTGCGTAATGTTTCTTTTGCGCTATCCCCCGGGCAGCTCTGCGTACGTACCGACATTGTCGATGTCGAGTTACAGAGTTCATGTGCACAGAGCAGGTTATTGTCGGCGTGAACGGTTCCGGGAAGAGCACGATCCTGAAGCTCATCGCGCGGCTGTACGACCCTGTCGAAGGGCAAATTCTAGTTGGCGGACACGACATCCGGACACTGAGGCTGCACGATCTCCGTCAGGCCATTTCAGTCCTTTTCCAGGACTTTACCCATTTCCCGCTATCGGTGGGCGTTAAGTGTAGATGCTTGTGCCTCTACACCGATTCTGACCCCATTCTACGCAGATACGTGACAATATCGCGGTAGGCGATCCTTCTGCTGCTACGGACGAGGACCACATTCGCCTCGCAGCACGCCTCGGAGGCGTAGAGGAGTTCATCGAGAAGCTCCCAGAAGGATTCGACACCTACCTGGATCGACCCGTACGCGATTACCACGCCGGATTGCCAGAAGGCACGAAGACGCTGTTCGGTCGTAATGTGGACTATAGCGCCATTCGGAATGCAGGGGGTCTGAAGTCCTCGAGCACGTCTGCGCTCAGTGGAGGCCAGATGCAGAGGCTTGCTGTGTAGGTGTTTGATGATTTTCGCACGAGCGCATCTGGGAACGAACATTGACTCGGTTTCCTCGCTAGCGCACGGACTTTTATGCGTTCCGTAGTGTCCGAGGAAGCCAAAGTTGGTCTGTTGCTTTTCGACGAGCCGAGCGCCTCTCTCGACCCTTTGGCCGAACATGGTAAGCTGTGAAGCCTTGGTTCTGTATGACTACTAGCCAGGAGATTTACGAGCATCTGCAGACCTCTTTGATCGGCTGCGCGATTTGCGCGGAAGCAAGACAATGCTCTTCTCGTCTCATCGATTCGGGAACCTCACTCGTCATGCGGACTTGATCTTGTTAGTTGTCTGAAGACATGTCAACGGAAGCATTGGGCGCTGATTGCTATGCATATGACAACAGGTATATGAATGACACAGTGGTCATCGAATCTGGAACCCACGAGGAGCTGTTGAAGCAAGGGGGAGAGTATGCGAAAATATGGAACCTGCAAGCACAAGCCTTCATTTAAGTCGTTAGGTAACATTCACATGTGCTAACCTACGGCGCGTTCCCCGACTCAATTTTTCGCAGGATGATCTACCCATGATATACGATCAATAAATGTGAAGTATGTACACGTGGTTATACTGGTAGCTTGGCCCGCAATGCAGAGCGGTGAATACACGGAGGACTGGCCCTCACGTGTGGATCACTGTGTTAGAGCAATTCCCGTCACTACGAAGCTAAACCTCTGAAGCTCAGTCGGTGCAGAAGGAGCATAAACGACTCGCAACACCTACCGCAGTCCACCTGGCGCACACTTTTAGTCTACCGCAGCACGGCTTCGAGACTTGCCATGCATCCAAACCTAGGCATACATAGTGCGCATTGGGTAGTTCGTTCACTGACTCCGGTCAAATGGACATGAGCTTCTGCTTGTGATTCGTCACGATCTTGCATGTACGTGCCAGTGTCCATCCTACCTTGCCGCATGACTAACCTTGTTTTGTAGGTCCCGATCAATCACGAACTGACCTGTTGGCCCTGGCCCGTTTGTCTCTTGGGAGCAGCATGAAAACTTCTCCTTACGACTTGCAGCGTGTTGTTTATGGTACATAGGCATTCTCTCAGGCTTTTCACGAGTTCATGTGATCTAGGTTTTGAAGCGACGCTTACAGTTCAAACCCTGCGCCTTAGGAGCACGGTCAGCTGGGCTGTGCCAATGTGGCATCGAGACCCAGGTCAGCTATAAGAGCGGGAACATGGCGGCACCTCCGCCTGCCAGCCACCCTCTTCTCCCCTGAAAGCTCAGCTAAGTTTCATAGGATGTCTAGCCGAATCCCGGCTTGCATTTTATGAGTTCGCGTTGGAAGAGGAGTACGAGAACTGTGCGTCCCATCGCATTCAACATCGCATTTCTCATACGGCTCACAGGTACCGCCATCTTTGTGCTGTAGGATCAACTATCAACGACGGACTAGTAGTTTAACTCTGGGATCACCTTGAGTGCCTGGGTAGAGCTCGCCAGGGCCCAGGAGAAGCGAAAGATGCTGGACTCTTTTGCGGAAGACGGTGTCGGACACCAAAACAAACATCCAGCGGCACACGCTCGATGCCTACAGTATACTTTGTGTGCACGACGCATGTCCACGAGGACTCCACGCAGGATTGAGACGGACTTAGACCTTACCGTTGGAGCCGCGGTGGTGCAAGCTTTGTGGGATGTCAAGGAATGGTTGCCGGAATGTGAAGGCGTCGATCCTATGCTTTGTTCGTCCTTTTTCGCAGCTGTCTGGACTCAGTATAATTGCGTATTCTTTCCTAGATACGTCAGAGGCCCTCTTTGAGCTCCGGTGCGAGCTCATCAATAGGCGCGTCCACCTGGAGTCAGTCCATCTGCTGCTTTGAGACCGGAGTGCGTCCTGCGCGGCCCGGTCGATGGTGAGAGGCTTCCCCTTCTTGCTCTGCAGACGCGCTGAAGCAATCACTTTTGGACTTATCGTTGCTACTTCGTGTCACAAGGTCAAATGGATGTGTTAGCGAATAGGAGGAGTGGAGGATCATTTCTTACTTACCACGACACTCGCGCTAACATTGGCGCCTTTTTGGATCCTTCACCTGCATCGCTGTAAATTGAGGAGGACGTGTTGAGATGTACATCATGATGTATCACCAATGAGCTTGTATTGATGTTGGCACCAGGGAGCGGCGGGACTCGGAGCTCCGATTCCTCAGCTTGAAGAGCCAACCTAATCGTCAGAACCAGAGTTCGAATGAGATGAGCCACAGTGAATAGAGATAGGCATATTGTAGTTCCATGATATTGTAGTACCACTGGCAAACGGGACGAACGGTGTACCTTAACTCGATGACCTCGCGCTTCGCTGGTGGAGTAGACGCCTTGGAGAAGACGCGACACAGCTGAACGTTGATCACGGGATCGTGGCGAGAGCCATTGTTCTCCCAAAAAGGAAAAAGGGAACCGAGTTGTGTGGCGATGTTGGGATGGCTCTGCACTCGAGCGCGAGCCTGGTCGAGCTCACGGTCGTATAGACGGCTGCTCCGAGCCTTTCTCTGTTCTGGCTACGCTCTCGCTGGACACCTCTTCTGCGATAACTTATGCTTGTTCGTTCTAGTGTCTACCCCTACGTTTCCTGACGACCCACAAAACGATTATCGCGACACCCACAATCCACTATTCTCCTCCACACAACTCTCATCCACACAACTGTCCTACACATAACCCTCCTAGGGCTCCTTTCCTGGCTACTTTTAGCGCGGAGACGGCCTACAAGACTGACATGAGTGACCGGTCCACGTGAGTTTTCCCTACATTTGTCCCTCGTGAACCTTCCATGTCTGTGCGCCTGCGCGCCCTCCCGTGCTTTCTTCACAGAAGGATGCGGAAAGAGCGCTCCATATATTGGTACCTATTCTTCTGCTTTGAGGGATTGCAACGGCTCAGGGTGTATCTCTGCACGTGGGGACAGGAGACACAACATTTCCACATTTTAGAGATACCTGACTGCCATGCACGGCGTGCATAACTCGATAGTCTACCGCAATTCCTGTGAAATAACTGTAAAGTAAGTGTGAGCATTTGTATTGTCGTCCGCTGTGGCTACCGTGAAGACTTGTGAAGTTTTGCTAGGGAAAGCACCCATTGTCAAGGGCAAGTGTCCTACTACAAACGGATTCACAACAGGAGTGGCGGTGGACGGTGAAGATGCTCGCAATTACTTGACATTGTTGTGTACAGGATTTGGGATAGACTAATCTGATATGCATGTCGTGATGCCCTGAATTGGACATGTTTATCTCTGGTTTTGATGCGGCTGAACCCATCATCGCTACCTCTCCCATTTTCTGGCGTGTAAAAGCTGACGACATCTTATCACACCAATCAGGAGTAGTAGGGAGCCCTCGCCGGTACGTCGTGTGTGTCCATCGAGAGTAATTGAGCCGATCATCTTACCGATAAACCTTGTAGAGACCGTTCCGGCCGCATTCGCCAGGTTCTGACACTGAGAGCATCTCTCCTGCTTCTTCATGGCAAGCGTCTTCAAACGCCTTGCACCCCTCCTCCAGCCAACATATTGCTTCTTCTGGTGCACATTTGCTCCGCCAGCCCGTCGGCTTCGGCGCCCACGCTGCCCAACCCGCTCATCAACCATCTTCTTCTCCCACTCCGTCGCGGCACTATTCCACACCCGCAGGATTTCATGGTGACACACCACATACCTCGAAGACAAAGTCTTCCAAGGGGAAGGAGAAAGAGAGGCCGAAGGAGAAATCCGCAGACCCCTCGCGCAAAGGCAAAGACCGAGACAAAGCAGTCCCGATCCAGCCAGCGCCCGCGCCCCATGGCCAGCCATACCCCCCGGTCCAACCCCACCCGGGGGCGCCCCTGCAACGAACCGCGTTCCGTGTGCGTGCATATACGAACGACCCCTCTGCGACGGGCACGCCACCCCATGTCCAGGAGGGTCCCTACGGAGCAGCATACCGCATCGGGGCGCCGGAGGAGACGCGATCGCGATCGCGGTCGCGGAACCAGGGCAGCCGCCAGCAGCAGCACGGACAGACACACGCGCAGGCCATGCAGGGTACTGCATCTGCGGACATGCAGCCCAGGACGTCGTACTACCGGTATGATTACGAGAAGATCCGCGAGAGTGCGCCTGCGAATCGGGCGAAGCAGCAGCAGGCCGCGGGTGCTGCTGCCTCCGCTGCTTCTCCTTCTCCTTCTCCTTCATCTGCGTCTGCGTCTACTCCCCAGGCAGCTTCGCATCACGGATATACTAATCACCCACCGCCTCAGCAACAATTATACGCGCACCGGGGCCCCTCCCCCGCGCCTAATCCGGACAATCGAAGCCGCAGCTCACGCTCGGGCAAGCGCAAGGATACCCCCCACATGTACAACGCCAGCCACGGATACCCTTACCCTCCCCCTCCCCCTCGTCCCCAGCCTCAGCAATACTACAACGGCGATACCTCCTACGACTTTCCCGAGGATACCTACTTCGACCCCGGCCCTCCTCCCTCTCAGCCTCCACAGCCTGCCCCCGCTTACGCGTACTCCCCATCTCCCGCTCCCGCTCCTGCCCCTTCGAAAGAGAAGCGGCACAAGCCCCGTTCGCACCGACATGGACACAGCCATGACCACTCCCAATCTCAACCTCCGCCGCAGTCCTACTATCCCCCATCTGCACATGCCCCACCTCCCGTCCCGCAACCACCGGTCCGTGTGGTGCGCGTCCTGACGCTGCTCATCGAGGACAAGCGCAGCGGGGAGGAGATGCTGACCGAGGTGCGCGTGCCGCTCCGCCCGGCGGATCCGGGTGATACGGGGATGTGGGCGGACGCGCAGGAGGTGTCGGAGGAGCTGCAGCGGGGACCGTCGAGGATCGATGGTGAGTGTTTCGTATGATGTGATTTGATGAAAGATTTAAGCGACTGACGTATGATTTGTGGTGTGCGATGTGTGCGATGGGGGTCTTGCGAACGAACAGGGCGGGCGAAGGTGTACACAATGCGGGGCAGGTACAAGCAGCTGTTCCTGCGGATCCTGGACGACGGGCGGCACGTGTGCCAGCCGGCGAACTTGAAGGTGTCGCCGGAGCGGACGCTCGAGATATTCGTCGAGGACGTGAGTGTCGAGGTGTCGTACCGTCTGCGGCTCTGTACGTGACGCGATCTCACCGATTCTGCCCTTAGAACCCCCCGCCTGCAGGCCAGCAGCCGCCCCAGATCCCGAGCTCGCCCCCTCGGGACCTGCTTACGCCCATCACGGACTCGATGACCTCGCCGTCCCCTGCGCCATTGCAGATGAACTTCTCCGGACAGAAACGACCGAGCCACTCGAGCCTGTTCAGTGCGGACCTTGATCAGGAACAAGACGACTTCATGTCGCCTTCGCCGTCGGAGCACAAGTTCGACGTGGAGTCGTCGGCGTCGTCGCCGAAGAAACGACCGCGCTCGTCGAGCGTGCAGTCTGTGCGGTCTGTCGCGTCGCAGCCCGCACAACCTGCAGGGCACCAGCAGTACGACGATCGCGAGGGGTTCTCGCCCTTGAGGCGCAGGTCGCCTAGTGTGATGTCTGCTAGTGCGGGGCACTTCCGGACAGCGTCGTATACCTCGCAAGCACAAGCGTCCCAGCCGCCATCGCACGAGCGCATGCATGGGCAGACGTCCTCCATCTCCCTCGAGTCCCCAGAGGCAGCTACACCTCAGCAGGGACGTATACAGTCGCGCGTCCCTTCCTCCGTGCAGCCTTCGCAGTCGTCTATGTTCCCGCAGACACAGAGTCATGCGTATACCTCTATAGCTTCTTCCACGCCTTCTCGCTCCGTATCTGCGTCCAGCGTGGGTCCTTCGCCTCCCAAGAGAGCGAAGCTTGACAGGCTTCAAGTCCCGCAGAGCCAGACTCAGGCTCAGCAGCAGCTCACCGAGCATTCCGTTTCCCCAGTCCCAAGCCGCCCGGGGGCGTTCCCCTTCAGCGACACCCGCACCGCCCCCGTAACCACTACTACAACCACCACCGGCCAACGCTCCGTGTCTGGATTCGAGGCATATGCTAGCAAACCTGCAGCCGCGGGTTTTGGAGGATCCTCGACGACGGGAGCGTTCGGCGCGTCCTCCATGGCGAGCTCGAGCGCGTTCGGGCGATACGACGCCGGCGCGTTCAGCCTGCCCACGCCGCAACCGAGCGAGGCGAGCACGACCCCTGCGTCGCAGACAAACCTCGCGCTTCCGTCCCTCCCCCTTTCCCTCTCCACCTCCCTCCCTACCCTCTCAGCGCCGGCCCCACCGCCCGACGTCACGACAATGGCCCCCTCCGCGATGACGATGGCCCCCACGCTCTCCGGGCAGGCGTCGACCGAGCTCGACAACGCCGTGGGCAAGTACATTAGGGGCATCATCTCAACCGAGCCCAAGTGGAGTGCCTTTGTGCAGGCGCGCCGAGAGCTGCTGACGATGCGCGAGCAGCTCGAGCAGTACCGTTACGTCCGCTCCGTCCAGACGCGCTTCGTCGGGAGCGCCACTCCGGCGGACCTCCAGGGCGCAGGGGGCGTGACCATCAACAAGCAGCAGGTGATCAAGGCGTTCAATCTGAAGCAAGAGTGGGGAGAGGAGTGCGAGGAGGTCCTGGAGCTCGTGGGGATGTATGGGGAGGGCGGGACGAGGGGCGCGGACGGGAGGGTGATGGGCATGTTGGACGAGAAGCCGCCGGTGACGACGGGAATGCAGGTGAAGAAGTTCTTGAAGGTGTTGAGGGAGGTGCATGCGCAGTGGACGATGCGCCGCGGCGGGTAGCTGGGACTGTGGTGGACTGGGCAGCCTCTTGGCGCTTTCGGGTTCGTCGAATTACCGTGCTCTCCTACTTTCGTGCTTCTGTGACGATGCGTGGTTCCTGTTGCAGATCTGCTTATGTTGTAGTGTTGGATCTTCGTTAACCGCCATGGTGCTATTCTGCGCCGCAAACCTACTGCTAATACATCGGACGTCGCGCCGTGCGCGGCTTGAACTATTTTTTCGACGGTTCTCCGCGGACCCGAACTCAATGTTATCAACTATTAACGGAAGCACGAAGGTGAGCGGGACCTGACGTATATGTCTCGTTCGCGGTCATATGCTCCCTTCGGACCATCCCCATTTCCAAAGTCAAGTTGTAGTATATATATGCTACCTCACAGACTCTCACCACCACAATCGACCTCGACTCCCATCGATCCCCATCGATAGCTTGACCTGCGAAATGGCCATCACGGAGTACAAGTACCTCACGCCGGAGCAGCGTGAGCACTTCCTGGAACACGGATGGGTGAAGATCCCAAAGGCGGTTAAGGCGGAGTACGTGAAGGCGTTTACGGAGAACGTCTTTGTGAGGCTTGGGTACGACCCGGAGGATAAGTCAACGTGGACGAAGGAGAAGGTAGGTCTCACATTGGATCCCCCTCCACCGCTACTCACGAATGGGCTTGTGTGCATAGATCCATATGCCGCGGCATCGCGAGATTCCGACGCGGGAGTTCATGCCGAAGGCTTGGGGTGCCATGTGTGCGTAAACCTATGCCTTTCTCTACTTCCTACCGCGAAGGCGAAGCTGACGTGTCATCCACCAGGTGAATTGCTGGGCGGTGAAGACAGGATAGACCCGACGCTCTTCGAGAGTTGCGGAGACAGTCTGATCGTGAATCTCGGATCGGATGAGTGGGTCGATGTAAGCACATGCATTCTCATATTCTCCGGGTGTTGGCTTGCAATAGAGCTAACGGAGCACCCACAGAAAACGATCGAGCCAAAGGATTTGGGGAATTGGCACATGTACGTGCATTGCTTCAGTGTATGCGCATACGTTCCCTGACGCCGTTTCAGTGACGGGGACTGGTCAGTCCGGCGACCCATCGGGTGCGGAATTGGACTCACCCTAGCAGGTTCACGCACTTCCTGGACTCTGGGGAGCAAGGATTGACGGTGATTGTACTCTACAACGACATCAAACCCCGCGCAGGGGGAACGTATGTCGCCCCAGACGGCATAAAGAACGTGGTGCGATAGTATGTGGGTCGCTTTGGTGGGGATCTCCATGAATCTGACTGGGTAAGAATCAGCTTGTACGAACACCCTGAAGGCGCAAGCGAGATGCCTCAAGATCCCGATGGAAGCCGCTCCTGCTGCTCCATCCAGACGTGCAAGGAGTTCGTCGAGGTAATGTTTCGGCCCTGTGCGAGAACACACATGCAGATCATCGAACTTCCCACCGCATCCATAGCTTACAGGCGAAGCGGGAGACGTGGTCCTCATCCATCCCTTCATGGTAAACGGAATCTAACTTTGGCACCCGCATCTTCGTCCAGCGGCGCTCATTCCTCCGACCCCACAGCCGCACTCTGCGTCGAAGAACCACCTCCGGATTCCCCGCTTCATAACGAACCCTCCCGTGACACTCAAAGAACCCCTCAACTTCAACCGACCCAACCCAGCTGACTACGTACGTCCCATCGGAGCTCACACTACAGAATTTGACTGGACTTTCTCCCTCTCGCTATCGCTATCTCCTCCGGCAGTCCCTCGTGGAGCTCAAGGTTCTACGGGAACTCGGGGTCGACGCGCTGCCCGAGTGGAAGATCGCCGCGCCCCGGATGCGCTTCACCCCCCGGACGCGCGCGGCCAAGGACGCGATGATCCTGGACGAACTGGAGCGGATGAAGGCGCATGCGCTCAAGACCGGGGGCACGGTCGACAGCATGCACATCAACGGGCCTGTGCCGTACGCGACAGTCGTCGCGTCGGGCTGAGCCTACGTGTCCAGCAGGAAGCATCTTTGATATAGGATTACAGCGAGCGGAAGGGGAGAGGGAGGCGTTGAAAGAGGAGGAATGTGCATAACGGTGTACAAGGATGTCCGCAATAGGTCTACGTATATGACAGGGGTTAGCAGAGCGAATCAAGGCGTGTACGATATACAGGAGATGTGGGTATAGTCCGTTTCGGGGGAATATTAGCGAGTACAAGGTCCGCATAGCCTAATTTTCGAGGGGAGAGTCAAAGAGAGAGTCTGAAGTTTACGACACACGAGGGCGGGACCGATGGCATGCAGTGCACTGCACCCTCTGCGTCAGTGATACACTCACGCACAGCGACGACAGAGAGACGAGAGCGACGTACCGCAGACGCACACAGGGTAACAGGCAGAACAACAGTCGAATAGTTCTGTCTGAAGAGGAACGCACGCGCGTACGCATCGCCGAGACTGCAGCTATGCGCATCCACGAAGGCCTCGATCTCTGCTGCCCTCTGCGCCGCCCCGGGCCCCTGCACCGAGAGCGCCAGCAGCCTCGCGAGCACGCTCGTGCACCACGTGCGCGGGCTCATGTTCGCCGCGCGGTTTTGCAGCGCGCTGTACGATGCCCGCGTCGCCGCCCCGGGGAACACGCCGTCGCACACGTCCTGTAGCAGGGGGATGTCGACGGGGACGTACTCTGGGATCTTGAAGTACGCGAGGATGGGCTGCTGGCCGGCCTTCATGCGCGGGCCGTTGGGCATCGGCTGGCAGACGTACCCCTCCGGGCCGTGCGGGTCATTGGTCGTCGCCGCCCAGTGGTGGCGGGTCGCGCTGCCGTGGCAATCGACGTGGATAAGGGCCCAGTGGAAGCCTTGGGTGAGTGGGATGGTAGAGATGTAGAGCGAGTCGGGCTCGAGATGGACGGGGAGGCCCGCGCTGAAGGGCACCTTGTCTGTGAGGGTGGAGGTGGGCATATCGCTAGTGTGAGGTACGACACAGTGCGGGCACTGGGGAGTCTGGTAAGCTGGCGCGTGTCGACGGATCTGCGGGGAGCACGCGGCGTACACTGCGGGTGAGTAGAAAAGAAAGAAAGCGGTAGTGAGAGTAACTGGGACAAAAGTGAAAGCAGATGAACGAATAGCTACGCCCGTGGGAGAGGAGGAAGGGAGGACGTGCCGGACAAGTCCAAGCAGTACAGGACAGAGAGGGTCCCGGCGTGGTACCCGCAGAGCCGACGCGATGGTTCGACTGGGGAGTTCCGGATCGATAGTATGGTGGCGACTCCACAATGCCTTCATGGCGCTGTCTTATAAGTACGTACTGAGCCGACATATCAATCAGAGATGGGAAGGAGTACTAATGCGGGATCCACTCGTTTCGGTGTATCCGGATTACGGAGTGAAGCGAGGGGACCCCATGTTGCAGACATGCGGCCGACTCCTGCTATTCCCATCGTTAGTGGACGCGCCTTGAGGCTCGAGGTGCGAGGTCACGCAGGATGCATTGGGTGGGACTGTCCATGTACTGCACGGCCTCATGGTATTGGTGAACCCGCCGGCGGCTCAATATTCGCATGCATGTCGTGCGCCTGGACGGGGAGGTCGCGATGGTCGCCAAACAAGGCGAAGGTTGGGGAAGCGCGCCGACAGCCGCGGGCGCTCCGCCGCAAGCATGGATAGCGCCAATGACGACTCGACATGCGCGTCGTCGACGCGTGGAGTTGGTACCAGCCTGAACGCAGCGTCCTCCTCCTCGTTCCCAGAGGCGACGGGCAAACTGCGCGAAAATGGCGACCATCTTTTCTATAGTCCAATTTCCCTCTTCGCACGTCCTTGGTGAGTCCGAAGGTTATCATTTATTGGCGCACACTCACCGCGAGACAGTGACCGACTACCCGAAGCTGACCCTGCTCCTATTCGCCATCGGCGGCTTCACGGCGGCGAGGTTCGCGTTGAAGACGCTCTTCGTCCTCCTCCAGACGTTCGTGGTCTCTGGCAAGAGTGTACGTGCGCATATGTACGCCACGCCAAAACTACTGACACCCGCCCCGACAGCTCAAGAAGTATGGCGCTGGGAAGGGCGCGTGGGCCGGTACGTTGATTGTCAACTGTTGAGGCGACGAAAGTTGATATTCTACTCAACGTAGTCGTGACCGGAGCCTCGGAGGGTATTGGACGCGAGTTCGCGCTCCAACTTGCGCAGCAGGGCTTCAATGTGGTCGTCTCTGCCAGGAATGCGTCCGCGTTGGCGACACTTGTTTCTGAAATCGGTACGTACAGCCATAACTGCTTCGTCCCGTGCCTTGGTCTCACTCGAGGCCTGTCACAGAGGCTAAGTCGACTGGTGGCAAGAAGGTGCAGGCCAAGGCGGTCCCAATGGACTTCTCCAAACTCGATGACGCTGCTCAGTGGGGTAGGCTCGAGTCGGAACTTGCTGGTCTTGACATTGGTGTACTTGGTGAGTATATGCGCCTTTTCATGCGTGTGCAGCATATCCAGGAGCCTCGAATGCTTCTATTCGGCTGGGGTAGGAATGCCCAATGGTGTGCCTGGTCACGTGAAGTGACCGGCACTGCAGAGCAATACAAGTATGCAAGTCTGCGTGGAGGGTTATTGGTCTATCTGGCTCGTTCAGTTTCATGTTATAGGTGCATTCAGACAGAAATTGAATCTCTAGATACCAATGGCACCGTCGGCCTCGACGGACATGTCGAGTGGCCGGTCTCAAAAGCTGAGCACTGAAATTTCCTGAGTCTGTATCTCCACTACGACCACTCAGGACGTCTGACATGTCCGCCGGAGATGCCCAGAACCGCCGCGTACTTGCAGAGATGTCGCACCTACTATGGCGGCCCTCGTGGACAATGCATCGTAAGCTAGTCCCGGGGTTCGGTATCATATGGCACCAGGGGTTCTCTGTTTGAACGGAATATGTCAGATTCCGTTAACGTTCCTTTTGCGTCTATGCGTTGAAGGAGCGCAAAGCGCGACTGTTTCGTGCCTTCAAAGTCTCCCTACAACCATTTCATCTCAAAATACAGCCTCTTGTCACGCCCTGCAGGAGTGCGGAGCCCCTAGCAGGGTAGTCTTAATCAGGACTGTCCGGAGAGCCTCGCCCTAATTGAGCACGGACATATCTAATGACAATTATTCTCCTTAGTGAATAATGCCGGCAAGTCCTACAACTATCCAGAGGAGTTCCACGCGAGCTCGCGAAAAGACATGGAAGATATCGTTACTATTAACGTCAACTCCGTCATCCGTCTCACGCACATCGTCCTTCCCGGTATGGTCGAGAGGTGCGTATCGTCAATTCCCACCTCCACTAACGGCGACTTAGATGTGGCCGTCTGTCTTCTTTTCTCAGGAAGCGTGGTCTGATCATCAACATGGGCTCCTTCTCGGGCACGAGCGTCGCGTCGCCCATGCTCAGCACCTATGCCGGCACGAAGTCCTTCCTATCCTCCTTCAGCGGCTCCCTTGCCGAGGAAGTTCGCGGTAAGGGGATCGACGTCGAGTGCGTCAACACCTACTTCGTCGTACGTGTCTTCTCCCCTCCGTCCCGTCTCGCAGCGCACCTGAGATCCTACGTACTTGCAGGTATCGAACATGTCCAAGATCCGCCGCTCGAGCGCGCTCATCCCCACGCCCAAGGCCTTCGTGCGCAGCGTCCTCTCCAAGATCACGCTCCCCGGCGGCGCGCTCTGGACCAATCGTCCCGGGGTCGTCACCCCATACTGGAGCCACGGCCTGCTCGACTACGTAATGGTGCGTTACCTTTCACAGCATAGCATGCATAGGCGAGGTGGCGAGGGGCTAACGGCAATCATGGGCATTCTCACCTTCGCAGAACGTCATCGGCTGGAACATGGCCTTCGTGCGCTACACGCACTCGCTGCACAAGGATATCCGCAGGCGCGCACTGCGCAAGCTCGAGCGCGAGGCGAAGCAGCAGTGAACTGCTGGCGTCTTCGGACATACACGCCGTCGCCCGCTGTTTCGGATGGTGCCGGGCTGACGCACTGCCAGCCCCGGGGCACGGACAAAAGTCAAGTTTGACATGGCTGGGGCTTGATGCGGTATAGAGTATCGCGGTCATGTGTAATGCTGCTTTCGAGACGATATTCTAACGTTGTCTGTTATTCTGCTACAAATGACCGCACGGCTCCGATTCTCCGTGGGACCGTGGAAGAAGGCCTGCTCAGACGGCGAATTGAATCCCTTCGCCGATTTGTTCAATAGCCCTTAATGATTCGTTCGTCTGACGCAATGTCACGGAACGGCTCATGTCGTGGACGGCGCGCAAGGGAATATTGCTGGCGTTCCCATATCAGGATCATCCGAGGTTTCCTTTCAGTCCGTTGTTGAGACTGCTTCAGTGGGTGGTGTCTCTTCATGTCCTCTGCTACAGGCTGACTTATGACTACTGGCATCTTCCAGCGTTCACGCCGTCATGGTAACACAAGTATTCTTCAGAATTCGCGACCACAAGACTGCGGCTCCGGTTCTAGAGGTGACGTCATCGTCGCGTGTTTTCGGTCACTGTCCGTAAAGCTGAGCGGGTAGCTCTGCGAACTGAGGTCTGACAATGTATATGAAGCCTGTATGGAGTGTGATCAGCGGAGTCGTCTGGTGGTGGCTCATTTGAACAGCGAAGGTTTCTGCGCCTCATGACACTACCGCAGGTGGTCCTCGACCAAAAACCTCCGGAGTCACTTGCAGCACCCTTTGCAACGTTTGTCTTTTTCGCAATTCATCTTCCGAGGTCTATACATAGTGGCGGACCGCCATATGCGCGGCAGGCGTTTGAGGGGCCAGAACGTTCGAAGAGCGGAACCTTCACAGCGCGGCGTCTCCCTTCGCGGAACACTTCATTATTCCCTACATCCAGCTTCAGTCACGGGAAGGCGGTCAGCAGGTACACAAGGACATCGAGGCAAGTCAAGGCATTGTTGTCGGCAACACACCCCCCAATGTCCATCAGCACCTCGCACATTGTGAAGCATCGGGCATCGAGGACGTTGACCTCGGGTCGGTCAGTTGCTTCGGTGTGTTCGTCCTTGCCATTTCCTTCCTTTTTTTCTTCACTCCTTTTCGATTGCCCACATTCAGCAGCTCGCCTTACACCCGATGATGGCCCGCGGCATTCCAGGTGATCCATGCCAAGCCCATGTATAGCCCCCTACACCATATTCTACACATAGTGTATGTCGAACCATCACAGCGCGTTGCCCTGATGCTCGCAGTTAGACGTCAGCCGTCACGCGGCACCGCACCTTGTTCCAGCTTCGATGTGACGTTCCAGAGTCCATCCTTCTCGATGCGACCGCTGACGGACCGCTTGTCCTCTCCAATTCAGAGTCGGGGACTTCTTCGGAGCACCGTGGCTCTCGGGGCCCGGCGGAGAAGGGCTGCCCGAGTTCATAAGGGTTTGTGAAGAGACGATCAGAGTCTACTCGAAGACGTTCGTCTGCTAAAGCGCGATGCATTTCTTCGCCTCTGTCACTGTTGCTTTCGCGCTCCTCCAGGTCGCTCTCAGTCAGGAGCACTCGCCTGTGTGGGGTAAAGTTGATTTTTCCTAATAACGTGGTCCCGTAGCACTGAAGCTCTATGTCCAGGCCAATGCGGTGGTATCGAATGGAGCGGCGCGACCAGTGAGTATCAACCTGTAGCAATGCCGTGAATTTTACTGAGCGAGATACGCGTGGCAGGCTGCGTGGCGGGCAGTACGTGTACGGTCGTTAATCCATACTACTCGTTTGTCTCTGCCAGATTTGGTTGTGTCACATGTTGCTGACGGACGAGACACAGGCAATGTTTGCCGGCGGTCGCCTCACCGACGACGACTAGCGTCCCAACCTCCACCCCGCCCAGCGTCCCTGCTGCTTGCTCTACCCCGTCCACGGTCTCGAACTTCAGCAACTCTGCCCTGCCTGACCCTTTCCTCTTCGACGATGGCACGCCCGTGACGACCGTTGACGACTGGTCGTGCAGGCGTGCGCAGATCCTTGCCCTTGTCCAAGGCTACGAGGCCGGTGCCCTCCCTGGCAAGCCATCCTCGCTCGCGGGAACGTTGACCACATCTGGCAACACAAGCACCCTCTCTATCACCGCGAGCAACAATGACACCTCCATCACCTTCGAGCCAACCATCACTTTCCCCTCCGGTGACCCCCCAGCTGGTGGATGGCCGCTCGTGATCGTGTACGATTCGCCGAGTCTTCCTATTCCGTCTGGCGTGAGTCATGTCATGGCGACCCATGCTGGTCATACTGGCGATTCTGACGAAATGTGACAGATCGCGACCATGATCTACAGCAACTCCCAGATGGCCCAGCAGAATGACCAGTCCAGCCGTGGCGTCGGTCTCTTCTACGACCTCTTTGGTCAGAACGCGACCGCGTCCGCAATGACGGCCTGGGCGTGGGGCGTGTCGCGCATCATCGACGTACTCGAGCAGACGCCTTCCGCGAACATCAACACGCAGAAGATCGCCGTCACCGGCTGCTCGCGCGACGGCAAAGGCGCGCTCATGGCCGGCGCGCTCGAGCCGCGCATCGCGCTCACGATCCCGCAGGAATCCGGCTCCGGCGGAGACACATGCTGGCGGCTTTCTCTGTTCGAGCAGGAGCAGGGGAGCGACGTGCAGACGGCGACGGAGATCGTGCAGGAGAACGTGTGGTTCTCGACCAACTTCGCCAACTACGTCGACGACCTGAACGCGCTCCCGTACGACCACCACCTCCTCGCCGCGCTCATCGCGCCACGCCCGATGATCTCGTTCGAGAACACGGACGTCGTCTGGCTCAGCCCGATGAGCGCGTTCGGGTGCATGAGCGCGGCGCACACCGTGTGGGAGGCGCTCAGCATCGCGGACTTCCACGGGTTCGAGCAGGTCGGCGGGCACCAGCACTGCGCGTGGCCGTCGTCGCTCACGCCTCAGCTGAACGCGTTCTTTGACCGCTTCTTGCTCGGGCAGAACGTCAGCACGGACTTCTTCGCGACGAACGACGAGTTCAACGGCGTCACCTGGACGCCGTCCCAGTGGATCAATTGGACCACCCCAACCCTCAACTGAACTTGCACTGGGTGCCTTCCAGATGCAATGAGGTCGTAATAGCGGACCAGAAGCGAGCGTTTTGTTCATTGGTTTCCAATGTCAGAATCTCCGTACAGCACCGTCAGAATGCTATGATGTGACAGTTCTTATGTAGAAATGCCGATCTACTTGCCAATCTGACTGGAATCAATCATAGCTCATTCATTTTCTGTCGTACAGTTGATCCTTCTTGGTTCCCTGCTTCTCGGACTCGAAGGCTGTCGCTGAGCTTACCTAGGTCATTTCACTTCGCATGCTTGATGTTGCGTAGCTGTGGGTTTGACGCTCAACAAGTGTAACAGACGGCTCATGGAAGTCGAACTCTGTCAATCGTAACAGTACTGTGAATTGACGATACAATTTCGACACCTGTCAGAAGGCTGCATGCAGGGATAGCCGCGAAGTCTAGGATAAGATCAAGCATGGCCGGTGGTGTTCTGGGGTGGCACCGGGGACGCCGACCACTTCGAAGAGCAGATATGTCACTTCCGCTTGACAGTGAGCAGTTGTGAAGCTTGCGCGTTGACGCGATGGGTGTATGTTGATTGTCGCTGCCATCCAAAGCTAGCTTGCCGGCTTGGCAGGGGGTTAGAGCGGGGACGCAAGACCGCGCAGGAGCTAGCGGGACAACGACTCATGAGTGGTGTAGGGCTCGCTTGACTACTGACGAGAAGAACCACTGAGGAATATGGCTCTTCTTACCTAGAGGCTTTGCGGGGTTCATATTTTGAGGCGCGAAGGGCTCGCCGGCGAAGACAAGATTCTCACGCGAGCTGTGCCTCGACGGGCACCACTCCGAGCGGGGCACGTCTTGTCGTGTCTGCGGGTGAGTGGATGCGAGCACGCCTCTCTTAACTCCAGATATCGCACGAGTTGTATGACTTGGCCGGCAGCGGTGATCTGTTCTGCGAATGCGAAAGTTCGAGCTCGCGAGTCTGACGTCGTCGAAACACCAAGTCGGAGCCTGAGAACCCCGGCTTAGCTGTCCTCGAGGGGAGGGACGTCGCATGAGCCCGAGAGGGTGCTCGTTACTCAAAAGTTTTGTACGCGTGCGATCGGAGGAGCGTTGGGCATACGACGACGATGCAGCAGCGTGCGATAGGGTCGCGGAAGCAATATGCTCGGGGCCGACTTGAACCAGTTATCAGGCAGCACCGCCCGGTTTGAGCTCGAGCAGATGGAGATACCGCAGCTGTGACGCCAGAGCACTTGGTAAGAGGTGCTGACGTGTGCGTACAGTACAAAGGCGGAGATGATTGAGAAGGCCATACGAGTACAGCCTCAAACGTATCACTGATTCTACTAGGGCCTAGAAGCTAGTGTCGAGCCAGAGTTCTGCGGTCAAGGCCAGTCAAGACCGTTCTGTAGGCAGAAGGCAGTGCGCACGTTCCGCAAAGGCCGAGCTCGACGTGAAGTACGAGAAAAACGGAAGCACATGGACCATGGACAGGGGGGTCTTACGGTGCTGATAGTTACTGAGGAAGCTGAGCAACGCAAAGGAACTGTTGCCACTGGCCAGGATCGCTGCGATGAGGATGCCATGGCGAGGAGATTCCTGTGCAGAGGACAAACATACCAAAGTTCCAGCTGAAAATGATTGAATCTCGATGGACGTTCTTCATGATGTGAACCCGTCAAGATGCTTCGTGAACCCTCAACACCATGGGGAAGCTCTTCAAGCCAAAACGGTTCCGGGGGTGGCATGCAGAAGATGTCTCTTGAGCTCACACAGAACATATGGACGTCGCGACGCGCGCGCTGAGCTCGACCTTGATGTTTCGCTGCGCCAGCAACCAGCGGCGTACTCTAATCCCATCCACACTTATTATAGGCAGGCATGTCTAGGTCCTTGGGCACGCGCTACTTACGTGACCGAGCGGACCGACTACCCAAGCAGAGCAGGACGAGCGCAACGAAGCATACAAGGAGCGCGACATAGCATTTGATGAGATCGCTATGGGACCCAGCAGTGCCACCGTGTCCGCAGCAGTTCTCTTCCTGAACCTCGATCTCGCAAAGTTGTCGAGAAGTCAGCAGGAGACGTCGTAACGGGCGGAGAGAGGTATCTGGATGCATGGACAAAGACGGTAGCCGTCATCCGTCTTGCTCAAAACACTGCTGAACCTCTGCGCCGTGGCTACGCGATGATGTCCCTTGTACGAGCTTGTATCTGAGGGTGCAATAACGTGATGACGGCCGGAGCGGGGCTAATCATGACAAGGGCAGCCATGGGCCTAGAGGGGGGGAGGAGAGGGGCGAGCGCTGCGAAAGGACTGATGAGATGATCATGATGGATCGCGCCAGGGTTTGGACTCCATTGGAATATATACGCCCTCGCACCTTCTCGCCACCATCCTGATCCTCCTTTGCGCACGTCGTCCACACAAACTTCGCCACTTTCTCCATCATCTTCCAGTTCAAAGCAAAGCATGAGCACCGACGTGCTGCCCCCAACTCCCAAGTCGCCTGGCGTCGGCGCGCGCCGCAAGGGCAATAAACAACATCCAACCCTCCCGCTCTCCGCCTTCACGCCACCCAACACTGGCACGTCCGAGAGGTTCCCCATCGCTCCCAGCCCAAGCACACTCCAGCCAGAAGACATCATTGATGCCCATGTCATCAACGCGTCGGGAGACCTCTCGCTTTGGAAGTCAGAAACTGGCCAGACCATAGGCGGGCGCGTCCGGGGAATCGTCCTCTCCTTGCACGGCGCACAAGAGTCAGATATCGAGAAGCTGGTTCAAGAGTGAGTATCGTCCTCGCTTAGATCGTACCTGTCCGCGGCGAGCTCGCTAAGGGCTCGCATGCTGCGCCCCACTACTGTATATGGCCGAGTTCGCTTATCGCGCATTTTCTCCCCATTCACAGCGTCGCCTCCGCCCCCTCCTCCACGCCCATCCTAGCAATCGCTGTGCCCTTCAAGCTCGAGGATGGTGCCCCCACGTCGCCACCGTCATATCTCGCCGTGGGAGGCTCATCAAAACCAACGATCGTGCTCACTTCGGCCTTCACGAAACCCTCACCAGCCGCCATTGAGGCGCTCGCGTGGGCCCTAACGCAGAATTTCGTGGTCAACATCGACGTACAAAGTGATCTTCACCAGGACGGCGGATGGGAGGCCCTCGAGGACCTTCTCACGAAGGCGACCGCAAGCTCAGAACTCAAGGGCAGAATCATTCTCTGTACGTGCCATGTTTGCGCTTCTCGTGCCCTTGCGCCTGCCGTCGTGTCGTGCGGTGCCGCCGCTTGCCACTTTCTGTCACTCGTCACTGGCACCTGGCGGGGCGCTGCGAAGAGACGGGCGTGCAGCTGTTTCTGGCGGCAATCTCCTGTCTGTGCTGGCTCCGAGTCGTGTCACGATGACATCTCAAACTGATTTTGGCTGACGATGGTCCACCTTGTTTCGTACAGCCAACATCCTCCCGCCACCTGACGACCTGACACTGCCCATCGTCAAACTCCTCACGCACCACACGTACCGCAGCTACCAGAGCCACACCGCGTCCCTCTCGCTCTTCGCCAACCTCTACGTCAACTTCCTCCCCCCCGCCTGGGGCGAGCCCACCCCAAAGACGCCTGCGCCCCCGGCGTCGTCGAGCGAGGAAGGCAAGGAGGCCGAGGCGGACAAGGCCGCCCGCGCGAGCATCAGGGAGAAGAACGAGTGGAAGCGCCGGATCAAGATGTACAGTACGTCCCGTCCTCCATCTCGCCCCCAACTGGACGAGCGCATCTCTGACGTTGCACATCTTGTGTTCCTATTTTTATGTTTGTTCCTGTGCTCATCGAACAGTCGGCCACGCGATCGAGGCGTTCGGCTTCCAGCGCATCCTCTTCGGCTCGTCCCCCGCCGCGCTGCTGTCGGGCAGCTCGCCCGCGACCAACGCCGGGGACTGGTTCGAGCTCGCGCGCGAGTCGTTCGCGGAGCTCGGCATCGAGCAGGACGCGATCGACGCCGTCTTCGGGCAGAACGCGCGGCTCGTGTACGCCGCCCACGGCGAGAGCTCATAGGCCGCCGTGGGTTCGGGGCGTCATGGAGATATGATCCACGACTGCCGGCGACAACCTGGATGCATTGGACACTGCTCTCTCAGGGACGTGGACTTGGGGAGACTGGTCGGTCGGTCGGTCGATATTATTGTGAACGATATGACTGCTCGGAGTGAACGTACATCAGCGATTCGTGGAGGGGACCTTACGCTCCTATATTTATAGAACTAGCAGATGAAGCGCTCCCAGGCGCGTTTGTACTCGAATCGCGGTGGGTCGACTGTGCATTGTTGGGATAAGCACCACGGCGCGAGAGAATTGCATGCCAGGTGACACGGTGAACACGGGCAACGACGATGCAACGGCTATCCGCTTCTCCAAGGAGTGCAGATGCAAGTCACAGTCAACGAAGATGCGTTCGATAGCGCATTCGTAACAGTAACATACGGGTACAAGTCGAGCCAAATGCGATCCAGTCTCAGTCCAGGAGTAAGTGCAGGTGATAATGTTACAGGACAATGTCTACGCAAACATGGCAATCATCGTGCTCGAGAGTCCCGGCTCCAAGGACCGTTACGTTCAATCCAGCAGACGCACGTACCCGAACACTCAATGCGGCGCACGCCTCGCAGCTCGGGCACGCTGCAGGTCATCACCACCCCTTCAGACGAACCAAGCGATAGGGGGAGATCTGAGGTTGGCTCGCGTGCACACTCAAGCCCGCTGCTCGGGGGCTATAGGCAGCGGGCGCGAGGTACCATCCGCCGACGGCTCGCGATGGTGGTTCAGCGGTCGGTGAAGCCACACCAGCTTCGGTGCCGGGGAGGGGTCGCGCTGAGCTTGGGCATGTACGGGCTGTGGCGCTTGGATGTGCTGCGCCGGTTCACGGGTCGGAGGGGGTGGCTGGGCGTAGATCTGCATAGCAGCAGGTGCACTCTCGGACACCGGAATGGGGCGAGGGGGAGGAGGCGGGGATTTGATGAGATGCTGTTGAGGTTCGGGGGCTTGCAGATGGCCCTGGGGCTGCAAATATGGGATGTCCCGTGGAGGAGTCGGCGGAAGGGGCGAGTACTCGCGCTCGCGCATCTTACGCGTCGCTTCGACCCAACGCCTCGTGCGGTCTTCATCCTGTCGCAGCACGCATAGGGACGTGTGAGTACCGCCAGCCAAATCAGAGGCCGGAGTGCGACGTATTTACCTCGTACTCGGTCATGCTGTCCCGGGGGCGGCGGTGGTCCATTTCCGACTCGATGAAGCGATCGAACGCGTCGAGTGCCCGGGCACGCTCCTCCTTCTTGCCTTGTGCGTACCCGGCTTGGAATCCGTCCGAATATGCCGCCTTCTTGCCTTCCTCGAACCCGGCGAGTCGACCAGCATCGAAGCCCTCGCTCCTCCCGTTCTCGTACCCCTCGTTGCGCCCCTGCTCATAGCCGTCCTCATGACCCGCCTCGTATCCCTCCGCCCGGCCGTCCTCGAAGCCCTCATCCCGCCCATCGCTATACCTCCTCCGCACCTCCAACCTCCTGACTTCCTCGCGCCCCTCCTCCCTCGCCTTCCACTCCCTCAGCGTCTGCTCCGCCCTCCTCGCCGCGCCCCTCGCCTCCTTCTCCGCCTGCTCCACATCCTGCCTCGCCCTCTCCGACCTCGCGAGCTCCGTCTGCAGCCGCCTCGCCTCCCGCTCCGCCGCGTCCGCCTGCATCTGCCACCTCCTGCACTCCTCCTGCGCCCGCGTCGCGTCGAGCTCGAGCTGGTGCCGCGCCGCCTCCGAGCTCGCGAGCCGCTGCGTGAGCTCGGACACGTTGATCTCCGCCGTGCGCGCGCGCGACTCGGCGAGGTCCGCGCGGCGCAGCTCCTCCTCCAGCCGCGCGCCCGTCTGCCGGAGGACGGCCTTGAGGTGCCGCGCCTGCCTTTCTTCTTCCGCGAGGACGTGCGTGAGGATCGTCGCGCTGTCCGACTCGCGGTCCCGGTCCCTGTCCTTCTTGCGCGGCTTCACTGTTGACGTCGTTGACGCCGTGTCGATCGTGCGCGAGTCCCGGTCCCGCTCTCGATCTCGTTCGCGCTCTCGGTCTTTGTCGCGATCCCGATCGCGTTCCTTCTCTCGCCCATAGTCTCGTTCGCGATCGCGGTCAGGGTCTCGGCTGCGTTCGCGGGAAGGAGTTCTGGGTTTGCTGCTGCTGCTGCTACTGCTGCCACTTGGCTCGGGCTTGAGCATGTCGTCCCCCGCCGTGGCGAGGCGTGGCGTGTGCGAGGCCGAGGAGCCGCTGCGGGGCTTCTTGCGGTGCGAGAGCAGGGAGGAGAGGATTGCCGGATCCCGGAGCATCTCGTGTATAGGGGTGGGCGACGAGCTTGCCTCGCGGACCTCGTGGAAGAGTTCGAAGCTGCGCGGACGGTCAAAAGTCTGTATGAGCACGGGCTTGTGCACGGCGCGATCGCAAGATCCGAAGTGAGTGTGAAAGGCGTGCGCGGTGCGCAGGGCGAAGTTCGAAGGAAGAGGGGTTGGAGAACGTAAATCTGCGCAGCGGAGGGGGCGACTTACTCGTGGGCGCCTGGCGTCTGCACGGCGGGTGGCGAGAACGACATGAAGCTCCGCGGGGTGAGGAGTCCTGGCGAGAGGCTGCTCAGCCCTGGACTAAGCAGGGCGGAGGGTGGCATCGTAGGATCCGGGAGTGGCAGCGAGAGGAAATCGCGGGTGGGGGGCGTTGGGGGTAGAAGGTGAGGGCCGTCTGGAGGCGGCACTGGGATGGGAGGGAGCTCATCGCCAGTCGTTTTGGCCTCGCTGCACGTCACAGTGGACATGGGAGGGGCTAGGCCTGGCGGCGGTGAGAACTCGGAGGGAAAGGTACTCGCGGAAGAGACTGTGGGAGCTGCACGAAGCACGGGCTTACTTGCGGTCGGGGTACGCTGTCCAGTGGACAGCGGCGTTGGCGGTGGACACACCGAGTGGACGGTGAGAGTGAGAGAGCGCGTTGAGCTCGAGGGAGTAACTGACCCGCGTTAATAACGTCTATGCGTGAGGAGCCGCAGAGGCGAGCACTCAGCCGTCAAGCTCTCGCAACGTGTTCGACATGTGCAGTCGGCAACAACCCGTGCAGCGATCGCAAGTCAAATGGGGTGTTGTGTGCTTTTGAGTATCATCAGCCGAGCGAGGGCGCTAACTGAGTCTCAGACTGCGAAGCGGCACGGCAGTGCACCAGCGAGCATCTGAAAGAGCGTCCGTGCGTTGCGCAGCACGGCAGCAAATATATGCGATGCGAAGAGAGCAGCGGACAGAGATGCCAGATGAAACCGTCCGTCTGCCGTTTTAGGAAGGCTCGGAGGTCGACCCAGACGCAAGCACATGCGGGGCGTGTACGGTGGAGGCTTAGGCGAGCTTGGCGATATGAGATGCATGCCGAGCATGCATATGGCAGGTGATACCTGCTGTAACGGAGAGGAGGCTGAGCCTGCGAAAGCGCCAGAGGAGGGCAGATGATGACACAAGATAGGCTTGGGGTGAGCGGCGAGACTGGAGAGATCTGCGTCTTGCCTCGTGTTGCGTTATCGTCTGTCGAGGCCCTCGTTAGCGCGCACATCCGAGAGTAAGCCACAGCGTAAGTCATGACATAGCGAGCATCGGGGTGGATAACAAGCCCACGAACAACACAATGGTGGAGGAGGAACATATTCAAGGATCGACGTACCATTCCCATGAATCCTCCGCATTTCAGTGTACCAGCCTGCGATGTCCCACGGGTGTATCGTCGGGATCGACAAAGTCAACGCGGTTCATGCGACAATGACCTGCAAGATGTTCCGGAGCAGGGTGAAGCAATTATACTTCCCCGAACGTGATGTTTGCCGTACCTAGACCGACGCTCTCTCTCGTTCTCGTCTGCTGACCTCATGGATGCGCTCAATACACTGTTCGACGTCAGCCCTCGCCGTGAGATTCGAGGGGAGTTCTAGTCTTGCTTCGCGCGTGCTAGGCGACATTGAGGATCTGTTCCTGCTGAATCCGAGCCCGGTCCGGCAAACCCAAAGGACAATCTGTCCCTGGGTGACTCTCTAGAGGCCTTTCCTTCTTGATGTATAAAACCCCCTATAAACATGAGCGGGAGAGAGAGAGAGGGGAAAGGTCGAAACAAGTCTAAGGACTGAAAAAACGGTGAAACGTGAAACAAGCGCCCCATCCTGATGACGTCGAAGACCTTAGCAACTTCTGTCACCCTGTACGAAGTCCCCACTAGGACCAGACGCATTCCTCGTATGCAGTATAGTAGCAGTGAAATGCTGGGTTTTGGTGCACGCAGGGGAGTATTCGAGCGCATGTCGGCTTTCGTCGACGCACGTCGCTTGACCTTCGCGATCACATGACCTCCACTGACGCGTCGCGACGCGTCCACGTTGACTACAGCTTCGACTCGGAACCTTCGATTGACGTCTCTACGGTTGGATGTCGATAGCACAGGATGCTCTAGTATTGAATAGGGGTATCATATACTCTAGTGAGAAAGACGTCAATATCTGACAATCATCAATCGAGTCATTGGCAAGTCGACCCTGGGCCACTGCATAGCGTAACACTCATCCTCATGTGTCAAATGTAATCTGCTCATCCGTTGTATGGAGTGAGGCTGGGATTGAGCCAGTCGTACATCGTGGTGCCCTCATACTGCTCTCCGCCAACCATGCCACCGACAGCAGAGCCGACCCAGCGATGGTAGATGGGCTGGTCAAGCACCAGGCTCTGGCCGGTAAGGATGAACCGGTACAGGTCCCCGTTCGCGAGGGTGTATTCGAGGATAAAGCCCTCGAACACGTTCACACCGCTAGGCTCGTCGTACTTGAGGCCCCACGGCGTGAGCTTCGAGAAGTCGTCCGCCTTCGCGCCCTCGACCGAGCACTGGTTCTGGAGGATGACGCCGTCGGCCTGGAGGAAGCCCGTGGTGAACTCGCGCGTCGAGCCGGTGATGTGCGACCAGACCGAGGAGAGGTCGTACGGCCCGACCTGCGCATTCACGAAGTACCAGTTGTCCATGAACGCGTCGATCGGCTGCGTCATCCAGTTCGCGTCGTGGTAGCCCTGGCCGTCAAACTCGAACGGCGTGCCGTCGAGCACGACCGAGACGGACGCGGCGCCGCCTGGTTGCGAGGTCGCCCAGCCGAGCTTCGTGTAGAACTCGTCCTCGTTCGCGCTGAGGGTCGTACCCGCCGGAATCGCGCTGCCGAACTACGGGTCCGTGGTCGTGTTGCAGCCGTAGTGGTGTGGGGCATTGCTATTGATGGTGATCGTACCCTTAACGCTGGGAGAGTCGAGTGTGACGGTGAACGTGGAGAGGTCGGCCGAGTTGTCAAACGAGCCCGCACCGGGCCAGGAGCCGTGCACAGCGTTTCCGGAGTAGGTGACGGATGACGCGGACGCGACGAGATTATAGGCGAAAACGGTGCCATTGGGGAAAGCACCGTTTATCACGATGTAGTTTTCGGGAGCGCTGTTCCCTCCTGACGCTTCACGTAAAACCGAAATGGGATATCCTAGTCTCATGTGATAAGTAAACGCACTGGGGTGGATTGGGATGGTCCTGCTCACCTTGGTAGAAGGTGGCATGGAAGCTAGGAGGAGACTCTCCATCCTTTGCAGGAGCGCCGACCTGAACCCACCACCATTCCGTAGCGTTGTTTTGAGAGTTCACAACAATGTACTGTCCATCGAAGGGAGAGGCAACCCGCGGAGTAACAAGGCCTGCGACCAGACGATGAGTTGGGTTTCAAAGCGAGTAGCAGTGATCGCTGGGGTCAAATGTAGAGCTACGCACCTGCAGAGCAAGAAGAGACCAAAGCAAAAACGATAGACAAGGCGAAGATCAACGAGCGGAGCATTGTCACGAAGAGTCCTGGAAGGAAGGTTCAGGATTGGGACGTCTCCAAGAAAATGGTCTCCTTATATGCGCAATGACCCAAGGCTGATACCCCGAGGCCGACCTTCCGGCCAATAATGAAAATGAACCCTTCGTCGTGGATCCACAGGAGGCCATCAGCACGCGTTTACGACACGGCCAGAGTTTCATATGCGTGTCGCATCAATGTGATCCGCCATCAGAGTACTTATGCTACCCTACCCGAGTGTTTCCTCTTCCAAGACCTGTAGGGTTTGAGTACTTTCAGCGAGCGCAGAGGACATCTGATATCGAGACCGTACAGCGGGCCAATGATAGTCATATAGCCCTAAGGATCCAGTGTTAGCCCGCGCATACAGTGAATGGGATAGTCCCAGCGAACAGTGCAACCTCACCTGCCTTGGCTCATCGCGGTCTCAGATGATACCGTCGGGATCTCGTCATGGCCCAGATTGCCGCTGTTCTGGGACACTCATAGATACCATGGTGACGCGACGGTGTGGCCGAGATGTCCACAAGGAGATGGTCACAAGGCTCGTGAGACGACTTACACGATATAGTGCACTTGAGGGTAGACAGTCACCCTTGGTTCTAGACATCGGATATGACGCAAATCGGTGGAACCAGCAGCTAGCGATGTTGCTCCAGGTATTGATAATGCCCGGTCCGTTGTGCCTCCGCGTCTATGGGCGGCTTCGTCCCGGTTTCAAATTGCCGTCTCGGGGATGGAGGCAGTGGACGCTCAACGTGCAGTCTGAGTTGTGTACCGGGCCCCGCCACTTGGAAATCATCGGCGTTTCATTTGGAGCCACTGCGGGACTTATTCCTGTGCAAATAGATTGTTTGCGGTGTGGGACTGTGCTTTGGGATTGGACGGTCAGAAACGGACCATAACACTCGGACACAGCGATCGACACATACTGATGTCCGAAACACGCGTCTGGTCGGGCACTCTGCAACAGGAGCGTGAGTCAATATGGCTAGCTAAGAAGACTGAAGGAGATAAAGAACAAGAAAACTCATCTTCTTTCCGTATGTTGCAAAAATGTCCAACATGCGAGCCAAGTCCGACTCGCTGTCCTGCTCAACAGTCAGCTTGATCATACTCACATCCATTCCAAAACAGTCCCCATCCGCGATTGGGAGGGGCTTATAATATGGTGAGAAGATAACTTCCACTCAATACATTCTAATGTCAAGCATGTCGTCACGGGGATGGAGCTAGAATCTGCGCCAGTGGGCGCCGAGCAATACGCCACGCGCGGGCGCAACCCCGTACGTCGTGAATGAAGCCGTCGAAAACTTATACATGCCGTTCTAAGCTCACGGCAATATACGTGGCTGCATTAATTGAATGGAGCAGACTTCAGTGTCGAATCGCCCGTCACGATCATTGGACGCTCACCGGCTACGTGGGGGCGGCAGATGACGGGTTGCGAAAAGCACGTTGAGTTCCTGTGAATGAGTCAGTCAAGTACCATTGATGCGTGAGTCCGAATGTCCTTCTGAGATTGGCCTATATCCGTGTTATGAGGGGCGGCTTCGCTTCGCTGGGGACATGTCTCGGTCAATTCCAGCTCTGCAAACAGCTCCCGACACAATGAGCAACAAGACCCACTCAGGGCGTGCGTGCTATTCAGACACGTGTGGATATAGTTGATAGTCTTGGGAGTGCTGCACATGTGTGACTAGACATCAAATATCTGCAGGCACCAATTTGTGGCACATGAACGACCATAATTCACACGTATCCAATACATTTGCAATACGATCTTACTCCCGCAGATCTTACGTCTCGCTAGAGACAGCCGACATCGCTGTGGGTCGCCGATGTGTAGAGGGAACGTACCGAGAGGATGCGTGCCCTGACGTTGCTATAATTTTCGGCGTGAACACAGACAACGTGGCGGCCTCTGCCGTTCTTCACCAGTAACGTCGAGTAGAGTCCTTCCGCCAGATAGATTACAATACTCACTCATACACGACAGGTCTAGCTTCTGCCTGCATACCGGGATACTGTGGCTGAAAGAATTCAAGATGAGGGAAAGGGGGCTGAGGGTGAGTATAGCCACGACCTGGGCTTCCTAGAAGGTACGGACCTGGTTGGAGCCTATCTCCGTCAGCTGCGGAATGGCCGTCGGACCCGGCACATCCAGACTGTGGACTGGTGACCCGTCTTCGAGATTGAACGTTGGATTAGCGCAGAAGCTTCGGACGGCGGACGGGGCTCGTGTGGGAGTATCGTCGTCCTCGTCCATGGGAGGGATCACGGTTAGGCCATGCCGTTGCTGCGTTGCACCCATACGGCGAATGATCGTGAGAGATGAGGCAGGGTGAACAAACGTTGAAACGCCTGCGTCTGAACGCAAGATTCCACAGATCCTACACAGTAGTCGTTCGTCGGACAAGACCAGCACAATACTCACATGGATATGGTAGTGTGCACGTTGACTCGACTTCTCATGCTCAGATTCGGCAGGTACACAGTGGCGGAATGTGGGAGATTTGCGCGACCGGAACACCTCAGCTGATAAGCGCCACTGACCTTCTACGTGGCGCTTAACCACCGCCTCGTCGCCATTCTCTGTGTCTTCACTACTTCCTTCGCTTCGCGCTTCCCTTCATTTGCCTTTAAACTTGGATGCTGACATGATACTCAAACTTAGGCGACGCCACGCTATCCGACTATCGGATGTCGGGATGCAGTATCGTTGCTGAAATGACTGCAGCTCACAATCCGCACCCTTGACTTGAAACCATTAGATCGCCCCAACAGGGAACAGCAGGGGATGATGGTGCTGAATCTAGGAGCTTCACAGACTCTGCTTACACGCACACGCAACGGACGTCTGCGGGACATCACCGACCCCGTTCTCTGCGTGTTGGCTTGCGGCATAACATACGCCGACGGTTGCATTCATTTCTGTCACGACTACGCCGACGGTTGCATCCATTTCTGTCACGACTACGCCGCCTATATGTACCGTACGTACGTCTGCTGCGCAACAATTCGATTCTCATCTATTTGCCTTGTAGATGACTGCTCTGGTTGCACCCACCATTACGCTTCCGAATTCCTGGGGATTTGTGTGGACGAGTCATGTTGACCATCCGACTTACACCGGACGAATTTCGTTCCTGGCATGTCGCCGGTCACTCTCACGATTGACATACAGTGGCTCTACACGCATACTCAGGTACCAGAACCACTTACTGAAGACCGCAGGGCGGTTGGGGGCATCCTTGACAGCACGGGACCGCGGGCGCCAGCTCATCTAAAGCCGGTACATCCGCGCCACCCCGTCCCTGGCGGTGTACATCCTGTTCCCAGACTCTGCGCGGCCATCGTAGTTCTACACAATTCCAAAAGATGCGACAACAAATATGTCAATCAACGTATCGCCATTGGACGTAACGGGCGCGTTCAGTTCCTTCTTTCGTCGCCCGATCCACGCATCTCCCTGTCCGGCTAGGTACGCAAGGTCTACGAAGCTGGGGCTGGAAAGCGCTCCATTCACCGACGGTGCGGGTGTGATGTACCCTGGCTCCCGAGCCGGGCACGGCTAGCCTGGCGCGCATCGTGACTTCTGTGTTGGTGTCAAGTCTCCGGCGAAGACTTTGGTATAAAGTCGGTGCAGGGAACTCAGGAATCCACATCCGCCGACGTCTCTTTCTCTCGAGGACAGCAGCACACAAAGACCCTCCTCTATCTTGGACGACGACCTTGCCATGTTCTCCAAAATCTTCATCTCGCTCGCCGTCCTTGCTGCGTCTGTCGCCGCCGTCGTTCCGTCTGTGAGCAAGCGTACGACGTGCAGTGGTGGCCAGACCACCGCGAACGCCGCAGTATGTGGCTCCTTCGCCGCTTCGACCGAGCGTACCGCTAACAGTCGGAGCAGTGCTGTGTCTGGTTTGATGTCCTCGATGACATCCAGGAGAATCTGTAAGTCGCTGACCGCCCGTTGCATCGCCTATAGCCTTATGCCCCGTGACAGCTTCCACGGCGGACAGTGTGGCGAAGACGCACACGAATCTCTTAGGGTGAAAGCACTATCCGTTCCTTTAGAAACGACTCACTAATAAATGGACTGCAGCTGACATTCCACGACGCAATCGCGTTCTCCCCCGCTCTTACTGCCGCGGGCCAGTTTGGGTAAGATTCAGCATCATTCTCCTTCCGTGTCAGGTGCTGATCAATCTGCAGTGGCGGAGGTGCTGGTACGCACTTCATATTGACATGCCTATAGTCTCCATGCTACATGTAACTGCAGACGGCTCGATTATGGCGCATACCTCCGAAGAGTTGGCTGACCCTGCAAACAACGGTCTCGACGACATCATCGAGTTTCAACGTCCTTTTGCCCTCAAGCACAATGTCTCCTTCGGCGACTTGTAAGCTTTCCTGAAAACATCTGACGCGGCTCCGATAGACTGAAATCACTTTTTGATAGTATCCAATTCGCCGGCGCTGTCGGTGTCTCGAACTGCAACGGCGGGCCCCAGATCTCATTCTTCGCCGGCCGTTCCAATGACTCGCAGCCTGCTCCCCACGGCCTCGTACCCCTCCCGTCTGACGATGTCACCACCATCTTGAACCGGGTCGGCGATGCTGGCTTCAGCACTGTGGAGCTCGTTTGGCTCCTCATCTCCCACACGGTCGGCGCCCAAGACAAGGTGGACGACGTGAGTAGTCATTGCATAACTTGTCGGAGATTGGGTGTCCTGATGACCGCTTTGTGCTGGTAGTCAATTCCTGGTACTCCGTTCGACTCAACTCCCTCGGATTTCGACGCTCAGTTCTTTGTTGAGACCCTGTTGAACGGCACAATCACGCCTGGCAACGGCATCAGTCCTGGCGAGGCACTGTCGCCCTACCCCGGAGAGTTCCGCCTTCAGTCTGACTTCCTGATTGCTCGGTGAGCGGAACCGTCATCAGATGTTTGCGGCATTGGAATTGAACTTAATGCCTGACTTGCAGGGATAACCGCACCTCTTGCGAGTGGCAGAAGATGATCTGTGCGTGTTCTATGTCATAGCGTCGTGATCTGTACTGAAGCTTTTTTTTTTTTTGCAGCGAACCGTGCGAACATGCTGGCACGCTTCGAAGGGGTCATGCAGAAGCTCTCACTGCTCGGATTCAACCAGTCCGCGCTCACCGATTGTTCCGATGTCATCCCAACCGCAACCGGCACTGTGGCCGATCCGTTCATCCCGGCCGGTCTCTCGACCGATGACATCCAAGCTGCTTGCTCTTCGACTCCTTTCCCCACGGTGTCGGTGCTTGGAGGTGAGTCGAGCGCATACTAACCGCATCCATTGCAACTAACGTTACGCGACTCTAGGCGCTGTCACCACGATTCCCGCTGTGTGAGTATCTGTAATGTGCGCATCCTTGAATGAGTTCACTGATCTCCTTCGGTAGGCCTTTGAACTCTTAAGTGAGATGAAACGGTGCACGAACGTTCTACGGACTATCATATGAGCAATGGGCATGGCATGGAGCCTTAACGTATTTGATTTTAGCTGCTGGGTCACGGACTGTTTTAGCAACGTTGAATATGAGAATGTGTTACAATTAGGACGCGGTGGTGATGTGGGTTATACGATGATCAGGCAACAAGCAGTCAACCGAGAAAGAAAGATGATTCTGTTACCTCGGGCACCTGCCTACGGGAGGACGAATAAGCACACACTTCAGGCGTCCATATCAGGGCCAGGGCGGTAAGGGGGGCACAGTGAACTGAGCCAAATACACGGGTGTTGGATTGGATGACTGCCTGACGTGATAACGTACCTTCGCACTTCAGTACCTGCAGAATCTGCTTCGGACCGTCCGCATGCCCCTCACCAGGAGGCTGAGGGTGGGCGTTGTGACTGTGCTCCTGGATGTGGTCATGGTCGTAGGATTCAGGGTTGCGTTCCGGCTTATCTTCCTCAAGTATACTTGCGAGTATCGTCATGTGGGTGCTGGCAGCAGGAAGAGAGAGGGTTCGTGTCAGTGTACTTGTACCATGGCGAATTCGGCAAGCGCCGCTAGATGTGGTAGGTGAATGTGGTGGGTGCCTGTGTTAGACACAACTTGAAGTGTCCCACCTGAGGTGCAAGGAGTGCGCTCAGCGATACGCGACATTGCACATGGGTATTTCTGAATAAGAGGTGCGAGTGCCTGCGATTCAAGGTGCAGGTGGGATTCATGTACTACCTGAGCGGGAGTCGGAGGGCAAGTTTGTTGTGCAGATACCGCGCACGTCTTGGCAGCTGGCAGGTGCGCCCCCACGTGGTGCTCAGCGCTACTCTGACGACGGTGGCCTGCACCCAGTAAGTACTGAGCTCGAGCCCATTTGGCCTCGACTCTTCGCTCGCCCTCTGCACGTCGACCGACGATAAATCTATTCAACGTCAACGCTGACTGCTTTCCTCTCTGGCGCGTTCCTTCTCGCTCTTCTGCCTGTGTCTACTATCCTTTCGGCCAGCCCATAGAATACACTCAGTGCTCCCCTTCAGCATTACAATTACTCAACATCTCAACGTGCACTTAATGATTGATCTCGCCGACTGGACGTCTAAGCCACTGCGCGGACACAAGGGACAACTCAATCTGTGCTTCGAGGCGAAGCACAGCTGGTGGGCATAGCGAGACGGACACCGGGATCCCAGGTGAGTTTACCACTGTCCTCGTACGCAAGACATTGCCTCCACAAGAGGTATTTACAATGTATGCATTACCTTACCGCTCAATCTAGCTCGCAAGTCCGCACAATGTCTCTCTCCGTACTGCACGTGGTGTTCAGCGCGACTTTGCCAGTGTTCAGCGCGTTTGCAAGTTCCTCACCTTGCTCGCACACCCTCTGCGCTATGACACACGCTCCTGGAACTGGAGCCAACGTCGACGCTAACTGCCCTCCTCTGACGCGCTTCTTCGAGCTCAAGTGTTAGCCATACTTCCGGCTATTCTAGCCCTTTGAGACACCAGGTGTCCCATATCGAACACTTACCCAGTTTCACCAGGTTTTCATGTTACTGCGGGGACACGAGAACAAGTCTGATTGGGCTTTAGAGCGAATGACGGGTCATAGGCGTAGGGAAAGGATGGACGTAGAGATATCAGGTGAGTCCATTAATGCGCTTGTATGCAGGCCATGTCCTGAACCGTTCTCTTCCACAGGGATTGTCACGATGTATATACATCGACGGCACAATTCAGCTCGTGGTTCCGCACAACATCGCTACTTCTGTACGACTTGTCCGTGCGCCTGGCGTGCTGGAGCAAGCTGAATGAACGGCCCAAGATCTTCCTTTCCCGCTGTTGATGCACGCTCTGACCGTATACCCTGAAACAGTGGGGCACACGTGCGGTCTTGGAGCGAGTAACTCGTTGCCTGGGATCATTTGGAAGAGACGTCAGCCGCAGTCTTCATGACTGCAAGCGCGATAGGTGTCCTGATGCCCCATACACCATTCCGCAAGCAAAGCCCTTGTCCATCGTGCAACTGCTCGAATATATCTCATCAAGATTACAGGTGTCCCTTGAGATGTATCGACCCCATGCCAAACTTCCTTTGCCTTTCCCCTTTGTCACTACAGAAAGACGGACGTAATGGATGGCTTGCTTCCCATAGCGGCGCTCATACATCGACTTGCCGAGATGTGGCTCATGTGAGTACTCTGGACAGCGACCTGAACCAGAGCCGAACCGCAAAGCTAATGTCAGCCCCTAGGGAAACAGCGTCCCGGACAGAGGCAGTCAGTCCCTCCGGACCCGGATCAGGAACATCCGGCATAAATGCAACACAGGATGTGCATCTTCTCGTCGTCTTTTGCAACGCACCATGAACCGAATCCCAGGTCGCACTCATCGATCTCACTCCGCCAACACCCAGGTGATCTACTCTTTCAGCGGACGTCACACTGATGAGGGAATAATTGAATGTGTGCTTAGCCCCGCATGATGGTCCTTCCCGCCTGCGAATACCACGGCTCTGCGGGCATGTACAAGATATCGCAGTCCGCTGGTGCGCCTGGTATATTCGTTGGGAAGCATGATGTTGACCGCTCTGCTCCGCAGACGTGATATGCGTCATATGGTGTTCGCTCCAGGCCGCGTCGCAGGGCTTCAGCCAGGCTCCGACGAACATCTCGGCAAACAAGTTGGGACCGAGTTCGCGAGCGCGGATTGCACCCAAGGAAATGCTTCTTGCCGTTTGCGAGGCTTCTGCTGTGAGTGCACGACCAGTTACTTGGACATGGCGTGGGCGTGATTGACGTCTCGCAGTAGCTGGGGCAGCATCACGGACCTAGTTCTCTCCCTGAGTACCGTTCTAGGAGATCGTTTCGCATCGCGGCGACACGCTCGCAAGTCGACATGTATTTCTAGAGCTGGCTGGGTCGACGCGGCCACGTGCCGAGGTATAGGTGTCGTCGAGGCTCCCTCACGACTTGCTCTTGATTTGACAGCCTACTAGATGGCGGAACTCGCGTCGTCCCATAAGCTCATGTTCCCGGGGATTGGTAGGCTCTATCATGCCACCAGAAACGTGGATACGCGCAATTCATTCGCAATGTGCGTTCTCTGATCTGTACTTGTTGATCGCTCAACGTCGACTCATGACTGGTGTCTTGCCCCGAGTCCCATTGTTCCGACTAAAATTGATGACCCCTCAACGCGATCATGTCGCGTGACATGGCTCAGAGGAGGAATATGAGGCGTGCACACAGAGCTGCGTTTGTACCGCGCTCGAGCGGTGCAAAAAAAGTGCTGGAGATCAGGCGCGGCGCCGCCTGTGCGAGGGGCAAAGTACTGAGGACCTCCTATGGTACCCGATGGAAAGATGCGGCGACGAACGAGCGCTGGCAAGCTCAGCCTGGTAGTCGAATAGAATCGTGCCCTTGCAACTACTGATATGTCCTATATATGGGTATGTTTCTGCCATGATATAGCCTACGCTGCGTTCGGCACGTCACGGACAGGAGTTCGACCTTACGAGGCTGCTGATGGTGACCAGTGCCCCTACTGCATGTTCTGCCTACGTGCGTCCAGTTAATCACAATCGCCGTAATTCTGCTCGTCATGCATAAGGGGTGTCCGGACGCTACCTTCTTGAAGTGCAATCACCACACCGAAAGGACGATGATATCGGTCAAGACCGCTCGTGCAACCACTTTGCGATGCCAGGTATTTCCCAGTAAAAGTACATGGGCTTTGAACCGTGCTCGTGACATGGACGCATCGTGTGCTTTAGGAGAGAGTACTGATCACGAGGCGATTTCCACGCGCGGTGCATCCGCTTATCGTATCGTGTTGATCCTAGGAACCCAGACGCGCTTGACGCGACCACCATGTCCGACTCTCCTCGCCTTCCTTGGGAGGTCATCGAAAGGATCGTTAGCCACTCTGGCGACCACCGGACGACTCTTCACAGCCTCTCCCTTACTTGCAAACAGCTCCGCCCTCGCAGCCTCTGTCTCATGTTCGCTGAGGTACGGTTCGAATCTCGGGATACAACGGACGTCTTGGCATTCCGTGACTTCCTTGACGCCTACCCCCATCTCCGTCCCCTCGTACGGTCGATCAGAACCCATCGCAATGCCTATCTGGCCCTCCACCTGCTCTGTTTCCTCCCAAAACTTACCCACATCACCATGAACGGACTCGGCCCAGAACGTTGGGAGTGCAGCCTTCCTCAACGTGTTCTGGCATGTTACCGGGCGCTGGGGACACGCATCAAAACTCTGAAGCTCTCTAGTCTATCCTTTCCAAATCTGCAAGAGTTTTGCAGAATTCTGCTGGCATTCACTGGCATCAGAACGCTATCCTGCAGTTTGCTAGACATTCGTAACACAACGTGTGCCAGCGCACAGCTAGCACAATTTAAACAGCACCTGTCTCGACAGTTGCGTCTGAGTACGCTCGAGGTGAGTACTATTCAGCATTGCTCGGTGTGCCTACAACTAAACCACTCCTACCTATTATACACAGATAGACGGCAGCTACGAAAACGTGATGGCGCAGATGTTATTTCAATTGGTGCCCTCAACCTTGAAGAATTTGACCCTGGACTTATCTTCGGCCAAAGCCATCACATCTCAACGTAAGCCCATTCTTGATTCATCCCACCATTCGTCTAGGCTTTTGGCAAGAATGTTGACAGATGCACTTCTTCTGACTAGGTTGGCCTCTGCTTCGTGCCCTAACCATCACGATAGTACAGGGTGCCTCCTGGCGCGGTGTCAAGACGACTATCGAAATGCTCAAGGACTACCGTCCGAAATCCCTGGCACATTTTACCATACGTCTCTTGTCACATCCCCGGGACCTCTTGAGACAAATAGGAGGTAGACCGAGCAAGCTCCAACTTTGCTGGGAGTTGGATCGGATTCTCCTCAAGTTTCGTCATCCCAACGTGCTTTTTGACTCACCGTCTATTCATGACCGCCGGACCAATCTATGGTCCCAAGAAATGGCCAGGTACTTTCCCTCCATGGGAAATCGTAGGCTGCTCAAATTTGCATCTGAACAAGGCAAGTCTCGCTGTTACGTACAACGACTGTCAACATTGGACTCACTGCCTGTCTAGTCACTGAAATTTGTCACGAAGATCAGGTCTTCTGTGTTGCATACTCTCCAGACGGCAAGTGGGTGGTGACCGGATCTGGCGACTGCACCATCATTCTGTGGGACTCTGATGGACAGCTTGTCCAGGAATGGGTCGCCCATGCCGGAGGGGTGATGTCACTCGCATTCTCCCCTGACAGCCGACGTCTTGCATCCAGTGGCGGAGACCGTTATCTCGCAGTCTGGGATATCATGCCCGGGAAAGGTCACCCGCCCATAGCTATGAAGTACACCGACAGTGACGATGATAGCTGTGCGTGTGCGTGGTCCCCCAACGGAACTGTGATCGCGTCCACAGACGTGCACACGGAAACCGTGAAGCTCTGGAATGCTCGGACGTTGGAGCCGCTCCATCTGTTGAAGCCATCTCTCGGGACGGGCGAATTCTGCGATCTCCGCTTCTCCCCTGATGGACGGTGGGTTGCCTCCGTCAGCTCCAATGGCTGCTGTATATGGGATGTCAGCGCTGGCACAGTGCACAGGGTCCTTCAGTCAGAGCATTCCTTCTCGTCCACCACGGCATTCAATCCCCAGAGCACGCGCCTCGCCACTGGACATCGTGGGGGCGTTGTCCAGATATGGAATGTACAGACGGGAGAGGTGCTCTTCAAGTTGGAGCAACACACTCGTAGTGTAATGGACGTGGCATTCTCTTCAGATGACACGCACATTCTGTCAGCATCGGTGGACAGGACAGTGAAGATCTGGGACGCATCCACCGGAACCTTCGTCCTGTCGCTCGAAGGACATGCCGACCGCGTGAACGTTGCCCGCTTCTCTCCGTGCGGGAAGTACGTTGCGTCTGCATCAAGAGACCAAGCTGTACGGGTGTGGAGGACCGATGATGGATCATGCGTGGGGACACTCTCCGAGCACAGAGCCAAGGTCGATCACGTAGCTTTCTCCCCTGACGGAAAGACGTTATCGTCTGGTGCACGGAATGGGACAGTCATTATCAGACGTATGCGCGATATTATCCCAGTGCCAGATACAAACATGTAGAATGATACTATCCTGCCGTACTTTGAGTCGAAGACTGGGACAAATGTGGTGGATTAATTCAGAACCTTACTTGATAGACCGTGCGTTCTCCACTGTGCACTGTGTTCCGAGTGTGCACGGCGTTTCATTCTACTAGTAGCAGACGTAGATGGTGTAGTGTTTCACCACTTCGATTCAAGGCCACAACATGAGTACGCCTGTTGCGACACAAGGTAGCTAGTGCATCTTATGGGACAATCGTGCATCATCATTGACAAGGCACCTGCCAAGCTACCCTCCTACTCTTTGCCCCTCATCGGCGTCGGTCGGTCAGATGCACCGAGACGTTCATTCCACCATATCTAGCATACCGCCCCGGCTGAACAGCAGTCTCGAGGATGAAAGGCGCAACAGTGCACGAAGCTGCCTGAAGCCGTCATTGAAGCGTTCAAACACTCTCACTCAAGTACCCTGCCTATGCGAAGGCTCACAGCGCCTTCTAATACATATCCCCACAGATAGTGAAGACCAAAAAGAGGTAGATTCATATGATTACGGTCCAAAATACACCATAGTACAGTAATACCGCTCTCCCAGGGTCAAGCTCAAGCCCCCGAACCAACCGCCCGGAACCGCACCCTCACCTTCTTCACGTCCTTCCTAGTCTTAACGAGAGTCTCGCTTATTCGCTGCTCGACGACCGTGCGCATCGCCCGGAAGTCGCTGATGCCTAAGTGTGTCTGCCTAGCGTGCCACAATAGCCCATCCGAGAGCGCAACAGCAAGAGGGGAGGGGAGGAAAGGAGATGCGTCGAACAGAGCAGCTCTCGTCCTGGGCGAAACGCCCGCGTTGGTGATTTGGCAGAACACTGTCTTGAGCAGCCCCCAGCCCTTTTAGAATATGAGCACCGAGACGATAGGGCCTATCGCGATATTCCAATAGCTCTCGCAATTCCAGCCAGGGAAGCTTGCGGGCACTCACCTCCAATAGGATCCAGAGGCAAGTGAGGGAACCACCAGTTGCCCAGGATCGCGACAAATGCCATCGTGCTCCTAAGCGCATCTCCGGGCCCGCCACTGGCATGGCTATGTGAGTCCGAGTCCGAGTTCCAGTCCGAGAGTGCGTGCGAACGTCCGTCCGTAAATATCCGGGTCAGATGGGAGGACCCGGAGCAAGTGGACTGCAAGATGAGCATGACAGTTCGTTCTGATCGCCCGCACGAGGGGACGGAGGTGCGGGAATGCAATGAGAAAGTCACGGAAGGCCAGAATGTCCGTTGTCTCTGAGATATGAACGGCACCTCATCGAACATGAGACAGAGGCTGCGAGGGCGGAGTTGTTTGCAAGTAAGGGAGAAGCTTTGGAGAGTCGTCCGGTCATCGCCAGAGTGGCTGATGGTCCTTTCGATGACCTCCCAGGGGAGGCGAGGAGAAGCAGACATGGTGGGCGACTCAAGGGTGCCGTTCCTCGGTTTCGACACGATGTTAGCAGGAGGCACTGCATGTGGACATCGCCTCGTGTTCAGGAATGTGCTCTCCGGAGACACGGGGACCTGATTCTTAGCAAGGTTCGAATCCCGAGTAGGCACGTTACGTTCGCAGGGAAATATCTGGCATTGAAGACATGTGGCATGAACGATCTTTGCCAACACCACGAGCCTGTCGGTTTGGAAATGTGCGCTTCTAGAGGAAGAATCCAGAGCGTCCATGGAAATCGTCACTGTCCCGGAAACAGGCCCTTCTACGGACAACTGGACTCACGTAGACAGGTCATGCGAGGGCGGGATATCCCAACCTTCACGCTTACATCGACGCCCATGATGCACCAAACACAAGACGGGCCTACGACGCGGCGACAGCATACATAGATTCCAGATCGCTGCGCATTCGCAGAGGCACTATATTGAGTCGGCGGCGAGCCATTGAAAGCCATACCGAGCTCCACGCTTCCCAGAGTGCCCCCTCTCCGTCGCAATTTCCCGGGCGCGCCGCGTACACGCTGAAATTGGTTCCCTCCGTTTGTGTGTTCCACGAGTCAAGGCCGCCTGATTCTCTATCTCTGTCCCTCGAGCAGCTGAAGCGTGGCACTCGAGCGACTCCCCATGGACGCTTCGCAGCCTTGCTCCAGGTCATATTACGCGTCCTGATTGCGTTGGGAGCTGTGCCTTCCAATCTGAACATTCAAATCTTGGCAAGACACCAGTCATGAGTCAACATTGAGTGGGAACGTCAATGAAAAGAAAAGAATCAGGGATCGGTAAGTGATCGACACGGACTCATCTTTGGACGCGCGATAAAGCCCGCCAACTCCCTGGCACATGAGCAAAAGGGACGACGCGTAACCGACAGTCCGGTCTATCAGACGGGGAGCCTCAAAGACCTCGATTCTTCGGCACTACAACAACCAGCTTGCGAGCGTGTCGAGCAATGCAAAACCGTCTCCCTTGATGGTACTTGGGGACAGAGCGAGATCTGCAATATTTCGCTCAATGCTGTAGAGACGCAGGGCGTCAACCATACTCATGTTGGATTCAGGTAGTTGATCATGCACTTACAACAGAAGCGTACTTCCTCGGGTGTGGTCCGCGTTGTTGGTCTTGATCCCGGCTTGCCTGCTCAAATGTTCAGTGCAGCCGCAACACGGCCTTGAGCGGGCGCGATCTGTGGGAGATCACGTCCGAGAAGAAGAGCGGTCCTTACCCTCGTTCTTTGCCTACGAATATACCGGGTACATCAGCGTCCTGAAGGGTGTTGCACCGCAGACCCAATGCGTATGCGGGGGGAAAGGCGTCGTGCGGGGCGTATCGAGAATCCGGATACCGCCTGGGTTTTGATCACGGGTGAGGAGATGCATGGCGTGGGCCAATAGCGAGGATCGCCTGCGGTTAGCGGAATGAGAGCGACTGTGTGTGCGGCCTGCGATCCGACTCGGGACGCGTAGCAGAAGATGACGAGACAATGCACGTCCGGCATTGCGTATACGCTCGGGTTGCTACCTTCAGTTGTCGATGTTCCAGCCCGGTTCAACCAGGCATCGGCGGCCTCTGTACGGTACGCTTTGCTACTATGTAGGTAACTACATCAGCTTAAGTTCGCCTCGGTGGGCGAGAGCACTCACATGAGCGAAGGCTGGCTAGGCAGGACGCATGCACGCCGTTATAGGAGGCAAGCCGCTGTATCTTTGGGGACGCACCGGTGCATGTGTCCGTCTGCAGCGACAGGGAGGAAAGGTTAAGGGAGCATGGATCAGAGATGGAGAGATTCGGAGGAAACCTGATATCTCTTTGGGAGAAACAGTTGATAGGATGGGAAAGGATTTCGCCGATGGCGTGGTACGTGGAGCATCGGGACAGTTGTCGAGGCACGGTCACAAAGACCGCGGCTGACCCCAGTAATGAAGTACTCACCCTAGAGAACACACTCTGAGACTACACGTGCGGTGCAGTGTTCCAAATTGCACAGTCATAACGTGCAACAACTCGGAACATGAAACGCGAGCGGTATACTTCAAGCTGCACATCCGCCCGGTCCATAGCGAAGTGACAATATTGTGCGCAGTTGCTCACGTAAAACTCCTATGGAGGCGAGCGGTTCAGAACACAGCTAATGAGGAAGTACAGTGGTGCACTCACTCAAGATCCCATTTCCGTACCGTCGCCACGCTTTTGAATCATCCTTCGCCTGCCAGCGCATTCCAACTTGTCCCTCGATAGCGTCCAGAACTGGGGGCCACCGTTGTTGGGGGAACATCCCAGCTGCATGGAGTGTTGAGTAGCATAGAGATGCTCCAAGAGTACCATGTAGAGTGATCGAGTGACAGAAGCTGAAAGGAGGGCAGACACAGACGAAAGAGCGAAAAGGAACGCGTCAGAAAGGAGGGCAGTCAGAGTGGACGTTAGATCTATCAAGTTCCAGGAGGAGCCACTGTCATGACCCGTGCAGAAGAGCCATGCAACGAGGGGGATGGTAAGCGAGGGCGCGAGTCGTGCAAACAGCATCCAAACCCTGTTCTCGACGAGTTGTCGGTCCATATTACAGCGCCTTGCATAAGTCCGTGAACGCGCGGGATTTTTTCTCTCCGGCGTCTAACCTACCCGACCTGCCTAAACAGGCCACATCATGGTCACAGGCCCAGACACGACGGGCAGCGCTCGGGATCCCTTCGCGTGAAACGGAGGTTTGTTTTCGGGAAAGTCGTAACTTGTCCCTTTGCCGACGCGTGCCAAAGGATGCTGAAGGGTCGGCAATGGGAAAGTTGTACTTGCTCAGAGGTTCTAAAGCCCTTTGACAAAGAACGATTCGAGGCGGTGCCCGTAGTGAGAGCTCCCCTGCGGCTGAGCCCGCTCGCTGGGCCACTGGCATTTCCAAGAGTGAGTATGCCATGGGCCCAGTAAA